TAATAAAACTTTTAAAATAACAAATATAATAAAAATTAATAATTAATTAATTTAACTTGATATTATTATAATAAAATAATAAAAATAATAAAAAATAATTATTTTAAAATTAAAACTTAATAATAATTGAACTCTTTAACATATATTTTAAATATTTACTAATAAATTATATATCTATATTATTATGAAAAAGATTTAACATAATAATATTAATATATGATTTTTATTTATTATTACATAAATTAATAATAAAATTTTAAATCCTTTAATAAAAGTTTTAATAATTTTTAAAAGAAAATTCAAAAAATTAAATTTATAATAAAATCAAAAAATTATTTAATTATAAATAGCTTTTTTATTTTCAATAATTGCGATTTAATAATTAAAAATTATTAAATGATATATTTATATAAATGTGTTATTTATAAATAATTAAAATAAATAATTATATTAATAAATAAAATTCTTAATAATAAATTTTTTATTATTATAAATAATTTAATTTATTAAAGTTTATTAAAATATAAATATATTATGCTTAATATATTAACAAATAAAATATATATTATAATATGTAATATAAATATTTTTAATAAATTTATTTTATTTTATTATATAAATATTTTATAATAAATAATATAATATTATAATAATTATGTAAACATTAAGAAATTTATAATATTTATTAATATAATAATAAAAGCTTTTTTAAATAAAAAATTATAAATTTTTATTAATATGAATATTTTAATAATATAATTATAAAAATAATTTAAAAATAGTATATATATATAAAATATAAATTAAATTTAAAGTAATAAAAATTTATAATTTTTTATTTAAATAAAATTACTTTATAAATAAATTATGTTATAAATGTTTAAATTAATAAAATATATAATTATATATTTTTTTTACTTTTATATAATGTAAATTCTAAGTTAATAATTTACACGCGTTAATGGTTTATAATTTTATATTTTTTTAATTAAAATTATTATAATTTAATTAATAATGTATTAAATTAATTAATTATATAATTAAGTTTTATTATTAAAACATTTTACTTTAATTTAATATATTTCTAAATTATAGTTTATATTTTTGTAAATGTTATAATGTTAAAACATTTAATAATATTTATTTAAAGGATTACTTTTAATTATTATTTAATTGTTTTTAATATTATTATTTTTTAAAAGTTATTAATTTCTTTTAATAAAGTCATTTTATATAATAAATGGCATGTAATTTTTGTAATTTTATTTAAAATATTTAAAATATTTATTAATAAATGAAAATAATTATTATAAATTTTATTATGTGTGTAATAGTAAATACGTTAAAATTAATTAAGTTAAAAACTTTATTAAATAATATTAAATAATAAAAAATAATTAAATAATAATTAAAATTACTTTAAAATAATTAAAGCATTTTAATAAACATATTAAAAATTATATAATAAATTATAAAAAGTTACTAATTTTAAACAATTATAAAAATTATATTTTTATCGAATTTTAAAAATATTATAATAATAATAATAATATTATATCTTTTTATATATATATTTATTTTTTATACAAGTTTTAATTATTAAACGTAATTGTTTTTATACTTTTAAAACAAAAATATTCGTTATTTATCGAAAAGTTAATACGTTATAACTTTATATACATTACAAAAAAGGATTTTTTTCGGTGTTTTATAAAGTGTTTTAAATTTTATTTACGGAAATATATATATATATATAATTTAATATAATTAAAATTATTTTATAAATTTTTTACATTTTTATAATAAAATATTACTTATTTTTTTTAATATAAAAAATTTAAGTAAAAAATATTTATATATTTAATAATAATATTTTTCTTTAAAAATTAATTTTTTATATAATAATATTATAAATTTGCGTTATTAATATAATTACGGAATGTATTAGAAAAATATTATATGGTTGCGTTAATGGTTATTAATAATGTAAATTTATAATATTATTATATAAAAAATTAATTTTTAAAGAAAAGGATATTATTGTAATAATAATAATAATGTATTTTATATTTGGGTGACATTTTGATGTTTTGATTGTTATTTAAGGATATTAAACGGCTAGAGTAAAGTTATTTATATATGTTTATATTTATGTGTTATGGTTATTATATAGGAAATTCCTTATTATTTTTGTTTAAAAGCTATTATTAAAATATAGTTTGATTTTAAGTTTATTTATTATATATATAATTTTAAAAAACTGTGTTAATATTAATGTATATAATCTTTAGTGTTAATAAAGCTTAAAAAGTTATTAATAATATTATATATAATTTTATAAAAATTATTATTAAAAATATTATATAATAATAAGAAATTAAAGCATATAATAATAATTTTAAAGTTATTTTTAAGTGATGTATATAATTTTTAACGTTATTTAAAGCTTAAAAAAGTTATTACTTTAAGATTTAAAACGATTAAGTGTTAATTTAATAAGGTTATACTATTATAGCTTTATTGTTAAAAGCAATTAAATGTAAAATACTTGTTTTTAGCTAAGTAATTTATTATATATTATAAAACCTTATGGTTATTATAGGATTTAAATTTATATTTTTATGGGAAAGCTAAGCGCTTAAACCATTGCGTTAAACCACTTTATGGAATTTTAAAAATATTATAATAATAATAATATTATATATTTTTATATGTTTATTTATTTTTTATATAAGTTTTAATTATTAAATATAATTATTTTTGTATTTTTAAAATATATATATTTATTATTTATTAAAAAGTTAATATATTATAGCTTTATATATATTATAAAAAAAACTTTTTTTAATATTTTATAATGTGTTTTAAGTTTTATTTATAAAAAATATATATATATATATATGTAAATTTTAAAATAATTAAATTATATTTTTTAAATAATAATAAAATAATTTTAAAATTTAATATAATTAAAATTAATTATATATTATTATTATTAAATTTTTAATTATTTAATTTATTTTAAATATTTAAAATAAAATTACGAAAATTATGTATTATTTATTATATAAAGTTATTTTATTAAAAAAAAGTTAATAATTTTTAAAAAAGGGTAATAATATTAAAAATAATTAAATAATAATTAAAAGTTGTTAGACCTTAATTTTCAAATTGAATAATTGTTAATTAAAAAAGAGAATTTAATAAATCCTTTGGATTTGTTAATTTTCTTTTAAACTAAAATAAAGTTTCTTTATTTACTTTTTTATCTTTTTTATCTTCCTAATAAAAGTGGTGTTTTAAATAAGTGTTATTAAATATTATAATTATTATATAAAATACTTTTTATTATTTTTTAATTATATTTTATTTTATTATATTATTATTTTTATTAATTTTATTATCTTATTAATTTTATTATTTTATTATTTTATTAATATAATAAAAGCTTATATATACGTATTATATAAATAACGCGCATAAAAGAAATTAAATTTAGTACGAAATACTTTTTTATAATAAATATTAATTAAATAATATTAAATAATATATATATAAATATTATTTTAACATTAATAATTTTATTTTAATATATAAAATAATTAAAATAATTAATTAATAAATATAAATAATAAAAAAGTTTTTTTAATTAAATTAATTTTATATAACGTTTAATACACGTTTATAAATATTATTGTAAAAATAAATAAATTAAAGCTTTTTTTAATTTACTAAATAATTAATTTATATAATTAAAAAAATCATTTAATATTTTATTAAAAATAATTAAAATATTTAAAGGTTTTATAAATTATTAAATTATTAAGTTTTTATTAGTTTTTTTACAATTATAATTCCTTTGTATTTTTATATAATTAAAAAATTAATATACGCTTTTTTTAATATAATTAATTAATTTAATAAAAATTTATAAAAAATTAAAAATCTTATTTTTATAGTATGTTAATATTATAAATTTATAAATTAAATTTTAAATATTTATAATAATTTTAAAAATATTATTTCTTTTATTAAATTATTTTTTTAATAATTTAAACATTTTAAATTAAAAAATTTAATTAATTTAATAAAAGCTTATATATATATTATATAAATAATATAAATTACGGGTTAATAATTTATATATATATTTTAATAATATATTATAATAAAAAAAAAGTTAAATTAAATTTTATATTTTACATTTTTTAATATTAAATGCGTTATAAAATTATATAATATTTTTTTAATATATTATATAATTACATTAATAATTATTAATAACGTAAATTTACAATATTAGTATATAAAAAACTTTTTTAAAAAAAAGATATTATTATTAAATATATTATTAAATTAAATGTGTAAGTATTTTTTATTTAAGTTTTTTATATTAAAAATTTTTATAATATATTAAATGTAATTTATATTTATAATTAATATTATAATTATTAAAAGTATTATTTTTAAAAATATATATAATTTTAATAAAATGAAATTTATAATAAATGTTATAATAATTAATATAATTATTATAATTTCGGAAAAATATTATATATTTTATTAAATAATATTAAATAATAAAAAATAATTTATAAGAATTTAATTAAATAATTTATAAAATTAAATAATTTTAAAAATATTATTATAATAATAATATTATATACTTTTATATATTTATTTACTTTTTATATAAGTTTTAACCATTAAATGTAATTGTTTTTACATTTTTAAAATATATTTATTTATTATTTATTAAAAAGTTAATATATTATAATTTTATATATATTGTAAAAAAATATATACATATATATAAATTTTAAAATATTATATAATATTAATAAAATTTATAGTAATTATTTTTATTTATTAATAAACGTTTTAAATATTTTATTTTAATACTTTTTAATTTTACAAAATAAAATTTAATTAAAATAATTATTTTACATAAATTTAAATACTAATACTTTCCCATTTTTAATTTTCCCGTATGTTTGTTTTTACTCTCCAATTTCTGGCTTTCGCCCATATACAACGGTCCTATCATTACCTAGTTATTAGCGTCGGATTTCAGAAACCATGTTATAAACATAGATCTTAAAGCTCAAAATCATAACTGACATAAACTTCACTTACACTTGCAGCCAACCGCACAGGCTCTTCTTCTTTAACTCGGCTCTATATTTAGCCACGAATAGAAGGATTTCTTCCGCTGTCCAACCGAGTGCTTTGCTGAACAAATACAGGCAGAATCCTTCAAGACTCTGATCCAGCATTGCGAACATTAGCAAGCCCGCCTGTTGTAGTTTGGGATCTCGTGGCCAGCCATGGCATGGCATCTTGACCTTCACTTCATGAATATCGACAAAGCCGGCTTCCTCCATAGCCTTCTTCAGAGTGCCGTCATAAGCGATACGAAAGGAGCGCCCCAATTTGTCGCCAGCCTCATAGAACGCCTCAGCCCAACTATTGAACATGTGGTCTTCCGGAATGACGGCATGGTCCGATTGTATACGCACATCGAACTCGACATCCTCAAACCATTTGCCGGGTTTCAGGTGTTTAAAGGCCTTTTTGTACAAGTCGTTCCAGTCAGGTATGCTCCCTGATGCAACCGATTGTCAGAGTACGTCCATATCATGTAGCGGGGTTTGTGATGGACAAGGGGGTTACCGTAAAGCATCCTTATGTGGATGTAGTCGAAATGGTTCTCCGGCCACGTCCAATCGAGGAGGCAGTCATCTATCTCGAACTTGACATTTGGAGGCATCCAAGCTGGTTGTATGGGGCTGAGATCGGTTCCTATCACCTCTGCCGCTGGATACACATCTGCGAAATCGCTATAGGCGGGCCATGTTAATCGCTGTCGTTCAATGCTATGGTTTTTAAAACCCCGGCACAACACTCACATTGCCCATATTCCAGTTCCCGTTCCGACATCGAGCACCTTCTGTGGATTTTCGCCGATTGGCGCCAGGAACAGTTCGTCGTTCAAAACCATCAAGGCGGCATTGTGCAGTAAGTCGAGACCCTCATTTTGTTGCTCGTCATTTGGACACCAGTACTCAGATGTCTTGGGGGCATTAAACGTTCTGCCGTGTAGTACGCGGTAAGCGTAGATACTTTCGGTCAATGAGCCGGTGGATGATTGTCTTTTCGGTTGTCACTGTTAGCCTCAAAATCGAACATAGGTCACAGACGAATGCGTATTGTTATACATTGAGCTGCCGACTGCCGAGTTGGCGTCATCATTGTCATCCGGCTCCTCTAAGTCATCGGCCTGTATGCGATGTCAATATCATGACTAGAGGAACTGAGAAGGAAACGAAATGGAGGGCCTACCGCTTCGATCTGTTGTTCGGAACCAAGCCCTTCTCCTTCCGGCGTTGCACTTTTCGTAGGGCTCCTGGGAGAGGCCGGGCCCTTGGGTGATGCTGGAGACGCTGTGGATGTAGCAGTCGCAGTCGTGGTTGCTGGTGCTGCTGCCGCCGCGGCAGTGTCCGCCATTGCTTCCTTATGTTTTCCGGGGAGCTAGTCCTACGGAAGACACGACAGTGCTGTGGGTTTGTAAGAAAGAAAAGAGAACCTCACACCTGTCAGACGCAAGATGCTAAAATAAGGAGAAATGGGCTCAAATCGACATATAGCAAAAATGTGGGCGCGGATATGAGAACGGCTGGTCCCGCGCCACGCGGGCAGTGGAGAAAGTGAGTTGGTTGCATCTCGAAACGGACTCTCTGACCAAAAAGGAATATTTGGTGCCAGAAGGCATCTTCAACCAATCAAAGAGATATATTCTCCGACACCTGCGGGGTACTGTTACTATGCTTGACCCGTGAAAGACTGCCTGCCGAGCAGCTACCGGGGATAAAGAAGTGGACTGCCTAGGGTCATGAGAAAAATGACATGTAATTCCTGTCTCGAGTAGGTAGTAAACTCTGGCGGTGAGGGAGAAATAACCCCTAAAGTGTCCGGGGTTACATTGATGTTTCTATCGGCAAACCCGGACACAGAATATGCGCGCCTCTCCCACAGGCTTGGGACGCCGTCACGTTGCTAGGAATTCTAACAAAACGTAGTCCACTCGGGGAAGGGGAAGATGGAGATAAAGCTGGTACATGGTAAAATATATACATACGTAGTATGATAAGCATTAAGGATCAATAAGTTAGGTATTCATTTTCGTCATTTATTTCGATGAACCTAAAGGGTCTGGATGTTCCAGGGGTACTTTTAAAAGAAACGTCCAAGTTTCGGCTCGTCCAAACCTGATCGGGTAGCTATCGGGTTGCTTGGCGCAAGGATGCTGAGTGCAAGCATGTTCAACATCTCGCTCTGGCGTGGCATATTTCCGAACCCCAAACTGGCACTCAGCTGCATTTGTGCCGATCGCCAGATGATACGACGACCGCGCATTTTAAAATGATGATATCGCAATGTTGCAGATGCAAGAGACAGCAGCAAGACTTTAGAACAAGCAGCGAACATGCCACACCCATGAACGAGTTAGTGCTTAGTTTAATTTCCACTTCTGAGCTTCCCGACTGATGAGTTCGTCCCACTTTAACACAACAGGGTGCTCCCTCGCGATGTCTTGGGTTGAGATATCTCCATCATCTCCATCCCCTCCCACGGAATATTTCCAGTTACCATCCGGGGTCCAGTATTCCTGGGCAAATATAACCTCAGTGCATAGCTCCTTCGACGCATCTGATAAAAGCTTATCCATGTGTACCGAGATGTCAGGGCTGTTTTCAATACTGTTCTCTCTCAAAGCCGCAGCCATACCCTCGAGGATTCCAAGCAACTGACCAACCTTCAATCCGATTTCAGCACCTAGATTAAAGCCTTCATCAAATCCAGCCTGGATACTCTCGGCTTTACCAACGGTAATACCATCACGATAGCCTTCTGTAGTATGTTGAGTTTGGAGTCTCCTAGTATCTGGAGAGAATACATGACTGCTTTCCAATTGGTCGTGAGATGCCGCCAATTCGGTAAACTGCTGCGGATCCGGACCGATCATATCAGTAAATGGTTCGAAATGAGCTGGTGCATAGACAGGATCCATACGTGTATATAGCTCGCTGTCCCGGGGTTCCGGTGGTGGTAAATGCATTGTTAGACGTCTGTTTTTAATTCGTTGGGGGAATAGCACTCTGATCGGTCCTAGCAAAATTTTTCATGCGTTAAGTAATTTCGTGCCGAGAATACCTATTGATAGTTAGGTATTTCCGCAATAATCGTTGAGACATAAAAGCGCGTGGAAATAGGAATTCAATTCATTTAAGGAAGGTCACAGTGCCACTAAAAGGGTACTCACACACTTTTTCTTTCTTTCTAACTTTCTTACTAGCTTTCTTATGTACCAGGTCCTTTACCAAATATATATGGAATACTATAATATGTTAATCGTTCAAGTCCCATTGCTCATAGTTTGTAATAAAACCTGATTTCTCACCTTTCGATCTTATTCTTAAATATATTGTAAGTAACATTCTCAAGTATATACTATTTAACCGTCTAGTTTTTCGCTAATGATGATTAGTATCCAATGTGAACTGGCTTGATATTATTGATTTGTTTACTATGTATTTACTAAATATACATGGTTTTTTTTTTTTTATAAAAAAATGTGTCGTTTATGCCTAACCAAGCAGCTAAGACACAGCGATTAAAGAAACAAGTCCACAAATAATAGGACATTGAGATCTTAAAGAAAGGCTCTCGGATTCCAAAATCCTAATCCCTTGCGTTGGATTGGCTGGAGAAGTATTAATCTTGGCGTACAAAATGCCACACCGAGCACTGGCAACCCACATCGCCACCATCGCCACCCTGGATCGATCACCCTACATGTAACCCATGTCCTCCGGATCCTACATGGCCACATTATCTAAAGTGAACCTCCATCCTTATCTTTTAGATCCGCAGCTTGCTAATTTTGACTCGCTAGACCAACCTAACAAATTTGCACCTTTAAAATTTTCTCAAGGACAAGCCCTCCAGCGATTAGTAGTAGCTCGTGGCTAGCCTTTTATATCAGATAACAAACGATAGAAACTGCAAATCTACTAGGTTAACCTAGTTACTACATAGTATGTAGAGGCTCAGCTTCCCTCCCCCATGTTCCAAGCTAAAATAGAAATGATAAGATCCGTAAGGGTATTATCTCATTCCATTTGCACTAGATCTTCGCTAGCCAATACCACCATGAGTAGACATCTTCACGCTCCCCAGCAGGGCGTGAATTCGTATCTTTCTTTCCCTTCTTTTTTATCTGGGTGCTCGTGTGCCATGTGGCTTTCGGCCTTCCGCCTTGTGTATATTTCTTGCTTGTTGACATGAATATTTCATCAACCAATTCCTTATTTCTGTTTCATACCGAGGTCCTAATTCCAAGTGGCCCTATTTGCAACTGGTTTCGGTTTCAGTTTTACCTCGTAGGGCTATCTGGGCCGTAAAGAGAATAACTCGAACTCGTTCCCTACCTTACCGCAGCCTGTAAGTCGCAGCTGTTCCTCTCCTGTCGTCTACTAGACTAGTCCGAACGGCTAGACTTACCAGCCCAGAAAGCCCATTCGTCGACATGGCCTGGATCCACGATATCAATGTTAGGGTTGCGAAGAGCCCGGTTGGGCGATGGTTCCAACTAGAGGGATCAGGTCACGTAAGTTCACCCATGATACCCGAGTGATACCGGAGTGGTCGAGGTTCAGTTCACGCCAGAGACTTGATCATTGACAAATCTATTATACTGGAATGTAGCCCAAGGAACGCAAGGGTTCCTATTTCTTCACCGAGCTGCGAGCTGGGATTGCTGCATTTTTCGCTATGGCTTATATCATCGCTGTCAACTCAAGCGTCGTATCCGATACGGGTGGTATGTCTCCTGTCGCTCTCACCGCGATATTGAAGTCTAAGGGACTAACAACCGTTCAAAAGGTACCTGCGTATGCAACGGTGGACCGGATGACCAAGCCTGCAAAGTGAACGAAGAGTACCTATTATGCGTCGCTGAAATTAAACGCGACCTAGTTACGGCGACGGCTGCCATTTCTGCGCTGTCGTCGTTCTGTATGGGCTTGTTTGCAAACCTGTAAGCATCTCGTTTCCCCTAATCGGCGGGTATAGGGCCTAGCTGACCGGTTTGTCAAATTGCCAGCCCGGTGTCATTAGCTCCTGGTATGGGTCTGAATGCGTACTTTGCTTACACCGTGGTTGGATTTCACGGTACAGGACTTGTACCTTACTCCGTAGCCCTAACGGCCACCTTTGTCGAAGGATGGGTGTTTTTTGCCCTTGCTCTGTTTGGCCTACGTCAATGGCTCGCAAGAGCAATCCCACGATCGATCAAACTTGCCACGAGCGTGGGAATAGGCCTGTTTCTAACTTTGATTGGGTTGACGTATAGTGAAGGCATAGGCCTAATCACTGGTGCGCAAGACACACCAATGGAGGTGGCTGGCTGCTCGGCTGTAGACCAAACTACTGGACTTTGTGACGATGGAGACAAGATGCGTAATCCGAAGATGTGGATTGGAATATTCTGTGGTGGAGTTTTGACCGTTCTCCTGATGATGTATCGCGTAAAGGGTGCCATAGTAGCCGGGATCCTACTGGTTAGTATTATCTCCTGGCCACGTGGAACTTCTGTCACCTACTTTCCATACACAGCTGTGGGAGATGATGCTTTCAACTTCTTCAAAAAAGTTGTAGACTTCCATAAGATTACCAAAACCCTCACCGTCCAACGCTGGGATATCGCGGAGTATGGGGGCCAGTTTGGACTGGCATTTATTACATTCCTCTACGTTGATATCCTCGACTGTACGGGAACATTGGTGAGTACACTCCGAACCCCCCCCTATTGTTGTATCTATTTCTGTAGATACAGGAACGGGCATTCCCGCAATATTCAATTTGCCTAGAGCCCATTATAAAATAGCTACGCTGACACGGGACATTCTAGTACTCAATGGCGCGATTTGCCAACGTTATCGATCCTGTAACTGAGGATTTCGAGGGTTCAACTATGGCATATATGGTTGATGCGATTAGCATATCTATTGGATCTCTCCTAGGGTGTCCGCCTGTTACGGCCTTTGTTGAAAGCGGAGCTGGTATTGCCGAAGGTGGGCGAACAGGTCTTACTTCCATGACTACGGGCCTATGCTTCTTCATATCAATATTCTTCGCGCCCATCTTTGCATCCATCCCTCCATGGGCTACAGGTTGCGTACTGGTCTTGGTTGGGTCGATGATGATGCGAGCGGTGACTGAGATTAACTGGAAGTATCTGGGCGACGCTATACCAGCAGTGAGTAGCCCCTTAAATCATTCATTCTCCGCCATGGGAGTTCTTGCGCGTGAGCGCGCAGGAGTGAGGGAGGGTGCCCACGGTTACTTAATCCCCTATCATCTTATGTATTAACTGTTCGGCAACAACCGCTCACTAACTGCATAATGTAGTTTGTTACCATCTTTGCAATGCCTTTTACGTATAGCATTGCCGATGGTCTTATCGGTGGTATTTGCCTATATATCACGCTTAATACGCTAGTTTGGCTTATCGAGAAGATATCCCGGGGACGTATCGTCCCGCCCAACAAGGCGGAAAAGGACCATTGGACTTGGAGACTTCGTGGTGGCATACTGCCGCCTTGGGTAATGCGTCTCTACACTGGCAAAAGTGACTTCACCCAGGACGATACGCCTGTGACTGAATCGAGTGTAGACGTACCCGGAGAAGAGGAGATGGTGAAGACGAAATCGAAAGAACCTGGGAGGGGCCAGACCGAAGCGTCTACACTTCGGGTTCAGGAGAAGTCTACTTGAAATATTATCTATATATGGGGATGGTGTAGCATATATGTATATATATAGTCGACTCTGTGTGTATCTGGAATAGATACCAGCCCGGGATATGTTAGATATTTATCCGGATGGCTTCTTGACAGCGCAAATTTTTTTTTTTGGAGATATTCGGACCGATGTATGGGTTCATTTCGGATGTATGTTACGTTGGAGAAGACTTGTGAACCATAGATGGAGGAGTTACACGGGGACGCAGAAGGATGTGTATAGTATATGTCAGCCCGGGAACCGGAAACTGGATCACCGCTGAATTAATTTGTATACTAGCCAGGTACTGGTATCTACTAAAGCAGCAAACACACAAACTCCCAAATCCCAAACGCCGCTTCTGAATGTGCAAAACTCGACAGAACCGTCCACTCCGTATAAATGCTGCGATAGGCCGGCTCGTTATACGCCCATAGTAAAATCATGTTCGATTCCAGGGGTAACACTGGCCATGAACTAAGCTCCAGTCAGCGTGATCTGCAATTTACCGTATCCAGGCCGAACTCAGCGCGTGATAACTCATTTACGTACCTTAAGAAAAACGACGAGGTATTGGTCGACACGGATGGCCACCTCTTGGTCTTCTACCTCTACCTCTTCCCAATCGTCACTATTCGACTCAGCGGCGGCTTCGGCGCTCTTAACATCTAGCTTATTGATCTCGTCCACTAGACCTTCCATCCCGGAATCGTTGCCGACTGCCTTCCCGGACTTCATCTTGTCGCGTCTAATTTTTAAGGCGGCATCCGCGCGGTCCAGGAGAGTCTTCATGACAGAGGCATGCTTGCAAGGATGCACACTGGCCATCTTGACGTTATTGGCAAAGAAAGGAAAGTCCTCCAATGTTACTGTTTTGTCCTTATAGTCGCCAACGATATCCTCCATCATCAGATGAGGAGCAAGGGGTTGTCCTTCGGAGTAGCCTGATAGATATAGGCGAGGTGTGCGATAGTAAGGGGAATACATAATGTAGAGGGTGTACGTGCGACGGGCCCTGTTAATTAGATGCCAAGTTAGCTCCGAGATATCCCGTATGACTTTCGCGTACATTCATGAGTAGAAGTGGATGGGCGGGTACTTACGCTGTTTTCCTGTGCGGATCGGTATCCCGAATGATAGCTTCGTCGTCGTCATCATCGTCTTCCATGTCTGGGATTTCGTCTTCATCATCTAAACCGTCTCCGACGTTCCCGGCGTCATCAACAGTTCGTACATCTTTAGCTTTGAGTGGCTGCGAACTGCTTAGGCCGCCGGTGCGTAACCACCCATCATCGTCAGCGCGACCTTTCGAGTTGAAATCATCCCCGTCGCCGACCACAGCCTCCTCGTGGCCCGCATCTCCAGCAAAGTCTTCATCGAGGCGACGGTTGCAAGGGACATTTCGTGTGACTAAGAACTGCTTGCCAGGCGGCAAGTAGGACACGCGCTTGGATTCGGAATCAGCATCTGCCCAGGACCAGGTTGGAAATTTGAAGACGAGGTAATCGCCAGCCGCTAGAAACTCTTCGGGGGTGATCTGACCCGTCTTTCGAAACGTCGACGTATGACTCACGGGAGTATACTTGTCTCGAATCGTGTTAACGGTTGAGTAGATGAGATTCATCTTGGAAAGATGTCTCCTGATTATAAATGGTCTCCGGCGCTCGCGCTTTTATTCTTCCTATCTTTCCTCTTTCTTTTCTTCTTTCCCTTCTTGGCCTTTGGTATAGTCGGAGATAGATTGACAGGAACAAGGATACGGGAATGTGAATATAGCTGCTGTCGGGTCTAAGTAAATCGAGACGTGGGTATGGAAGAAACAAAGGTGGCGGATGATGGGGAGCTCGTTCGTGACGTGTAGGAATCGGGAGAATAGAGTAGCGAAACCCGCACTCGATCTGAACAATATCAGAGTAATTAATATCTTTGGGTTTAGTCAAATGCTGTGGATTACCTAGGCTGCAAGTACGAATAAATAGATAAATAAATAAATAAATAAAGAATAAAGTTGCAGGCAACCTTTTTATATGAACACTTTTATATAAGCAAGTCACTTTTGAACTACGTACATGTAGGTACCTATTCCTATTCATTCACCTGTTTAAGGTGTGCTTGATAACGTTCGGAGGACTTGTTTCTTGTCACATGGGGGCGTAAGTAGGCGTAGGGACAAGCTCCATATGGACCCCTTCCATGGGCACCTGAGAGAAAGTGAGGGGCAGCTTCGACTCTTTTTATAGGTATCATCATAAGTACTTGTTACTTGGTTAAAAGTTACAACTAGAAGTTAGGTACATAACGTGGCCCCCATGGGCCGTAGGTACACTAGGTAGGTACCTAGGTAGTACATAGGTACTTTCGTAGCACTGTATACCTAGATAGGTATATGCATTAAGTTAAATAGTGTAGAGCGCACTGACCACATGCAGCAAACGCGGTAGATTCTCAGATTCGTAAGTTTTTAGGGCTGTCGTCTCGGATGCTTCTCGGATAATTTGCCCCTGGCTCCCCACGAAAATTGCAAACCGAAAAATTTCGTTTTGAGACGCAAGCAACAACCACTTACTAGTCCCAGACGTACAACACCCTACTTACGAAACTTTCCCTATCCAAGATTACATTGAAGGTAAGCAAATCAATAAGACAACCCAAATTAAACAAATATCAATTGCGCTCCGTAACATCGCCCTCCATACTGACAAGTAATCATCGCACAGTTTCGCCGTCAAGATGAGTGCGTACCCCTACGAAACGACATTTCCGGTATCAACCCCCGACTAACTTGGAATATAGCCAAGGGAACTTCTAGCTTCGGAAAGCGTCACAACAAGACGCACACTTTGTGCCGACGATGTGGTTAGTAAAAAGAAGGAAAAAAAAAGAGTAAACCCTTGAGGACGATAGGGTCTTACGCTAGGCGATGGATACGAATCGTACTTCAAGGGCAACGTCGGAATTTAATTGACGAGTGTATTTTCTACAGGTCGTCGATCTCTTCACATCCAGAAGCATACCTGCTCTGCCTGCGGATATCCCTCCGCTAAGATCCGAAAGTGTACGTAAAACCTAGCTTGTGGAAACGAACCAATTGCCACACACACACACACAACGGTGGAGGGGAAAGGGGATAACAAAGAATGTCACACGCTATGGAGCGAAGCTGACTCTCTATATTGCAGACAACTGGAGCGAGAAGGCCAAGCGCAGAAAGACTTCCGGTACTGGTCGCATGCGTTACCTCGGCGACGTCTCCCGCAGATTCAAGAACGGCTTCCGAACCGGCGTGCCCAAGGACGCAAGAGGACCAGTTGCGAAATAAGGCTTTCTCACCAGGAGAAGGAGTAGATGAGGGCATTGGCGTGGCAAGGGAACGGTGTTTCTGACATTTGGGCTGGCTCGTCACGGATTCGTACATATTCTGAGTTCGGCGGAAATGTAATGCTAGCATTTCCGAACAAAATGGCATCATGATCTCACATGTTTGACGAGGGTTTCTAATTGTTTACCTGGCGAGTAACCGCTCGTCCCCTGTAGGCCTTTAGGATGCCTATCGGTCTGGGAGAGATGAGTTTTATAGCGGGATCCAGTTCGATCTTAGGAGTAGGCTTCTAGACCTAATCGCATGAAACTATCTTGTCTGACCGAGCCAATGCTTGCGTTGACTCTTCTATGTTAATGTGAATATATCCGTGATGAAATGGCTATTGACCCCGTTCAAATATCCTGACTCCGCCATCACCAGCTACAAAGTATAGCAATTCTCGTTCCTCCACTATTCTATCAATCCCGTTGTATCCGCCGCTCGGGGTCACTCTTATGACGCCGCTTACGTCTCTAGCCGTCCCTGTATCCAGCATTCTCAAACTTATCACAAGGTGGGCATCGTGGGCAAGGGAAATAGCGAACGCGGCATGCGCTTTTTCCAATGATGTGGTTTGCGATGACAATAACGGTTCATCTGCAGACAGAGTGACGATGGATGAATGCACTTTCTATTGCAAACCTAACATTAACCGACGATGTGTGTGTACTGGGGGGTGGGGAAGGGGGATCTCGTTTATGAAGCGTTCGTTCTTCGGTGACTTACCTCGCGAATGCTAAGCAGCGTATCCCTCAATGCTTGGCTTGAGATATCATTTTCTGAAGCAGCCAATAGCAGGTCTAGCTGATCGGCAATCAAAACCGTTCTCTGCTTAGGAGCTGAGCGCTGGACTTGTGCTACGGCGTCTTCGAGTTCTTTGCGCAAGTGCTGTAACGAAGCGACAGACAATGCTTTTTTCCCAACATTATCCGACGAATAATGCCCCAGGGTAGGGTTGGGTGATGGGAAGAACAAACGAGAGAGACCATCGACGAAGATGAATTTACCCTTCCTTGTTAATACGTCGAGGTCAAGCCCAAGTTTCCCGGCGCCCTCTTTCCAGAAAGCGTAATCCCGTAGGAAGCTGATAAAGACTACGCTAGCCTCTTCTATACTGGACGAATCGATACCTTTTTCGTCATCTTCTCTTGCTACCACCGAGTTCGATGGGGTAGAAAGAAGAGAGTAGAGATAGCGGAGAACAAGCCAATTCGTACTTGACCCCAAAACCCCACTGAGAAGGACGAGGGATGTCTCAGGTGGTAGGTGGAGATAAGTATCTAGGAGGGGTGGAATTCGCGATGCCATGGGGGTGAGATGAGATGCCGGGACTGCACAAGATCAGGCGACTGGTAGAGATAGAATCTGTGAAGATGGCATATTATTAGCAGGGGCTTCTACCATGACCAATCACTCGTACAATGCGGACTATATCTATGTCGGGATTGTAGGGTATGCGACGTAAGTTGAAGTATGCAACAGGTAGAATGATAGGCACGATATCAAGTTTTTTGGTGTTGGTGATCAGATCTACATTGTGTAGGTACCTAGGTACGTAGTACATACGCGAAAGTAGCAGGCGAGATAGGCGAGATAGGCGCAGTCGTAGATAATAAAAATATTTCTAGTGGGATAAAATAGGTAAGATTGTGTGGGAATTAATGGTAAATCACATGCGTCTTAATGCAATCATGTACCTCTTATGTACGGTGCCGTCATAGTGCATTTGGTACTAAGGTAGACCTGGACGGTTACCTTATAGCGTACAATACATGGACCAGTCATAGCGCTGTAACCCCGCGTTCCCAGCCTCAAAATACATACACTACCTCCTTTAGGGGTCCATTGGCTTTAGTGATCGGCGTTTCTTTGAACATACTATGTACACCTGAAGGTAATAACAGATCCATCAAGGCAACTGGCCTCACGATAGGTCCCCTAGCGTTAGATGGTGCCAACCTGACTTGTCCCATGTGCTCATCACCGCTTGATCACCTGCTCAATGCGAGTCAAACTCCAAGCGGCACCACCCCATATATCGACATACTCTACTATGCTATTGGCTTAGTGTGAGCCTTGTCATCAGCACGCTATCTTCACTAGGTTAACCTTCTCTCGCAATCCGCTAACCCTTGGATGGTAAGATAATGTGTATTACTGCTACCGGGGTCGTGGCCGGTTCGAATTGACGTGGGGAAGGAATTTCAGGTATATAACAGGCTATCCGGTAGCTGTGGTTGTCTTGGACACTCTTCTGACTAACTCCTCGATATCCCTAATATCTCCCATACTTGTATTGCATGTATGCTCGACGTGGCTGCTGGTGGAGCGTGTTCCCTGTTCAGAGTCGTTGGTAAAGATGGCGGGAGACGAGAAAGAGATACCAAAGGGCCCACAGAAGGCATTGTTCCGGAGAAGGGCTGATGCCAATGGCGAGGATCGTAAAGACGAAAAGTCAAGATGGAATATGGGAATGTTAAATGACAAGGAGACCATAGAAGTTCCAGGTGGGTTGTTATTAACTTGATTTTCGTTGATTCACCGGTTAACCTTCTACCTAGGATCCGTACTACTCCTTGCCCAGGGCCGCAACGAGCCTCTCGGGCTTCGAAATGCGCCAGCTAGGACATCTGGTTCTTCTCTTCCCACAGGCTACCTTCAACCAGCACCCAAACAGCAAGATGCGAAGAAGATGACCAAGGACGGGCAGATCATCCTAGATCCTCAGCCGGATGATTCGCATAATGACCCCCTGAATTGGCCAAAGTGGCGCCGGGATTCTGCATTGCTTTCCTTGGGTCTTTACTGTATGATTGGAGGTGGAACAACTCCTATAATCGCAGCAGGGTTCACTGATGTCGCCAAGGGTATGTGCAGGAGCAGGAGAAACCCTATATTTTTCAGATGGCCGTGGCTTTCTTGCTGACTTTCCTCCCAGATTATTCTATCAATGTAGCCGACGTGTCGCTCACTACAGGCTTATACATGATGGGTCTAGGTATAGGCTGCGTCGTCTTCTCGCCTACCGCTATTCTGTATGGAAAACGACCGGTATACCTTTTCAGCGCTATACTCTTCGTCATATCGGCGGTATGGTGTGCTCTGTCGCCTAATTTTACTTCGTTTATATTGGCTCGCGTCTTCCAGGGGATAGCCGTAAGCCCAGTTGAATGTCTCCCCTCTGCCACTATCGCTGAGATATTTTACTTGCACGAGAGAGCCTATCGTATTGGTGTATATACTCTATTATTGCTCAGCGGTAAGAATTTGGTTCCACTCGTAAGTGCTGCAATCATCGAGCGCCTCGAATGGCGCTGGGTATTCTGGTAAGTCTATGTTAACGTGGTATTGGCGTAACGCTAAACACCTATCCACAATGTGCCTGCTTCGCTCGCTGACATGATATATCATTTAGGATCCTTGCCATAGTTGTTGCTTCTTGTGGCTTTCTTCTATTTTTATTCGTCCCCGAGACTTTCTGGGATAGGTCTCCAATACCAAGGTCACGCAAGTATCCAAAGCGACCTTCTTTTTTTAGTAGGAGGTCTTCGGCTCGACAAGTACCAAAGTCCCATCCTACCGGGAATGCTGTTTCTATAGACGAAAAGCCGACTGAAGGCGTCAGTGAAGAGAAATCTACTGGAAACCATCTTGAGGGTACGACATCGACGACGCAGCCACGGCACAAGAAAGCCCATGTTGGATTTGCGGCTGGTCCTGATGGAGAATCGGAAACGGATCCGGTAGCGGCTACTATCTCTACAGCATTACCTAGCGGCAAAGACAAGTCTATCGTGACTGGGGAGGGAATGCCTGCTGAGCCCACCACCAAGGCCGATGCTACCCCACAATCGAATGTCAATACGTGGTCAGGGGCTAACTGGGAGGGTTCAGGCCATATAAGCCCCTCGACGCCGGACTCATCCGGTCTCAACTCGCCGTACCAAAGCCGGCATACTGACGATTATTTCCGAGTAGAGGAAGGGCGACCATCTCGTCTGCCTCTGGAAACTGTTCATTCTGATACAGAGAGTGAGAAGATGTCGTTCTCGAATCTGGGGACTGCAACGACAGGACAAGCTTATACGCATGCCTTGCGAAACGCACCCCCGAAATCATTCGTCCAGCAGTTAAGAATACATCATGGGCGGCTCAACCAAGATAAGTGGTGGAAAGCAGCTGTTCGTCCCCTAATCCTATTTTCTTACCCGGCGGTCCTGTGGTCGGCTGCTGTGTACGCCTGCTCGATCGGCTGGTTGATAGTCATATCGGAATCGATTGCCGTAATATATCGGGAAGGCAGTTATAAATTCAGCGCATTAGGTACGGGACTCGTCTACATATCACCATTTATAGGTGGTGTCCTCGGCACTGCCGTGGCGGGCAAAGTTAGCGATGTCATCGTTAGGGCTATGGCGCGAAGGAATGGCGGCCTCTACGAGCCCGAGTTTCGACTGGTGATGGCCGCGCCAATTCTGGTGACCACAGTCATCGGGCTTATGGGGTTCGGGTGGTCAGCTTATAATAACGACGCTTGGATCGTTCCGACCATCTTTTTTGGTGTAGTCTCGTTTGGCTGTTCTCTGGGATCTACGACGTCGATCACTTTTTGCGTAGACAGCTACAGGCAGTATGCCGGGGAGGCCCTGGTCACATTGAATTTTAGCAAGAACATATTCCACGGATTAGTATTCAGTCTATTTGTCACCGAATGGCTCACGAGCGACGGCTCTAAGACGGTTTTTATCTGGATCGGCATTATCCAGCTCATCCTGCTCCTGTTCACTATACCCATGTACATCTACGGCAAGAGGGCTCGCATGTGGACTGTAAGGAAGAATTTCATGGAGAAGTTCTAGTCGGACCCTATACTTTGAATAAGGCTTTATATATTACAATAGTATGTTTTGGTTTGTAACCAGGGTTGGTCTTATTATGCGTATGCATATGTGTGAGGAGAAAATCCGCGACGTTTAACGAATGGTACGATCTACATGTACGAATATAATATGTACCGATTTATATATGCGGTTCGACTCATTTAACAGGTAGACAGTATTATACCTTTAGGTAAATACCTAACCACATAACAAATAATAGGGAAATGACATAACAGAATTCGACTCTATGTAGTACATCATCTATGATAGGTATGGCTAGGTACCTCATAATTGAATTGCCTGTATACCCGGCACCTAGGTAATTACGTAAGGTAGAATTTATATGATTACATAAATTTCCATGCTATCTACTTCGTAGGTAGGTAGATGATGATAAAAAGATCCGTATACCTACATGTACCTAACCTAGACCTACCTCTCTAATATATACATCTCCAATAAATACATGTAGGGATATAAACCTCGGAGTATACCTTATATACCTACCTACCTAGTATATATATATTATCCAACCTCGAACGCCGTCATGCGGGCTAGAATTCGGGTACCAATACCGACAGTCCTCTATCGGCCCCAAATGCGGATCTTTTCCTCGTCTCAACCTCTCAGTGCCCCAAACCAGGTATTTTCTCCGTAAGTAAGATGATTCGACTATTGTACGGTGTTACTACCCTCCTTGTATTATAATTAACCCTGCTTACCAGTGTTCGCCGACCTGAGGATTTTCACACTTACCAGCTTTTGTCTTCCTCCTCGAGGACTCCTCTTTTGACTCTGTGGACTACCTCATGGTGTTCTACATGCCATGTCGTAGCGCCACTCATCAAATCTGTCATCGAATCTGGTGTAGGCGAGGCTGAAGGTGGCGTTGGGTACTGCGAGGTCCAGTACGACGCCCCCGATGTCATGAGCAGCTCGCTTGGTATGGACTTTATGGTTACTTCTATACCCACCCTCCTTAGCTTCGACGCCGGAGAGGCTCAAATCCGCACCAAGGTAGCCGACGGAAGGAAGCTGACAGACCGATCTTTCTTGGAAGAATGGATTCGAAATGAGGCGAGGAGACACGGCGGTCGCGGTGGTGGGAGTGGCGGTCCAGGCATTCTAGGCGGCCTGTTCGGTCCGTGGAAATAAAGTGCGATTGGCCTACCATTAACAGCAAATGCTGCTGTCCTTGTGACAAAGTCCGCGGAATAGAGTCTCCTAAACTTCAAATATTAGGAGACGAGAGTTGGCCAGCGGCGGCTTTCATTTCACTTTACACCGCAAATAATATGCCATGGGATATGTGATTAGAAGATGTGAACTGTTGTGCAGGGACATATACGTATGTATTTCTGCCACCGTTGATATTGCCTTTCTGCTCTACTCTAGGTAAAACACCTCTTCGACCTCTCTCCACCACGGGGGGCCAGACTCACTACCATAAGCACCAGGTACGAAACTCTACGACGAAACTCTCGTTAATATCAATCGCACAAGTGCTGCCTCGTAATGGTGGTGAGACTTGGGAATATTTACCTCTTGGAACCCATCGGTCATGGCCCACCACTCCTTAACCTTTGGATTTTCGCGCATGCGTTCCATGTCGCTTGCGTAGTCGTTCCCAACATACTTAAAGTTTGCAAAGAGAATTCCTGTACCGGGGTCGTGGAATATGCTATCTGTAGTTGTCATGATACGAGAAGAAATTAGTCGAATTCCTTGACCCCTTATAGATCATGTAGATAACCAGGGCTATCTTGCTATCTTACAGTCCTCAATATTGCAGGCCCTGATTTGTTCTAGAACCTCGGGCCACTTTGACGATGTTAGCGTATCCTGAAGAATAATATGATCAAACTTAGAAGATCCTTTAAACGTGAGCGTTACGTACCACGGCGGCGTGGACTTCTTTATATTTGGCAATAAACTCCGGCTTCAACTTGACAATCTGTGCGATACGGCGTACAGCCCTCTTAGGCTCTGGATCCGGTGACTTAGTGATGCGAGTAGGCGGTGGAGCGTGTGGTTTCCACATTATGACTTAGGTAGGTACTGAGGAGAGATGCAACTTGTAGACTTAGGACTTAGGTTATTTTATCCAGCCTCTCTGTTTTCCTGTTATACTATTTACTTCGTCTCAGCACTCTGAAGAATTCTCCGAACATGCCTAGATCCTACTTAAGTTACATCTTCAGCTGAGGGGTTACTGGTGGGGAGGTATCGGGCATGATATGGGGTTCGGCGGAAGTTCGACGCGAAGCGTCTAGGAGCCAAGGGGGTAGCCAAAGGCGGGGAGAGTCGAGCAAATCGGAGTGCCCAATCTAGGTAGACTTGCATCTGTCACCGGCCTGTGCATACATGTCATGGTATATTTTCCTTCTATTGTACCAGCTTTCTTCTGCACCTATTCGAGGAATGCGGCATTATTCGCTCTTTTTGTAACTTCCGGCCAGCCATGAGAGGTATATATTATATTCCTAGCCCAGCGTTGATAAATCACAAGTTATCTATTAACTTACATCCGGGAGTCCGTAAATCCCCATGGGCCTCCATTTTGGCCACTTGTTTGTTTGGTAATTCTGCAAAGACATGATTAATGGTCATCTTTGGCCGATCCCCGTAGACGAATCTACTTATTTTATATGCCAAACACCACCCATGCAACAGCCTGCCCCGTCCCTTTTGTGTTTCGGGTGTAACTTTCTTGACCCAGTGGTAACGGCATGAATTCGAAATCGTCCTACGCCGGCCAGTTTCTTTTACCCTATGTCGCATAGACCCATGTGAACTGCGTCTCGTAGATGGAGAAACCTGCTGGAAGTTGAATAGCTACCTCCAGTCCTCTACTCGTTGAAGCCGTTCGCAATCGTGAGCCGTATCGAATTTGGGAGGGAATTAGGCGAATTACTCGACGAACGAGAAAGAAAAGGATGTTACGCGTAAATCGCCTCGACGAAATAGATAAGGCTAAAAGCCAAAAAAGCTATAGCACCACCTATCGTTACTAGTGAAGGACTTTTGTTAGTAACTAGTGATCAAATACAATAATTGTCGTTAGTTTGTCGCAACTTACCAACTCTCAAGCTCACTTTGCCGGCAATTGCTCGGCCGCCGAGGACAGCGACACCGGTACAGCATGCATGGCCCAACACAGCACCCAACGTTACCCACCAGTAGTCTTGACCAGCAGCCATAGCAATTGTCGCGATCTGACTACGATCTCCCCATTCACCAAAGAAGGTCATAGCAAACGTTTGTACCCATGCGGGACTTAGAAGGAGTGAAAAGAGGTTTGATAGACCAACGCCGAATCCGCTAAAGAGGCCACGCTGAGGTGACGGGCTCCGACCTGGGGAGGTTGAGGGGCTACGGGGAGGAGTCGGGAACCGAGACTGGGATCTTGGCTTCCGATTGCTGTTAAGCCCCATCTCTAGGGTGTACGGAGACAAAGAGGAGCGTCGTCTACCTTGTTTTACTGCTTGGTGTTCTTTTTCCTGCAGCTCCATCTCAACCTCTTGCATCTCTGCTGTGACACCTTCGTTCGGATCCATAGCCATTCCCTCTCGTAGCAACTTCGCGCCGAAAATGAAAAAGAGCCCTGCGGCCAAGAAAGTCGTTACTCGCTTTGGGATCAGAGCTGGTACTGTATGACCCATCACAGCAGATAACACAGTCATAACTAGCAAAGCACCAAAAGCAGCCGAGAACACAAGCATACGATCATGCTTCATGGCCATGAGCGCGGCTACCAGGAAGGTTTTGTCGCCCACTTCGGAGAAGAGGATCATAGTAAGAGAGAGCACAAACGAGTGGAAGGGCTGAATGAGACCTTCGTTACCCTCGCCATCTTGCTCCCAAGTTTTAGGGGTAGATTTGGTAGGTTTCGATACGTCAAGGTGATCTTTGTTCGCCGAGTCTGGAACGGGATTTGGGTCATCACGCAGTTTACCTGGTAGGTCTAATGGTTTCTGTGCAATAGGTTAGTACCATGAAAGTAATATAGTATTTTTCCTCGTACCTCAAGCCCGGCAACATCTTCTGGTGTCTGTAGGTCAACTTTGCCCTTCTCCTTCTTATTAACCCTTTCGCTGGTAATCTTTTCTTGCTCGCTGTGCGGTAATGGCGGTTTCTCCTTTGGCTTTTGAGGCACGTTCTCAACCTTTTCCCCAGTCACACCTTCTTTGGCTTTCTTAGCTTTGTCCTTCTCACTCACCCCCCCCTCAGTACCGGTGGTACCTTGTTTAGGAGGCTGACGATGGGGGTCGTCCATGACCCCATCATTACTCTCAGGTATCTTCTTCCCATCGATGACTATATGATCTACCGGCCGGTCTTTTAAGGAAGGGGGAGGCTTGGTTTCTACGACATCATTGGCGTCGCCCTTCTTGCGCCCCTTGTCAGTCGTTACGAAAGGACCCTCGTGTGGCATCCCATCTTTACCGTCCACTGGCGCGATTTTGGTACCGACGTCGACCTTGGTGGACTTCGAAGACGTAGAGGCTGAATCGAGAGGTTGGGACGATGCACTACCCACGCCTACAGCGGAAACATCTTTGGCGGATTTTGCATCTAGAGCTGATGTAACGAGAGCTAGGGAGGGTAGAAGTAAGAGGATGAGCGGCGTTTGTTGTTGGCGTAGTCTCATGATGGGCGCGAGGTAAAATAATATTCTTCCCAAATTCGCGTTATCGTTGGAGAGGTGTAGTCGCCAGCTCAGTTGAAATGTAAAAAGGTCTCCGACTAGGCGACTCCTATTTTACGGATACCGCAACGTTCCTTCAAACAGTCTGCGGCGGAGTCAACGCAATGCGTGACTGACAAGGATAAGACGGTGGTGAGAACCCTGAAAAGAGAAGCAAAATTTAATTCAGATGTACAGAAAAGATAGGAGAAGAAGGGTAACGCCAATAAAGAGCAATATAATAGAAGAAAACCAGTCCCAATCGCTTGCCAGACGATCGAGGTATTATTAGACAATAGCGCCGGAGAAATAGTGAATAGAATTAGCGTAAAAGGGGCGAGAAACTTGAAGGTGGAAATAACAGGACAGTAAGTAAGTTTCTACAGTATGTAAGTGAGGTAAGTAGGTACCTACCCAAGGTACATGCAAGTAAGTAGTTACGTACGCGACAGCAGAATACCAAAAAAGCTGGGGGGGTTACAGGTACTACCCATAAATCACCCTTGCAGCTGCATCAGTTCCCATAGTTAATAAGTACATGCTCCGGTCATATAAGGCACGTCTTCACTATTCGTACACTAGCCCCAAACGGCTCCAACCAATCCCGATATCTGGGTAACAGAATCAAAGCAATGCATGTTAACAATTGATCGAATTGACCAGGTAATCAAAACCTACCTAAGTAGAATGATAGGGCATTTCTAAAGGATTCACTTTATCATTTATTATAATAGGTACCTACCTAAGTAGAAGAGTATGTGTAATAAATGATGCGCTTTTAAACATTTCGATAAAAGCGAGATCTAAGTGATTCTATTTTTAATTGAGTTTATTTGAGTTAAGTAACAATGGAGTTATACAGTTATTAATAACTAATGGTTTAACAAATTTAACCAAGTGACTTACCATTTTTGGATTAGTGTTTACTTGCATTTTATTTATGGAATACTTCGTACATTAGGAAAGGAAAGTTCATGAAGAATTTCTAACCCTAAAAACATGTAAAAAACACGTTAATCTAATCCCTAAACGCAAACACGTTAAGCTCTAACCCTCATAAACAAACCCCCCAAAATGCCCCATTTTAACTTTTTAACATTAACGATTTATTTTAACTTAAAACAATTCTATCAACTTTTATAAAAATTTGTTAAAATTTCTATGGGATAATCATTGATAACTTCAGTTTTATTTTTATCCGAATGGTTTTTATAGCGTAAACAAATACTTTAATTCATAATGTCTAGTCGTCGCCGTCCAACGATACGTCAAACTGAGGCCTCTGAGCTTGCAGAGTCTGTAGAACCGGTCGCGAGACAGACTCAACGTGGCACTAGACGTCCCGAAGCACCTGTGGAGCCTGAGTCTCGGTTACAAGTGGAAACTTCCCGGCGCGGTCCTGGGCGTCTTCGCGGTGGAAGCCCTCAGAGCGCCGTGACGAACGAGGCCTTAACAAATGACGCGAATTTTGAGCTGGAAAATCCAGGTATGTTGTTTCTGGGCTCCTTGTGTTGATATTCTAACTGAGTGCTGTACAGACATGTCTCTAGTGCCTGGGCGCGTCGTACCCCAGGACGACGCAATATTAGAGGTAGACGAGTCATTGGAGATGGACGCTGCTAGAATTGAGGATATGCTCGACTTTGACATACCCAAGTTGTCACGCCGGTCTGACTCCATGTATGATGTCCTATCATCTATAGATGGCAACCAGCCAAGTGCGGAAGACCTTTCAATGCTTAAAGCCACTAGAAGAGGATATAACCAAGCCCGTCTCCCTTTTGCCGATGTCAGCAGCTTTCTAATCAGACCTATAAACATCCCCGAGGACTTCGATTTAGGAGTACGAGCCAAGGTACAAGTAGCAATCTGCTCTGGAAACATCATATCACTCCTCTCTTCCATTATAGACGTGATGGTTGGCGAGAAGGATCCGCTCACAATTCTTGAGCAACTGGATAATTCATTCCCGGTCTCATTCGACCCATATTCTCAGAAGAACGGTGACACAGAGCAACTTCTGGATCTAGCGTTTCGTATTCGATTTCGCCACGTAGTTGAACTACTGGCCGGTAAATCTTCTGCTGACCCCCGCGAACTAGCTACCGGCGTGTTCTATATTCAGTCCTCAGACGCTTCCAACGCCTCCCAGGAGCTGACCGACCAAGGACAATATAAACCTTTGGCCGGGATCGATATTAATGGGAACCACCACATTTTCGAGAGTTACCGAGCCCGCATCGAGGAGATTCTCTCAATGCTTTTTTCCGACGACAGATCCGAAGTGGAATCGCGTCTGGATCAAGACTGTCCAAAGGAAGAGCTCTTTAGGGATCTCAGATCATGGGGCCTAGATACGTATAGACAACTTCATGTGCCGGCGGATCAAAAGAAGCCGCGTGCCGCCAAAACAGGCCAAGAAGAAGATACGTACAAAGTATCAGGACGTGGGGAATCGGAGTCTCTTTTTGTCGAGAACAACGAAGAGGCCAGAGAGGATTCAGATCCAGAATCAGATACGGATGCTACAGAATACGATCAACTGCCAACACAGGAATCTAAGTACGTTTAAATAACATCTCTAGTTCACTCAAGGTTATACTAACCCTCCGTAGTCAAAATTTCATCGATAGTTATGCCACCCTAGCCGCCGTGAGAAAAAGCGAGAACCAACACATACTACGTTCGGTATCGGCACGACCTTCTAATGAAGACGCTGTAGAAGAGAACAGTGAAATATTGGACGTTGGGGACGCAATCCGTCATCTAGATCCCAGTCGGGTAATTGGACGTCCTAGAAAACGCCCGGCTCCTGGTGAAGATGGCGAAGATGGTGGAGATGGTGGAGACGATGATGACTTTGAAGTGAACGTGCACCTTCTCGATGAATCTAGGCGACCTCGTAACGAATATACAGCTGTTCGAAGACCGCCTTTTAAACGCCTCCGAATCTCAGAACCATCCGAAGTTGCCCACTACGGGCAGGGCACCCGAGAACGGTCAGGGAGCGACATATCAGAGGAACTTAGTTTACAAGGACGGGACCTTCTCAGGCTAAGCCAGGAAGCCCAGCATATTCGACGTGGGACTTACGCGCCAAGGCCCCGGCAGATTCGCGTACCTTGGTCCGCATCTGATACTTCCCAACTCTTAGATCTGATCGCTGATCCGTCAATCAATTGTTCGTGGAGTACCATAGCCAGGTTAGGTAATTTCGAACATCCAAGGAACCAGCAACAAGTACGTGACAAGGCTCGTAGTCTGAAAGTTTTGTATCTGGAGTGTGACAAAGTTCTGCCACCGGGTTTTGATAAGGTTGTTCTAGGGCAGAAGGAAAAAGCAGCGGTCATCAAGTGTTATAGGAACCCTGATCGACGAGAATACGACATGGATGAAGAGGGAATTACGAATAATATGTGGGTTGATTGAGGCTATGGGGCGACCTATTATAGTATTATTTCCTGGGAGTGCCCTTTTTATTTTCCTTCTTTTGTTATCCTCTCGCCATTGTATAGGTATGTTTACGAATAGATACCCCGTTAGACTAGCTCTGGCTTGTACAATTAGTAACAAGGAATTTATTAACCCTTCTACCTTTCTGCCCTTTCTGCCCTTCTGCCCTTTTAATACTTCGCGATAACTCCAGAAACCCCCCAGTTACCTCTTAGTCGAGCTCCACCATCCTGTCTCATGTTGTCATGGATAAGTTGTGGTCTGAAGAGGATTCACATGTCTACCATATGATATTTTCAAAGCTTCGTGATACCTGCTTAGGTACCTAGTTATACTCCTAAATATCAGGCGCCGCACATAGCAGATAATAACATGCGGAGTTAACCAAAAAGTCCGAACTGGGTGTAAGTTGTTACTTGCAATTGCAGCAAAGCCGATTCTAGGCTGCCCTGCCATTTTGACATTCTGGGTAGTACCGAATTCGAGAACCTGGAGTTTAATCCATGACGTATCAGGAGAGACGGCAGAGTGATAAGGTAGCAAATCTCACGAGACAAATTTTAATAGCCGCTACAGGAGGGGCCAATAAGGCTGCATGTAATTTACCTAAGGCTCGTTGTGTGTGGAGTGCTTTAGCAGGTTGGGCAGCTATCGAAAAGGTTTTTTTTTTCCTCCTGCTTTGTTCAAGCAAGGTTGTGGTCCAACATGTGCGGCGGACTTGGAGGTAGGTACTTGGGCTAGTCTGAGTCACCCGACATAAGGGTCCTTACTTTACATACAAGTCTTCCAACAAGAGGCAAACACAACCGTAGATTACGAAACGTACACTACAAAATCATAGGTATAATTATGGTGAAGAATTGAAATAATGGTATTAAATCATTAGGTACACTTATCCAATATGCCTCATATACATACCTATACAGGTTACCTAATGTATTGATTGTACTTTCCTCAAAAGACGTCACCGAGGGGCATTTACTTGTGTGCGCGACAAGAAGGATCGATCATCGTACAGTTGAATATGTCGTTACCTAAGTAAGTACTAGTAAAGGAGGCTTTGCCACTGTACAGGGCTGCGGTCAAAATTGGTAGTTCAAATGGTTCGACATACCAGGTAGGACTAAGGAGTACCTCGACCTACCTTCACGTACCTAATTGGATACATATTTAGATTAGGTAGATACAATGTACCTAACCTAATGAAAGGTGCCTAGCCGTAGATATCCGCCAATGTTGAAACCGCAAGGCGGTACCCCGTAGGTATTTAGGTATGATGTATGTAGGTCCGCGTGTAAGGAGGTACTTGATAAGCTATTGAATACATCCACATCCACTCACAGACACAGTATACTTTAGGTTGGAAGGTTTGGAGCCAATGGATAAGCTAAAAAGTTGAAGGTTACATGTTAGATAAGGTACGAAAGTACAGTGTAAAAAGGCAAATTGAAAAAAAAATTAAAAAAATTCGGTTTGTGAATTTGGAAGGAGGGGTGCGCAAGCAGGAAGGGCCTGAGGAGGGGCAGTGCCCCCACAATCAAAAAAAAAAAAGAAAAGAAAAATCTACCTTAGGCCACCATCCGAAATACTTTATAAACCCTTACATACCCTCGCCAACACTCCTCTGAGTTTCCTTTTGATCCTCGTCTCGCACACCGTTAATCAGAAGCATTAACACCTGCTGAACGTAAGAACTTTCCCTTCCCATATCCTTCTTCCATCATCATCATCTTCGTCTTCATCATCATCGTCGTCAACAACTTTAATCTATCCATCTACCATCACAAGACTTCGCTCTCTCAGAACCCATAAACTGACCATCATCTACGCAGTTTTCGTGTCTCCCTTCATCACACACATACAAATCAGCAAACTTCTACCGTCAAAATGGGGTATGTAAAACAAAAGGCCTAGAGCGCTTCCTTGGTGGAAAGCCTCGTCGATTGCTAACAGAATTGCAGTAAGGAAGACAAGACTCACATCAACGTCGTCGTCATTGGCCGTAAGTATTCCTATTAATTGCTGCAACTCTCAAAACGGATTTCTAACTTTTTCTGTCAGACGTCGACAGTGGCAAGTCCACCACTACCGGCCACTTGATCTACCAGTGCGGTGGTATCGACAAGCGAACCATCGAGAAGTTCGAGAAGGTCAGTAAATATCGAATTGTTTTTGTTTTTATATCTCTTTTACAATCTCTATCGTCGTGTGAATTCTACCCCAGCCGAAAGGTCTCTGGACCGGACGTCCTGATCATTTCGCTGCATTTCGCTGCAACCCGGTGCCCCTCCTTTGTCAGAACTCAAACCCCCACCAAGGGCAACAAAAATTTTCCTACCCCGCTCTGACGTTCTGCACAACACTGGTGTGCACGGAGCAACCAGTCTAATCTAATCCCAACCATGCCAAGCGATCATGATGGTCAACCAAGAAAAGCATCTGCTGACACCATCAATAGGAAGCTGCTGAGCTCGGCAAGGGTTCTTTCAAGTATGCCTGGGTTCTTGACAAGCTAAAGGCCGAGCGTGAGCGTGGTATCACCATCGACATTGCGCTCTGGAAGTTCGAGACTCCCAGATACTATGTCACCGTCATTGGTACGTCCTCTGCCATATCGAATTTATACCGAATTCATCAAGCCTTGTCACAATGCTAACAATCTCTTAGACGCCCCCGGTCATCGTGACTTCATCAAGAACATGATTACTGGTACCTCGCAGGCCGACTGCGCTATCCTCATCATTGCAGCTGGTACTGGTGAGTTCGAGGCTGGTATCTCCAAGGATGGCCAGACCCGTGAGCACGCCCTGCTCGCCTACACCCTCGGTGTTAAGCAGCTCATCGTTGCCATTAACAAGATGGACACTGCTAAGTGGGCCGAGGACCGATACAACGAAATCATCAAGGAGACGTCCAACTTCATCAAGAAGGTCGGCTACAACCCCAAGACTGTTGCCTTTGTCCCCATCTCTGGTTTCCACGGTGACAACATGTTGGCTCCTACCACCAACGCTCCTTGGTACAAGGGCTGGGAGAAGGAAGGCAAGGGTGGCAAGGTCACTGGCAAGACTCTTCTCGAGGCCATTGACGCTATCGAGCCCCCCAAGCGTCCCACGGACAAGCCTCTCCGTCTTCCCCTCCAGGATGTCTACAAGATCGGTGGTATTGGAACTGTGCCCGTCGGCCGTATCGAGACTGGTATTATCAAGCCCGGTATGGTCGTTACCTTCGCCCCTGCCGGTGTTACCACTGAAGTCAAGTCCGTCGAAATGCACCACGAGCAGCTTGTCGAGGGTGTCCCCGGTGACAACGTCGGCTTCAACGTGAAGAACGTCTCTGTCAAGGAAATCCGACGAGGAAACGTCGCTGGTGACTCCAAGAACGACCCCCCTGCCGGCTGTGATGACTTCACTGCCCAGGTCATTGTCCTCAACCACCCCGGTCAGGTTGGTGCTGGTTACGCCCCTGTTCTTGACTGCCACACTGCCCACATTGCCTGCAAGTTCGCCGAGCTTCTGGAGAAGATTGACCGACGAACTGGTAAATCCGTTGAGAACAACCCCAAGTTCATCAAGTCTGGTGATGCCGCTATCGTCAAGATGGTTCCCTCCAAGCCTATGTGTGTTGAGGCTTTCACTGACTACCCTCCCCTCGGCCGTTTCGCCGTCCGTGACATGCGACAGACCGTTGCTGTCGGTGTCATCAAGGCTGTGAACAAGAGCAGCAAGAGCGGCAAGGTCACCAAGTCCGCCGCCAAGGCTACTGGCAAGAAATAAACTTGCTAAATCACAACCCAACTACAATTTCGAGGATATAATATGTCTTCGGCTGGTTAGGTGCCATAGGCCCTTGACGAAACGACGATGCCTCTACGAATTTCCTTTTTCTTGACACGATCTGTTCTCTCGGACATTTGATACGGAGCGCAGTATGAGAGGAAGGGTTATGGGCATTTTCGCGACAAAACTTTCTCATGTGCTTGTAGTAAAATAGAGTCATAGACCGTGGCCCGTTCTTTTTTTTTTCCCCGCTGTGATTGTGATGTCTTGCCCGTGCACTTTTGCTTCTTGCCGGAATGATCATACTCTATGGTTTGATCACAATAAACCTAGTGTCATGCTTCACACTAATTTCGTTACGTAGTAAATGGAAGATCCATACCCTTTACGTTAATGCGCCTCTTTTCGTCAGCAAATTTGGCGTTGCTCTCTAATCACTGATGTAATGACTGGTGAGGCGTGAGTGTTCCCTATATCTTTCTACTCCGCTACAACGATGTTGTAAAAGCACTAACCTAGCAACCTTGATCTCTTTTCTACTATTCCTACAGCAGTCTCTCTTGATGTTTTGGGGGTTTGGTTTGTTGATACAAGTGGATTATGTTCCTGTGTCTAGTTGGCGCTCAAAGGCATAGAGTAGGTATTTGTAAGTGTACATTGTGCTGCATGTAGCTGCTGGCAACTGAAAACTATATAATCTAATCTATATCCCATTACACATGCTACAATCCTGTCCAAAAAGTATCAGTGCTGGCGAGTTTGTGGCAGGCCGCTAAGAACTCGTCGTGCAATTTACGGGAATTAATATTACCACCGGAAACAACGGTTGGTTCCAAGGTGACTTCAGCTCCCTGTCTGCTCTCCGGCCCTGCCTCAATAGATGTGTATGATAGCTTGAAACCTTCGTATAACGTCGAGATAGAGCGATGGATCTCGAGACTCGCTAACGTGTATTCGGTCTCGATGCTCAGAGGTGTCCTTGAGTCTGGGCTAGGTGTAAAGTCGGCGGAATCTTTGGAAGTACTCCATGATAATGGATGCCACGGGACTGAAAACCTTCGCCTTGGAGGTGTTTTGAGCCTGCCGCGCTCCAAATCGAGATGCGATGATGCGAGAAATGTGTGTAACGGCTCCCAGGAAGCTGACTTAGAAATGTCATCACTTGGCACTACGTATTCGTCTTGCGTAAAGCGTAGATCGACTGGACACGCAGGAAGCATAACGTCCGTGACGTGCTCTCGTCTAATAGCACGTAGGCTCTCGATGCCCTTTATTTTGTTGCCCGACACTGAGAGACGAAGCTCGAGGAGAGGTGCTGGAGGAAAAGCAGTGGCAGAGTGGGGCTTGCGCTGCTTCTTCCCTGGCATCTCGTTCTGGGCAGGAGTGGGCCAGAATCGAAGAACCACCGAGGATTTTGTCTCGACGGGCTGTGTTCCAGTGTTCAGGCTGGTGAGTTGTACAGCGTGCGGTGTTGAAGCAGCGAACACACGGGGATGGTTGGCAACTAGGAGGCCGGGTAGGGCAGGAGGCGTGGCAGACGGGTTGTTGGCATGTAGCAAAGTGCCAAACTGCGCTATTGTCGAAATTTGGTACTCACTGGTCCATCCGACCCTCTTGTAAGAAGATGGCTGCATATCCGTTGCAGGTTCAAGTGGCTCGCCAGATATAGGAGTTTGAGGTAGCGATATGATTGGAAGCTGAAGTCTGCCAAGTGGGTTTTCTGTTGCTGGATTGCTCTCCTCGGATGTCACTGGTAGTATGTAACGAGCCCACGCGCTACTTCTGTAGTTCCATGCCAGCCTCTCTTTACTAGTCGTATTCATAACAAACCTGCCCGGAGGTTTATTTTCTAAGCCTGCGACCATCAGAGTCCTTGTTGTTGCTGGTTGTGGGTTAGAACCGGTTAGGAGTAGGCGACAGGCTTCATCGCCTTGGGATGTCAGGTCCGTAGGACCCTCAGTATCGATCCAAGTTATGCGGCACTGCAGAGTTACGGTTAGTACGTACGTGAGAAGTATCCTTCGAAGAGGCTGCTATCTTACATTTCCGGTAGATTTAATCAAGGACACGTGGGTGTTTGTAATACGTCCTATCTCTTCTAGCGCTGCTTCGTCGAGGCGCTCCTGGACGACGAAACCTCTCGGGGAAATTATATAAGTAACCTCCTTGAGCATCTTCGCCAAGCGCTGTATCAGGGTCAATGTTTTTGTTTTTGTGGCCACTATCCGTATAGTCAATTTGCTTCGAGTTGCCTCGATCTTTTCGCCAGGACCGAACCATGTATCATCTATACCGTTCATCCATTTCCTGGTACCACCTACTGAGATATTAGAGAGGTTTATTCAGTCGAAGGGAACTACTGGTTGCGGACATACGCATAAGGAGGAGGAAGCTCTTATTTTGTATCTTGATCTTCATTTCACCAAGCCTAGCATCAAGCTCTGTGATCGAAAGACCCCAACACTCACGCATGATTCGCAATGCCAACGCCTCTTTTGGAAGGGTCGATTCCGTCGCATACCCTTGCAAGCTAGCATCGATACCCTCTACAGGCGTTGACCGGGTTCCTAGCGGCGCCCATGGGCTGATATTTCTAACCCAACTATACTTCTTGACGTCCGCTAACAATTTATCTGCCGGGTTGGACCCAGTTGAATGGCGTTTTTTTTTTTTATAGTATTCGAGATAGCCATAGAGTTGCGGGCTCAGAAAACCGTCCATTAGCTCGGCTTGCAGTTTGCGGAACTCTCTTTCTGGCATGGTAGTTTCCGACTTTGGTTTTAAACCATCAAGACCGGCATAGACCTCCTCTATGGTCGGCGTCTCTCGCTGAAGCTTAAGTAGAGCCTCGAGATTGGCAGGCTTGTTGCCAGTTCCTTCGTCGGGATCTTCGGGAACGTAAGGACGGCGGCCTTTCTTTCGATATGGACCTTCGTCCTTCATGATAATTACGGAGGCGGGCTTGCCTAGCATACCGATATCGAGGCTTCCTGAGGCCTCCTCAAGGATGCGATTGCGAGAGAGACGTTTCTTGCGAAGGTCCAAGGACTTAACACCACGTCCTCTCCCGTGTTCGCGCTTCCTATGATGTCCCCCCTCATTTTTATTTTCCAAACCCAATCCCTCGTTTTCGGGGCTTAGATCCTCGTCGGTTGGAAGGGCGCTTGAGTTGCTGTAAAAGCGCTGTAAGATTGAACGCTGGTTTCTAACAAATTGACTCGAAATCTGAAAGAGCTGAGGGGTTTGACGAAGAAGACGTAGTCGGCATCTTAGACAGATTGCGCCGCCAGTCACTTTCGCGGCTAGCATGAAGAAGGGACGGAAGGATACCTAGGTGAGTGACGGGAGAGAAATAAAATATGTGAAGACTAAAAGGTCTACTAGGAAAGCATGAGTATGTGAAGGCAACTTGTTTCTAGAGAACAAGGGTAGTAGATGAAAAAAAAGAAGATAAAAAAATAAAATATTCGCCCCAAACTTTTTTTTAGTCTACTTCCTAATTAGGCAATTAGCTTTAAGAAACATGTATGTATGTATGTTATACATAGTAATGCCTAGTACTACGGTACCTAGATTATTCGAATCAAATCAAATGCGATATCCGAAATCCGATAAGACCTTATCGATAAAGTTGAAGTGGCAGAAGCGGGTACGGGATGAGACCTCGCCCTCCTACTACTTAGGTATGTACGCGTGTAGAAAGGAAAGTAAAACGCGTCTTCAGTCAATTTCTGCCCCGCTACCATTTAATCCCCGTACTTAACCTGCAAACTCATAACGTAGGGTACATTTACATCTCTCGAGACTCGATCAGTTAGTCCCCTTAGACTACTTCATTAACAAGGGTTTTTTTTTATATTAGTATCAGAGAATTGTTACTGGTTATACCTTGGGAACTCTTCCCATCAACTCGTATAGCTATGCCTCCGCAGACTCAGACTCAGACTCAGAGACGGCGTAGAACAGGTAATAATGATGACGCAAACGAAGCCCGACGTCATCGCCAGTCCCGACGCAAAAATGAATCGGATGATTCTGAGGCCTCTGAAGAAGACCAAGATGGCGACGTCGATATGGAGAGGGCAGGCGACGGCTCAGAAGACCAGTTAGTGAAAAAGCTGGTCCGGTACGCGTTAGCATGCGAATATGCAAGGATTCCTATCAAGCGAGATGGCATTCGAGATAAAGGTAAGCCGACCTCGCCCAAGATATCCGGTTCGTGATAGTTCCTTACTAATTATTAAAAATGGCTACATGTAGTTTTAGGAAGCAATGCAAGATCGTTTAAACGTGTGTTTGAGGGGGCCCAAGCCCAGCTCCAACAAGTATTCGGCATGGAGATGGTAGAATTACCTGTTAAGGAAAAGCGCACCCTAAAGGAAAAGCAGAGTAAGGATTATATGGCGGCGTACATAATTATCTCCCACTGACCGGTTAACGCAGAAGCGAACGCTAGAAAAGCGGCTTCCCAAACCAACACGTCCTCTAGGCAATACATATTGGTCTCGACCCTGCCACCCGAGTACAAATCACAGTCCATAATCGCCCCATCACGAATACCGAGTACATCCGAAGAAGCTGCATACGTTGGATTCTATACCATGATCGTCTCCTTGATTGTCCTGAACGGAGGGGAACTAAGCGACACCAAGTTACGGCGATACCTAACCCGTCTCAATGCCAGCCAGAACTTACCCATGGACAGGACTGATAACGTATTGCAGAAAATTGTGAAGCAGGGCTACGTCGACAAGGTGGTGGAGAAGAGCGATGGCGACGAGGATGCTGTTACCTGGTGTATCGGATCCCGAGGAAGAGTCGAGGTTCCGCCTGAAAGTATTGCAGCAGTTATCACCGAAGTCTGGGGCGAGCTTCCCGATGATTTCCACAAGAAACTACACAGAAGCTTGGGAATACAAGAACCTCAACAAGCCTATGATGAAAGCGCTATGCTTGAAGAATAAGGGATGAAGTTTGGAGGCGCTGTAGATCAGAAGCCAATGCATGCATAGTGTACTTTTAACGATACCCCGGTAATAAGACCACGTTTCGCACAAAATTATTTCTAGTGTAGCCGTAGTCGACCTGGAGAACCAGATACGTTGTACGCTGCAGTCTTTATCCTCTTCTAACTGATCAGGACTGACCAACTTCCCTCCACTACCATAAGCCGTCCGATCTATACGGCGCATCGATAATTCGACATCGTTTAATAGTTGCCGGTATACATATTGCGGCATCTTGACTATGCTACGTCATCATTCTTTATTTATTTTTATTGATTATGATCCCGGATAGGCTCCTCGCCTTCACGAGGAGGCGGTGGACCACACGGCTGTATCATCTTACGTAGTAACTGAGCTCGAACTTTGGCAGCGGGTTCGTTTTGAGCGAGTGAGATATAGGCTAATTGGGAAGGATGGCCGACGAGGCTCGAGTATGTGTCGCGCGCGACGTTCGTTCGCCATTCCCATGATGTCGTGTCTGGGTGACCAGTGCCGATATACTTGGCTTGCAGTCGCTCGAGCTCCTGTTGGGTGCGTAGTTTGTCCGCCTGTACGCGATTTAGCTTGGGTCATTTGATCGAGTCAGTCCGTCAGTCAGTCAGGCATACCATGTCTGTATTTTCTGTTCTTCTAGACTTTAGAAGAAGAAAAAGTTATTTCGAGTGGCGTATAATTTAGTCCGTTCTAGCGGATGAGATGGTGAAAATATCAATATTTACTTAAGCTACCAGAAATCGAAGATAACTAATGGTTGTTCTTTATTGTTTTTATTTTTTATTTTTTATTTTTTTTCAATGGAGGTGTTGCTGGGAACAAGGGGTACTTTTCAAAGGTACTTTTGATTTTGGCCTTGCGGTTTTTAGTCCGTTTTCAGACTAGGTACCCCCAATCTTAGCTTCTTAGGTAGGTAGCTGGATTGTTCTAGGGAATTCCTCGGCATTCCTGATAGGACAAACGGTAATAAGGCACAATAAAATCAAAACGAACAACGAATCCGCGTGGTGCAGTGGTTAGCATGGTGCTGTAAGTAGAAAAATGTCTTCAAATTACTACTTTGCAAACGGTTACTAACAATTCGAAATAGCTTATACTTTCTCAAGTATTGAGGAATGCATAGGTCGTGGGTTCAATCCCCACCGTGGATATCTATTTTTTTTCTTTTTCCCTTTACCATTGTATTTCTTGTGGAATATAGAATGAGTAGTTATTTCCCTCGCTTTTTCCTATCTTAGTTGTTCGCAAGAGTTTTATTTTTATTAACTTAAATGCAAATAATTTTAACTATTATGTAGGTAGGTACTGTAATCTCATATGTTGGAAAACTTATGTTTTACTTTTAACAGTATGAAAAAATGTACGTACGTTATTTAAATGTGGATAAGAAACTTACACATATCTAACCTAACCCAGCCGGCTCAAGGTTACTTTAATGGTTCATACTACGCTGCATCTACCTGTAATAACCTACACCAAAGTACAAATGCGCGTCGTGTAATCGCATATATGTACGAGTAGGTCATCACATCATCACATCGTCGCATCGTCACATTGTTACATTGTTACATTATCGTCCCAGGCTCCAACTATTCCGTAAACAGTCTATCACGAATAGATTCTGGCTGTTGTTGACCTCGTTTCAACCATTCCTGGACACGGTATCAGCCTAGGTTGTTGATCTCACGACGACACGGGAACATAGCAGAACCGTCTATGAACCCCAAAATTACCTAGCCTCTACATAATACTTGGATTCTCAACTGCGTGTCTGAAAAGATGCTGGAGCCTTGGGATGAAGCCATCGCCCTTCAGAAAGAGCGCCAATCCTGTATCGACGATGTGCAATCTATTAAAACATCATGTGCCAAGGATCACGGCAAGAGGCATCCCTTCGAGTGCCCAGATTGCTGGACCCGCCTCCTTAATCGTATAAGGGATCGATATCTCAACTCTGCTTCTAAGGAGTGGTTTTCAGGCCGAAGGCCTTTTTTGCTCGAATTGGATACCATGTTTTCCAAGGCTCACAATTCCGAGGTCGATCTCAAGACTATCGAGCAGCGGATAGTCGACGAAAAAAAAGAATGGTACCGGGACAAGGTAAAAAATATTGGATTTCAACACGCTACGAAGTCACCGCTGGAAGATCGCATTCTACAGCAGAAAATCAACGATCGGAGCATATCAGCAGATCAACTTGCCTCAGAGCTGAGAGCCTCCTTCAGCGACGGTGCTGTCGAGAACCAGGAAGTACTCGACAAGTTTATAGAGCAGCTGAAACATGCCAGCTCACCACAGGCACGCGCCGAGGCCTATGTTAATATATTTTTTCAACCGGCCCACGACCCTTCTGGTGCGGCAAAAGCCCAAAAGTACATCGACATAATTAGAAACGGGACGTCCATCGCTGATACCATCACTGCCATGATCCGTGACCGTCATATGGCTAAAGGCGACCAAGACCAGAAACAGGCACTTCATAAACAACTCGAGGAGCTGAAGAGGGCTAAAGCGGCCCACGAACTAGGCAAGGCGAAACATGATAAGGCTCAGCAGGATAGAACCAGAGAAATGGCGCTTTCTGATGACCAACAGGACTTGCCGCCATGTTCGGCATGCTCGAGACCCCTGGATGCGCAGGATTTCATCATGTGTCCCTTATGCCAGATTCTGGGCGATTATTACAGACTTCATGTCCAGCCTACACTATTCTGTTCTCAGAAGTGCGAAAACGAACGCTACGTAAATTGCCCCCCTTACCAAATGCAATATTGGCGAATGAATTCTTACCGTTAACAGGAAGCGCATGTCGAAGCGGCACACGAGTGCGCATCAGGTCAGAGATGTGTTCTGCTTCATGATGAAGACGTCGAGATGGACGACGGCAGAACCGTCTTGGTCTTCTGTCGGGAGTGTGTAGGAACACTCGGCATCCCGTCCGTATTTTGCTCGGCTCGCTGTTTTAATGAGAACTTTCAGCATCATCGCGACGGAATTCATGTTCCTGAGCGGAAGAGTACCCAGAATGAAGTCAGGGATGATAATCAGCTTGAATTCGACCCTGACGGTAAGACGAAATATAAGGCTAGAAAAATCGAGGAGCACCTAGTTACGTTTGACAATGCTATAAAGGAATGGCAGCAGAAAACCGGCATCACGGTGAAATAAAGCCGCAGAATATATTTTAAACTTGTTCTCTTCTCTTCCTGTCCTTGTATAAGTTAAGAAAGGAGCCGGCTAAAATGGAGAAGCATGATGATGATGATGATGATACATATTAAGGTTAACCGCTTGCAATGTACCTGGCCTTTTTTTTCGAGCCCGATATATGGATTATTACGTATATGTAGCTAGGGTAATGTTAAATATGGTCCGAGTAGATGGATGTAAATAGGTATATAATACCCGCTAAACAACCCTTTCCTGCCTGGACGATCAAGGGGTTCGGTACCTACCTACGCAATAAATGCCCCGCATCCAAGTTACATAAGCTTGATATCTCCGAGGGGCAGGTAAAGGTTATTTAAATTCCAGTGGAAGGCCGAGACCTAAAGCTTTCCGTGCTCGGCGCCGATTGTATTTTTGGCCGAGCAAGGTTAATTGATTCAAAAAAGAAAAAAAAAAGAAAGCGAGGTTACTAAAAGCTTCCGCCGCGACAATATCACAATCGGCATTTTGTCATCAGCTGCACAATTGAAAAGCTGACGTCTCTATTACACCTTCAACTTTTCCCAAGTCCCATCAACCTGCGATCCGACCCAGCGCATCAAACATGTCCATCGCCTCAGCCCTGAAGGGCGACTTGCCGCAGCAAGCTCGATCATTGGTGAGTTTTACTCTCACAGAACTCTGTATTTCACAGCCATGAGCTGAGCTAACTAAAGTTATTTTGCTTTCTAGTACCGCCAGCTGTTACGCCAAGGCGAGCAGTTTGAATCATACAACTTCCGAGAGTACGCAAAGCGCCGGACGAGAGATGCATTCCGAGAGAACGCGGGCGTGCAAGACCTTAGAGAGATACAGACTCTGATACAGAAGGGTCTCAAAGAGTTGCAGATGATGAAGGTATGGCATGGCGTCTATGTCTCTCGTAGCCGACGGCCGCAGGCAGTGTAGCACGATGCGATGAATAGCATAACTAACATCTTGTTCTCGTCTTCCCCTTGTAGCGCCAAACAGTCATCAGCAAATTCTACCAGATAGATCGATTAGTAGTTGAGGGTGGTATATCGGTATGTTACTCGAGATGCTCATCTTCACGCGGGCGTACCCAATCGCTAAACCTACACCAACAGGGCAAGCAGAGCGGAAATTCCGGAGATATCTCGCGGCAGAAGGACACGGGGTGAGCATACAAGTTTAATGCAGTACTACGGCTTGAACGGCATCCGCTAACTTTACACGTAGATGGGATTAATATCACCCTTGGCGATGCTTTAGACTACCTGCGATAGGGTCAGCTCGTTCTGCTCGTCTTTACCATACAAGGTACCGTACAAGGTACCATACGAGGCGTGCCAAAATCTGTACCATTACAAATTCATTGTACATCAAGCGCGCGGTTGAATTATATACCTAGGTAGGCTTGCGGATTCCATTCTCCTGGTTCGCAGGAGTGTCAAGTTCCATTAGAGTAGGGAGAAGAATGGAAAAGGGATCATGTTAGAATCCGGTATGCATGAGACGGGGAACGAAAGTACGGCCTATAAGAAACGCAATGTATGGTACGAAGGGGGGGTATCGAGGTCATCTCTCATCATGATATCGATGGTTAATTCAATTCAACTTACTTAGTAGTATGAACCTGCGGGCTACAGCTCTATAATATGAAGGCTGTTTTTTTTTTTAAGCATGCTAGTAGAAGACTAACTAACCACTCAGATATTCGCCGCAAAGCGATCAATATATATCCAGGTACCTACATACTCAACAAAAAAATTTAAAAAAATAAATAATAAAAATAAAGTGTTCTAACCAGAAGTTTAGTTACTGTATAATAACGAAAACGTATTGTATTAACTATCCCGTACTCATAAAGATCAAAAAGAGACAAATAGATTCACAGAACCAAAGCTTCCACAACCCCTAGCAAATACGAATTGAATGTACAACAAATTGGTTAGGTTAGGCCTTACATAAGTACATTTACACTTTCCTACCTAATAGCGATTTGACACTTTCTCTAAATGTTGGTTGAATGTTCTTTCTAGATAAAAAAAAGAGAAGTTGCGGTGAGTGTGGATCGAACACACGACCTTCAGATGTGAGAATGAAGTTGGACTTCAGTCTGACGCTCTCCCAGCTGAGCTATCCCCGCGAAATTGATGAAACTTAGGACTGAAATCTGCATCTATATATGGTACGCAAACTGTGATACATGCATGTGGATACGAAGTACGTACTTACTACTACGTATGTACTGTGTACTGTGTACTGTGTACATTTAAAGTTAGATTGATTAGTCAAAAGCATTTGTTGTCGCGTTCCCCAAACTCTCTCACCTGCGCAATGACCCGTAGCCATTTCTGTTCTCCGTCGCATGCAAGTCAATCCTCTTGGATAGGTCCCGATAACTTCTTGCATCATCTGCTCCCGCTCCCACTCTCGCTACTGGCTCGCCAATTCGCTCTTGATAGAGATATCGCAGATACCAGAGATACAAACAAGTAGTTATACCTTTAAAATCATTGGGTTCTCCAAATTTATTCGTCCAAGACCGAAAACACCCCGAATCCGAATCGAATCGCGTACGTTGTTGGCCTCTTAATGGCTTCCAATGGCTCCTAATGTACGAATGCCTTCATACCCTTTCACTCCCCATCACCCCGGCCTAGCTAATAATATTCCCCGTTGCAGTTTCGCCAAAATACCCAAACGCGACGCGGAAATCGTAGCGGATATGTTGAACATGATGATTTTGAGGGTATGTTCTTCTCAGTCCATGACCCACGTCATATCGCACGTCGCATGATGGCACCAGCTAATTTTTGATCCAAAAAGGTCTACCCGTAAGACAATGGCGCCGGGAATGGGTCAAGATCGTACCGCCGACGCCCGCGGAAGCCGCTCAGAAGAACGATATATGGGCAATCGAACTTCCACACGGCATGCCCAAAGACTCGCATTTACTGCCTACGCATACTCAGGAGTTGCTCAGGGCCGCTCGCTCGGGGAGGCTGTATAAGCGACCGGCACCAGCGGAAGAGGAGGAGGTTGACGCGGACGCCGCCCTTGCGGAAAAACCGGAGAAGAAGGAGGATCCAAGCATCAAGGGCTACCAAATCAAAGTTTGGAAGCAGGTCGCCCGCAATGCCGAGGGGCCTACCGTCTCCCACTTAGCCAAACGCAGGAAAGGAGTTATCACACTGTCATCAAGTCTCCCCGCTGGTCCGTCCTCTGGTCCGACGATAATGAAAGCTACTGTCCGCCGCATCGACGCAGCGGGAAATCCCTATACGCAAGAAATCACACTGAATGAAGGCCAGCCGATTGATGGAGAGATCATATCGACTACGGTAGTTCCGGCACCTAGTACTGCTGCGAATGGCGAAATATCTGTCGCCGCGACTCCCGTCAGGAGACGGCCGCCGCCGCCAAAGAGAAAGCCTAAAGGACCTGGCAGAGGACGGAAGAAGAAGCTACCTCTGCCAGCAAACACACGCCCCGAGCCGTCTAATACGGGTGTGATTTCTAGTATTGCCGACGGGGCTAAACTAAATCTTCCTGAAATTAATGTAAGTTGGCCTCAGTTAGTGGCGTTATCATCTCGTACTAATTGCTATTAGAATACCAAACAAGACGACCTGTCCGAAATCAAAAATCAGGACAGCGAGATGGCAGATGACGATGACGGAGATGAAGGAGATGAAGACGGCGATGATGGCGAAGACGGTGACGACGGCGATGAGGAGGATAGCGAAATGCCTGATGGAGAGAACGGGGCTGGTTTCCGAGCCGACAGTGAAACTAAGCCTGATGGCGTTCCGGAAATCCCTCAAGGTACTCAGGCCGAACCCTCCACCGCTGCGGCAGCACCAGAGCTCTCAACCAACATTGAACCGCTACTAGCAAGGGGACCCTCGCCTCCTTCTAATACTAACTTAATCTCAACCCACCCTTCCCTACAGCATGCTCCATCACAATTCGAGGGAAGCCCACTCAAGAATGTGATAGCTGCGACATCACCAACTGAGTTGTCGCCAAAACTCCCATCGATAGGAGAACTAGCAAGTATTACTGCTCCAACCGATCCCGAGCCATCAGAAGAAACGCCACTGGATCCTGTTCCAACACTAGCTGGTCCCATTGAGCCAGTAACTCAGGAAACGAAATCGACCGTAGAAGAGCTTGCTGTGGATATAGAAATGTCGGATGGTCCTCATCAAGAGTCTGCGGTGGTGGTTGTACCACCCGTGGTAGAAGCGGAAACACAACAACCGGATGTTTCGGCGATTGATCGGCTACCGACGATGAATCATATTCAAAGTGAAAATACCTATACGCCTCGTTCACCGCCATCGACAGTTGCACCAGAGGCTGCGAGTACCGAACAATCGATTGAAACGGTTGTTCCTGAGACGACTGTGGAAGTGGTTGCGAATCAGGAACCATCAGCTCCCGAGGCGGCTCTGGCATCCGCCGGTGACCTACCAGTTCCCGGACCTCTAGATACAAAAGCTGAAACTATTCCGCAAGAAAGGGCAGATGAGAATGAACCTGAGAGTCCTGATCTGTTTAGTGGTTTGGAGGCAGCTTTAAATCAACAAGGGGGGCCGAAGGAGGCTACACCCGCTCCAGAAGCAAAGGAAGTCAAATTTCCTCCGGAAGATTAATAATTCTTGAATAACCCAACTCCACTGGGATGTGTTCCATTTTCTGGGTATGCGAATAGTGTAAAATAGCTGTGGTATATCTCAAGCGCAAGGAGTAATTGGTTTAGTTAAGCTAGCCATGAGAGAGAATATATATTTCTACTCCGTTATAGTTCTTCACTATGCCGTCGGTTCTTTGTAAAACCAAATGTCAAGAATAACAAGGCTCCCGTTGAAGTTGATGAATGCCTACCTCCTAGGTATTTATTTGTACACGTGTTGGGGGGTTGTCAGTTAAAGCCGATACCTTACCTAGAGCCTAGAGGTACCTAACCTAACGTTACCTTTTTTTAGGTATTGTAGGTACCAGGTAGAGGCTGGTTGGTCTAGACTCCGGCCATTCCTGTTTAGTGTTAAGCGTCTTGTTAAGCACCGCAGTTTATTCGACTAACACCCGTTTGATGCTCACTCATATGAAATAAACCTCTTTGCCTTTTTCTCTTTCTAGAATTACATGTCCCACACGGCGTCACAAGTCAACGCGCGATACAGAAATCAATAATCAATCAATAATCAATATAATGCACAGTGATCTTATTGCTAGCAATTGGCCTGCTAGATTAGGTAGTCAATCAATCCCTATCAATATATTTGCTCCCCAGTCCTTCGCGTCTGAGAGCAGAGGACTCCTAAACGCCGTCGCATGTGTAATGAATACCCTTTCTAAAGTCATCATCCGAAGCTTTGGTCACCCGAAACCGTATGCAATGCATTCCAAGTCCGACCCGCCGTGAAACGTCCTTTTCCATCATCTCATGTATTTAGTAAGTTCTCTCTTTCCCTCTCTCTCTCTCTCTCTGTGGCTCATACCGTCACCTCCGCATGTTGCTCCCTCTCGACCCGTTCGAGGGCCGCGGTAAGCCGTTCTTCCTCGGCTTTTCGTTGCATTTCCTGTAAATACTGCGCGTAGCGCGACTTCTTATTGTGTATTCCGCACTCAGACTTGGCCTGGCCCTTCCACCGACCCGCGCGCTCGTCCTCGCCGGCGGAAACGGGAGAAGTCGAGTGCCAGTCACCGACGGACTTGTACCCACGGTCTAGTAGCACATTGTACGGCACGTTGTTCTCCGTAATGTACTGCTTGACTTGGGTGAAGGACCAGTCAACCAGAGGGTTGATCTTGACAATACCGGTTTCTTCGTCGACCTCGAGCACGCCGATCTTGTCCCGCTCGCCGCCTTGGGAGCGTCGGCGGCCCGTTAAGACGGCGGCCACATTGAGTTCTGAATAAGCCCGCTGTTGCGGCTCGACCTTGGCGATCCAATCGTACAGTTCGGCCGCTGTCTCGTACAGCTTCTCGCCGTACCGCTCTTCGAATTCGGCGGTGGTGTTGGCGCTGTGGGGCTTGAAGGTGTGGATTTTGATGTTGGGGTATCTCTCTTTGACTTTGTCAACTAGGTCATAGGTCTCCTGGAAGTGGTACAGCGTGTCGAGAAAAATGAGGTCAACAGGCGAGGTGCCCGGGGATTCCTTCTCGATTTTAGAGAGCATGTCTGTGGATACCAAACCGGTGAGGCCGAAAGCCGTCGATTGATATAAATTGGGGAATAAGATTCTGACGAAACGAAGCCTGTCCATGGCGTTCATTTTTTCTAGCTGTTGATTGAGATGCCTGACGTGCGGCGCGGTGAGGGTGACTTGAGGCAGCTCGCTTGTGGACTCTGCGGTTGACGACGAAGCTGAAGCGTATCCTGATTCTAGATCGGTTGAAGAAGCTAAGGCTTTGGATGAGAGGCGTGGGGAGGCCCGCTCGACATACGACGACGACGACGACCCCATCTTAAATTGTGTGATTATAATTTGTTTGTTATGGAAGAAATATGTGTTTACCAGAGGGGGGATATACGTCTGGGCCAAGTGGGCAAAGACTTGAGAAGACTTAAGAAGACTGGCAGCTATGACGAAACGAGTTTATAAACTATATCGCTACGATGACCCTGAGAGGACGTTTTCGAGAGGCTTAGGAAACTTGAGAGGAGTGATATGAGTGAGAAAGAGATGGAGAAGGGGGGGAAACGATGAAGAGCAGAGGATCGGAAGGGGAAGGAGATTAGAGGATTTTTCACTATGGAGAAAAAAAACGCCAGAGGTGCCGTTAGAATTCTAAAAGGGGACACAATGGAAAGAAACTAGCTACTTGGATAGTTACCTCGAAATAACGATTTCCGGAGTATTTTACTACCTCGGGAGTCAAACCAGTTACTTTTTAAGTTTTATATTATTTCCCCCGTGTCTATACTGACTAATCCGGTTCTCGGCATGTGTTAACTTGTTGTCGAGTGATGAAAAGTTGTTGCATATTGAACTGGGGGTATTGCGCGATCTGCTTAGATGAGATTTTACAGGCGGCAGTAGGCAAAGACCGGAGACACCAAGACGTTAAGACGTTAAGGCGGTCTCTTAGAAATTTTAGACGCTGATCACGACATCGGCGCTAGTGTAATCGCGGACAGCACAACCTGAACCGACCCATTGCTCATTGCTAGAATATTGGGTCCTTTGCTTGGTAGTACCTTCTACCTATACTATATACGCATGTATCATAACCATACTGATCACGCAATGCCGGGTGTGGAATATTTAAACTTGGTCGTTGTTCTTCGAGAATAGATATAGATATAGATATAGATATATATGCGTGTATATAAATCTATATATAAACTTATAAGCCCACCCTTTTATTTGATGTGTTTAGGATATATTATTACCTATACACTTTGTTTTCCTTACACCTAGTATATTTGTTATTGTTATTTGCGCGGCTGTTGTCTCAATAGACAACCTAGTGGCTGTATAATGCGACGGCACATCAGTCCTGTAAAGCGTAGCAAATATTATGCCTATTCAAGAGGTTAGTAAAAGTTCGGTTGGAACTTGGGGTACTTGTCACTACGATACATCATACACAAAACTTCTCGATTTCATTCATATCGCCCCTCCAGTTCCTTACAGGCCAACAGACCAAGTGCTTGAACAAGGGTATGTCATCATCTTGAGAGGATATTGCGAATTGACAGCGGTTGTCGGAAGTTAGAGAAAGGAAAAAAAAAAAACCGAGGCTAAGAAAAGAAAGAAAGTTGACTAACTCGGGTCTCGGTATGATGTTGTGATGTTTCAATGGTTAAAGAGCCGCTTGAACGGGTCATCGGGGCCGATAACCGTACCTGGAATGACGGGGATCCCGGTCGTTTTTAACCTTTACGCACTAGTCCCTCTTCTGATAAATATACACTATCTACCATAGTACAGGTAGGTAGGTACCTACTTACAAGTTACCAGGCAGGTATATTATATACAGATGTACAATACCTACAATATCCATGGATGTGCTTAACCTAATGCACCGTTTCTCTGTTCCAACACATCTTGGGTATAGGTAATCCGGGGTAATGCACAGACCATTAGCATAACCTTGACATAAGGTCTGAAAGTCTACTACCTATGACGGCAGCTGCGGCAGTTCTTCGGCTAGCTGACTCAGCTATTCCCCTGTGAAGTTTAAAAAGTGGTGTGCAGGAGGTACTTCACGGAGCGCGCCGAGCGGCCGAGGGGACTCTCTGATCTTTTCTTTATCTCAGCGGACCAATAATAGGTTTTATACAGACCCAGCCACCAGGAACTGGTTAGCGGGCCCAGCACGCGTGCCTTACGCTTAGGCTGGCTAAGCTAAGCGCAGGTGAAGCAAAGGTGAGGAAAAAAATACCCCGCGCAATTTTGTAAACTTCACTTCTTTGCGAAATAGAGCCTCAAACGTTGGGCACCACTCCTCGTTCGCCAAGAAGGTACTTCCTATGGTGCCTCGATCCTATTCTATTCTATCCTATCCTATCGAGAAATCTTAACCTAGTCCCCTAAATGTTTGCAAGTCCCGGTCGTCATACCAAATAATAAAAACGTATCAATCAGTCATCATAATCTCGTCTATAAACATAAACCCCATCATGGCCGCCGACGATAGCCCCACGAAGCAAGGCTTGGGTCGGCCGCAGCTATCTTCAATGAGAACTAGTTCCTATCTTAAAGAACACCAGCAGTACCGACCTCCCAAGCATGCGGATAGTCATTTCGGTATAGATACCGTCGTTGAAGACTTGCAAAGCCATAGAATCTCCCCTCCCAAGACCTTCAGCCCTTTCAACGGCGTGCCCTCCAAAGATGAGCCGCCGCGTATCGTTGAAGGCGCTAGCCACGATTTTACTCACCCAAACTGCGCTCCTCCAAGAGGCACCAAGATAGATCGACTTGTTGCTACCTTGATCTACAAGTCTACCTCGTCCCATTCCACTGTCCCGTCTCCGAGACTCGCCTCGTCCAGCTCCGATATCCCCGCAAACCTTGCACCAACTACCAACATCGAGTCTTTTCCACTGGAACCTCCCGCCGCCGAGCCCGAGCCTCTCGATCATCTTTACGGTTCCTACATATCCCCGCTATGCATCACCTCTTTTCTTCACCTGATGTCGACTCTCCCCTTGCCTCAAGGCGTTAGTGAGGCTACTTCTTCTCACCGTTGTCTCGACGATCCGGACCATCCTCTCGTTGTCGAGTTAACTTTGTCGCCGGCGCCGTGCCCGACATATCTTTCGTTGGCGGATCTGAGGAAGCACGAGCTTATTTACCGATTCGAGAGGGAGTGGAACGTCGATGTTGTGTTGCAACATGATACCCTTTGGCGGCGATATCCGCGTCTGGTTGTTTTCGACATGGACAGCACATTGATTACGCAGGAGGTCATCGACCTACTGGCTGCGACCATCACAGACCCTCCAGATCTGGCCGCTAAAGTTGCTGACATCACTAGCCGGGCTATGCATGGGGAGCTGGAATTTGACGCCGCATTCCGGGAACGAGTCGCTCTGCTCAAGGGACTTCCGGCCACGATATTTGAGCAGCTGCGGCCCGTACTCAATGTCACGAAGGGAGTTCCCGAGTTATTGAGGGCGTTCAAGCGATTGGGCGTCAAGACGGCTGTGCTGTCTGGTGGCTTTCTCCCATTGACTAGTTGGCTAGCTAGCGAGCTTGGAATCGACCACGCACATGCAAATGAGGTTGTTATTGATGACTCGGGGCACCTGACCGGCGAAGTAAAAGGGCGCATTGTAGGTAGAGAACGGAAACAGGAGCTCCTGCTTGAAATTGCTAAAAAAGAAGGAGCCGCATTGGAGCAAGTCGTAGCGGTCGGCGATGGTGCTAATGATTTGTTGATGCTCGACACGGCCGGCCTAGGCGTGGCGTGGAACGCGAAACCGAGGGTCCAGCTGGAGGCCAATGCTCGTCTTAACGGGGAAAGCTTAGTCGACTTGCTTTACCTATTTGGACTTACTAGCGAAGAGGTGGAATTACTAACCGCGTAGGCCTACAAGATAGGTACGTTCATTATATAACTACTTAGGTACTCTTCTATTTCGTATGCGTATATAGATTTGGCCTGGCTTAATGCCACCTGGAAAAGAAAAAGAAAAAAAAAGCGTGGGAAATTCGGAGAGAAGGGCATAGAGAATATCCCATTTCATCAGAAAATTCATCACGATGGGGAGAAGCCCAGAAAAATATCAATTTGGATGTCCCACGGGCCACGGCCTTGGACAGGAATAAGTTATCGTTTGTAGGAGCGATGTAGGTGTTCCTATTATCACATTGGTTGATCCTGAGTCTAGTTAACCAGAGAATGTCGGATTTGATGACCTAGACGAAGCTAGTAATTTAAACATATCGAAGCATATATAGCGAATTGAACCGTAGGCGAACGTAAACGAATAGACAGAATTGGGAAGTTGACTTTTCGGCTAAATAGGCGGATTAATGACCGGTACAATAAATTATAGCAGCTGTCTTAACGTTTGGCCTAGGTTTAGGTATGTACAGTCAATCTAGACATGACGCATTCTCTTATAGTTCTAATGGCTAGAGGAAGCTATCTTATATCTCCTCGGAGAACATATCTAGTAGCCCTCCTTACCCCATTTGTTGTACTTGTCGTGAAGGTGCTGTGTACACCTAGTTAGTATAAACTGCCCAAAGTGCTGTAGAAGTAGACGGGACGATCTGCGCATGCATGCGTACCTTTGGCAAGGTGACGTCGGGAATGACGACGACGTTGACGGCACTGGGAGCGTCCTTCGGGGCGGCGGACGGGTCACCGCCGGGGTGGTATCTATATTTGCCCTCCGATGCACCGGTTTCCCATGGCATACCGGACCTGGCTAGGCCGACGGGGGCCTCAGATGTGGCTTGGGTTGGAGAGCGGCCTGGGAGTAGCGTGTTAGATTTTCGAAGTGCGATTGAAGAGTGAAAGAGAGCATGTAGAGAGTAGGTAGAGAGCGAGTATAGAAGGTATAGAAGCGCATACCGAAGTAGAGACCAGCACCGCCTAGAGCTAGAACCATAACACCTCCCAGAATCTGTTAAGCGAAACTAAGTCAGCACCTATCTGTAGAAAATACGCGCATATATAAATATATATCTGCGTCTTTCCTTCTTCTTCTTTTCCTTTTCAAGAAAGAAAAATAGTAATATGGTCGAATCTATGGACATATTACACCCATTACGGCGCTACGATGTGGTGTTTATGGCTATGACGCACCATGATTTCGGGGTTGCGCTTCGTCTCCTCCTTCAGGGCCGGGTCGGCAGCAAAACGGCGCGCTGTGGTAGAGAAAACCCGTTGGGAAAGGGCTCTTCGGGCGATGATAGAGGCCATGGCTTAGACTGTATTGAGCGATGCGATGCGATGCGATATCGTGGTGGTGATTTTTTTGGGAGGGGGGTTTTTGGTGTGTTTTACGCTTTGCTGTGATGCTGAGCGTAGGACGGGTCTGCGGAAAGTTCAAGCTTGAGAGAGGCTTCTACGTCGTACGATGTGGGCGTTTTTGCAAAATTGGCCAATGAGGTGTGATTTTGATGGTCTTGGTTTTATACCTCAACTTTTGAGGTAGGACTTGGAGAAATGCATATAAACGGTATATGCTCAAAGCATTGCATCGCATCGCATCTTTCCATGGGTCATGGTTGCATGGCTGCATCTAGGTAGGTACCTAACATTAGGTAGTTAATTAGGTACCGCTAGGCGAGGGCTGATAAGCATTAGCCCCCAAAGCAGCCGTCAAATTGTTATTAGGTTGTGCATTGGCAGGTGCTTTGATGCATTACATACCTAGCATGGGTAGGTACCTCCTAGGTAATTTATAATTATCACTTGCATAGGCACCTTCGCCGACTTTATGCATGACCGGGCTCTCCCCTTTAGAATTTGTCTTCCAAATCCAGTCCACGTCCTTCGTACTACATCATCTATCTCGCGACAACTGTGAACTTTACGCGGCCCCCTCCAGTTCGACCCGACCCGATTGTCTCTCCTTATTTTTTTTTTCTTTTCTATTTTCGATAACTCTCGCTACATCATCATATTCTAGTGATTCCTCTGTTTCGCGACGCCTGCTGTGCAGATACAGCCGACCTCCAGAAAAAAGGGATATTAACTTGACGCTCTTTTCAATTTCTTTCGATTTTACTTCCTTTGCCCAAACGCTATTATACAACTTCTTTATGCCTGTCTGTTTTGGTGACCCGACCAAGAAAAGAGCATTTATTATCGTCCGCAGCGTATAATTCTATAGCAGGGAACGTGTTTGCGATCTGCGCCGAGTAATCATTTCTGCTAGACCGGGGCACGCACCTCTTGAAAAGCTTTACAACCGTTTGCTTGGAGGGTATGCTATAAAATACGGTGTCTCATGGAAGCTCGATACTCTGGGTTACTATTTAAGCCAGGCAAATACCCTTGATCATGGCTTCAAATCCACCATCCACACAACCGGCTTCGCCCTCGGACGACACGGACAGTTTCCCCAGCCCCAAATTCCCTGCCGGCCCTCCGAGCATCATCTCTTCGCGAATGACCGACATCGCGTCAGAGGACGGCGATGGAGTTACTCGGGAGCAAACGAGGACGACTGCTGGGCAGAGGAGAAGTTTCCGCGTGTCCGACTCCCGACCCGGGACTGCTAGGACTGGCTTGTCCTCGTCGCGCGGCGCTTGGTCACAAGCAACTCCATTAAGAAAGGGTATACAAAGAGGAAGTAGCATAAGTGGTAGTATCAAAAGCGGCCGTCCGGCCAGCTCTACAAGCCGAACCCACGTACCCTTGGCTTCACATGCGTTCTTTCATCCTATGAGTTCTCAGAAGCTTCAAGCCCAGCGAGGCGCACAACGAACTGGATCTGGAATGCAGCACCGGTTGAGCGTCGAATATGTACAGGATGATAACGAGTCTCATATCGCACCTCAGGATGTTAGCACGTCGAGACCCGCACCACTTCTGGTTCGTCATATGACAGATGATGGGGACGCACAACTACCTCCTTCCAGGGGTACTGAGATTACAGAGCCGTATGATCGTATCACCGCCACTACAAGCCCGACTCGTGGTCACCACCCTACAGGCAGCCTTAGCGAGAGTATGCGCCCCTTGCAGAAGAAGGCCGAGGAGAAGGGTCTCAATCTGGACCTTGGTAAGACCAAGACCTATAGGGATCAGGAAAACTTACCGAGTCCTATCAGATCCCCGCGATCTTTCAGATCAGGGCTTTTCTTGCCGGGAAAAGGAGAGTCTGTTGCCCCCCCTGCTAACCGTAACATGCACGGTGCGGAGAAGCTGTCTTCTGGCGCATCATCCCCTCGGTTCACCCCTGCTACCGCTAATATGCCGGCTACAAAAGTCAAGGCTGTGAAAGAGAAGGTGCAGGGCCATGGCTATAACCATGAGTATTTTGAAGGCAACACTGTATTCTGCGTAGGAGGACGCTTGCAAAATACGCGCCACCGGCCTATCAACATCGCGACTGGCCTCCTTTTTGTTTTGCCGTCTATCCTTTTCTTCGTATTCTCTGCCTCCTACTTATGGCATCATGTCTCGCCTGCTGTGCCTATCGTTTTTGCCTACTTGTTCTATATCTGTATCTCGTCTTTCCTTCGCGCATCAGGTTCAGACCCAGGGGTAAGAAGTTTACCTGCCACCGAGCTTTCTCTTTTTTCTTCCAGTTATGATAACTGACAAATGAATGCCTTTTAGATATTACCTCGGAATATCCACCAGTTTCCCCCAGTGGATGAGCATGAGGACCCTTTGCGTTTAGCACCTCCGACCAACGACTGGACTCTAACAAAATCAGCCGAGTCAAGTACTGCAGCAATGGAGGTGCCAACTAAGTACTGTAAAACCTGCAACATCTGGCGCCCTCCTCGAGCCCATCACTGTCGTCTGTGCGATAATTGTGTCGAGACTCAGGACCATCACTGTGTTTGGATCAACAACTGTGTTGGAAGACGTAACTACCGGTACTTCTTTACTTTTCTAGCCTCTGGTACTCTTCTCGGGATTTACCTGGTTGGTGCGTCGCTTTCTCAGGTACTAGTCTTTTCGAAGGAAGAGAATGTGTCATTTGGAACAGCTGTCAGCCACTTCCGGGTCCCCTTCGCCATGGTCATCTATGGGTTTATATGCCTCTTGTACCCCGCGGCTTTGATGGGTTACCACCTCTTCCTTATGGCTAGGGGCGAAACAACCCGGGAGTTCCTTAATTCGCAGAAGTTCTTAAAGAAAGACCGATATAGGGCGTTTGCTCAGGGTAGCATGTGGAAGAACTGGGTTGTAGTGCTATGCCGTCCGCGACCGCCAACGTACTATCGTTTTAAGCATCGATTCGAGGAGGGGGATCAGCGTTTTGGGGTGCGGCGGAATCAGCACAGGAGCAATTCTTCCCGGGGCGGAGAGGACATGGAAATGCAAGCTGTGCGACCCCCTTCTACTGGCTTTCAAGGGCCAACCGCTCTACGCAACTTGACGGCCAGTACGCGATAAAGTGCTAGGTATATACGTCTCCTTCTACTTGGCTCTAGCGACCGATTGTCCTATCATTCTTTGCCAGGCAATATTTTATGTAATGTCTTGTAGCACGAATACCCCTTCAATCAACTTGCTTTTTTTTTTCGTTTCTTTTTCATTCTGTATTATTATGAATATCGGTATTAAGGGAAACGCGTGACACTATTGTACGTTGCTTCGTAGGGTCTCTGGAAAGAGCTGAGACCTGATATGTATTATGTATATGTATGAGGTCAACGGGTGATTAGGGATTAGGAACGGATTTGCCTAAATGAGGTTATGAAAGAAAGAACCGGGTTACGTTTATGTTCATGTTCATGTTCATGTTCAGACCTCGTGTGGAAAATACGATTCTATAAAAGTGTGTTTGTAATACTTTTCAACATCTTGCTTTAAGTAACCTTAGGTAGATACCTAACATAACCTGTACCCAACATGTAACCAACCCAACCCAAGATAGGCGAAAATGATTCGAAGGGGGGAGTCTGATATCACGTGATGGTTGGTATATGTTCGAGACATCCCATCGAACCTACCACCCTTACCCATGTCCACTTTGTCCACTCTTATTAGCCGTAACCTGATCAGGAAGTTGTGGACTTATTATAACCAGTTTGATTAGCTGATGGTCTCGTGAATAAATTTTGTCGTCAACTTTTTTCTTTCTTTTTTTTCTTTTTTTAGCTGGGTTTGTTTTGTTGCATTTCGCATCTGTCGAATCATAGATTCTTTCTTGCCTTTCTTACCTCTGTGGTACATCTATTCTTCATTCTTTATCCCAGCGTCGGAATTCTTTTAGAGCTGCTAATTGTATAGACTTGCCCTCTCCATTATCGCGCGTGCTGCGTATATCTCCTACATCGCCTACATCGCTCGAACGATGGGTCAACCGTCGTTTGAGGCATCTAATGCCATCATATATGTCACCTATGGAGTGTTCCTGTATGTTCATACTCGCATGTTGAGGTTATCTGCTAGATACCTATCTAATCATATATCTAATCATAAAACTGCAGGCTATTGGGAACAGGCTTGGCCTGGAAAATGAGAAATCAGTCTAAGGCCGAGTTTCTCGCTGGAAATAGAACTCAAACTGGTCAGGAGTCCAAGTGAGAGCTAAATGAGCCGACTTTTTAGTCTTTTCTCATTGCTCTTATAGAAACCCTCCGTCCCCTCTTCAAGACTTATACTAACACTCGCCTCAGCCTTCCCCTTGGCGCTTAACTTCATTGCTGCCGGTGAGTAGGGCAATTGCCATTGGTGCACCATTGGCGCTTAAGCGAATCGTGCCCTCTCCATCAGGGGATCATGAGCGGTAGCACCTGTGCAACAATAGAATCGAACAAAGTAGCGTACAAACAAGATGGTAGATCAGGCCTTGAGTGGCATATTATTACAACAAGACATAGAGTAAGGCTTGCGTAACTGACAAGTAGGTTTGTGCCAAATTCAACAATTCTCCTACCCTCTTACACGAACCCGTGCTCCGGCATTCGTTAAGAGGGTAGGTAGATTGCGGCTCACTACGGGCGCCGAATTGAAGCAGTTCTCCTCGGATAGGATCCAACCCCGCTTCAACTTCTGTCTATCACTACAAGTTTGCGGGGAGATCCCTGGGGAGCCTGTGGAAATGAAGCTGAGATTGTACCGTAATACTCGATCAAGTTAATGCTTGCGTGGGAAACGTGCTGCCGCTCCGGTCCCCCCTATCCCCCCCTTTTCAAATATGCCAAATGTACTGACACTATTTATCACTTTCCCAGCTATGGGTTCGGGAATATTGTTCTCGTACCCGCAACTTGCTACTCTAGCAGGTCTTCAAGGTGTTCTTGTGTATGCCATCTCGTCGGCTGTTCCGTTGCTCATCTTTGCGGCGCTCGCGCCCATCATCCGAAGGAAGTGTCCTGAGGGATTCGTCCTTACCGAGTGGACGAGACAGCGCTATGGCGTCGTGACGGCCCTTTACTTAGGCGCTCTGACGTTGCTTACGCTATTCCTCTACATGGTTGCGGAGCTTTCTGCTATCGGACAGGTCATCGAGGCTTTGACTGGGCTTAATGGCCTTCCGGTAGTTATTGTTGAATGTGTCGTTACGACTATCTATACCTGTAAGTCATCCCTCACTGTACAACTATGACTTGCCTTTATCCATGTACTAACAACTACACGCTAGCCCTTGGTGGTTTTAAAATCTCTTTTATCACAGACAACGTCCAAGGCGCTATGATCTGCGCTCTAATTATTATAGCAACCATCACCATTGGTGCTAAAACTGAGATTAAGCCGGAGTTGATCGCCGATTCCGGCCTGCTTGACGCAAGTCTCGTTGGCTGGCAGCTTGTTTATATCCTTCCCGTTGCCATCCTGACGAACGACTTCTTTCTGGCGAATTACTGGCTGCGCGCCTTCGCCTCCAAGACGGACAGGGACCTCTGGATCGGTGTGTCGGTGGCCATGGTAGTCATCCTGATCGTCTTAACGCTAGTTGGCTGCACCGGTCTTATCGCTGTATGGTCGGGCGCGTTCGAGCCTGATGGCGATGGGTCCGTAGCCTTTTTCCTGTTGCTGGAGCAGCTGCCTAACTGGGTTGTGGGCATCGTTATAGTTATGGCTGTGTGCCTGAGTACCGCAGCCTTCGACAGCTTACAGTCTGCCATGGTCTCCTCTGCTTCCAACGACATCTTCCGCAACCGCTTGAATATCTGGTGGATCCGTGGCGCGGTTGTGCTTGTTATCATCCCGGTGGTAGTCCTTGCTCTGAAAACACCGAGTATTCTCCAGATCTACTTGATTTCTGACCTCTTGTCCGCCGCTACCATTCCAGTCCTTATACTTGGATTGTCGGAGCGTTTCTATTGGTGGCGCGGATTCGAAGTTTTAGTAGGTGGCCTCGGAGGAATATTAACAGTCTTTATCTTTGGTACTATTTACTACGGCGACGCACAACTGGGCGGCGAGCTTATCCTTCTAGAGCAAGGTCTATATACCGGAGACTGGGGTGCGTTCGGAGCCTTCGTTGCTGCGCCGGTTGGTGGTCTACTCTGGGGATTCGGCGCTCTGGCAGTGAGACTGGCTGTCCAGTATGTGCTATCGAGGGTGCGAGGTACTCGGTTCGATGCGCTTGACTATCCCGCTACAGTCGCGACGGAAGATTCCGACGCATTGGCCGGGTCAAGCGAAGACGCTACGAACACCAAGATCACCGGAAAGTTTTTCTAGGTTGAATTCTCGGGGACGGAAGAAGGATAAATTAGAGAATGTCACCGTTATTCATTGTGATATTTTTGGGATAAGAAAAGGGGCTTTAGGCCTGAGAGTATATAGGTTGTTCGTTATGAAGGACGACTCCTATATCTCATATAGTTTCTCCTAATAACCTGACTTTATTACAATTTTACCTCATTAGAAGAGTCAATTAGGGTTTTCCGAAGGCAATATAGTTTAAGGTCACCAGATATCTAAATAGAGTCTGGATTTATATACTATATGATGCCTCGGCAAATTACCGCTTTACTAATGAGACAGATCTATAGACAACGTTAACTGCTTTTGAGTCTGATTTATACAGGTCTTATATGTACAAGCCCATATTATACAAGTTTTTTTTTACCACCCCTTCATTATCTACTTTCCTGGCTGCTCAGACATAACAGCTTGATAATTCTCTAGCTCGGCCCGATATTCCTCGTACGTCGTCTCGGGTAGAGTGCCCCATATCTTCCAGGGCTCAGCCTCGTAAGTATTCTTGTCTATAGCCGCTTGTAGCACGATGTGCTCTACCATCTTACGCACGCGTTCGCTGCCGGGGACCTTGACACCACCCTTGGAGTCGTCGTAGCGCGCGATGCGCTGGACGCTAGCGATGCTCACGACGATCTGCTTCAGGGCTTTCATGTCCCCATTGGGTAGAGGTTGGTATCCGGTGCGCCAGTCGGCGACGCGGGGATATAGCCAGGTGCTGGCATAGCGGACGAGCTCCCATTCGGCGCGAATACCACGGGGACGGGCGTCGATGGTGGCAGCTAGGGTTTGGAACAGTTCGGGAGTGCAGATGCTGCGCAGGGTCTCCTTGTCGCCGAGGGCCATGGCCTCGGACATCTGAACGTGCAGGGCTTTAGCTGTAGGTATAGCGGCGGCGCGGTGGAACTTGAAGAGCGGCCTGCTTATGAAGGGGGTCGGTTGAGACATGACTTTCATGGACATTATAGCCCATAGCGCGCTGTAACGAGTCTTGATATGTAACCATAACATTTGGAAGAACTTGCTAGGCTGGCGCGGATATCGCCAAAGAGGAGGGGCCACGAGGGTCTCTGTAGGGCGCAGAGTGAATAATTATGAATATATAATGTATATATATATATAGAAAGGTATGGTTGGTAGGACTAACGGGGTATTAACATGGTCATGGAGGGCTCCATTTGCTGTTGGTTTCCTTGTCTAAATGATTTCATAGTCCTTGACCTATTGCCTCCCCTCCTCGCAGCATACGGGCGCGAGGGAGTCGTACTTATACTTCGGTAGACGGTGCACGTTATGGGAGACGGGGCTCGTAAGGCTCGTAAGCGCATGGGGGAGAGCAGCCATGGTCGCGACTGACGTAGGAGATCGGCCATGATTTTCGGGCGTCTTTAGGAGGGGCGGACGAAGAGTGTTGAAATTAGAGATGGGAGGGGGAGGGGGAGGGATGGGGAGGTTGACTCTCGACTCGCAAGTCAAGTTTTATAGAGAAAACATTGGGTGATGTAAAAGCAGTGAGGCTAGAAATTACGAGTAGGCGACATTGATCTTCCCGTTGCGCAGTGGTGCTGGGATGAGAAATACTACTAAGTATCTCTCTTCCTGTTTCTCTCATTCAATAAAAAATTTAGGTGGGGCTGGTTTCTAGAATGGTACCTAGATACTATTATAGAGGACATTTAAAGAGAAGAGCTTGGAAAGGCTGGCCAATAAGATAACAGCAATTCGTTGGATACATAATAATCGCCTTGGTTGTACTACCTACCTTATACCACCTTACTTACCTGGTATACGTATAGGTACGTACCTACCTAAGTAGGTGGTAGTAATAATATGACCTCACAGGCCACATTGCTCACAATGTATTTTGCCAATTTACTATAATCCTACCTACCATATACAGCCAGAGTACGTGTACATCAATTAGATATATTACATATTTAACCTAACATATTTATATATCCGCGCATTGTGCGACTTGGATTACTTTCTGAACCCGTCTTTATCCCTCCTTCCCCTCACCCCCCCCCTTGGTTTTATGTAACTAACACCGCCAACCGCCACCATTACAACCATTTACAACTATCACAACCATCACTACCGTCCACTACCGTCATCACTACCAATTTCCTATGGCCCGATACGATTCGGCTACGAATATACCGATCGAAAATTGGAAACCGAGTTGGGGTTGGGCAGAAGTAGTCAGTTAATAACATAATCTATATACTACTACTCCTACTCCTACTACTACTTTGAGCCGTCTACCTCTTGCGGGAAGGCCCCTTGAATGGCCAACCCAAGGTTTAGGCTTCCCTCTTCCAGCATAAATGCTACCGATGCCGCCGATAAACCTCCCAGTCCCCCCTCCGCTTCCGCTTCCGCTCCCGTCGTAGCCGTTTCCCTCCTACAGCCCCGTGTCGCCGTTGCTCTCGGCGTGCCCAAACGTTGGCATCATACTCTTTCTGCCTGTCGTCTACTTTCCGTCGTCCCTCCCATTTTATGGGGTCTTCGTTACGCCCTACGTTTCCTGCTTGCCGACTTGCTACGTATATCTGAGCAAGATCAAGGTCGTGATGCCAGTCTTTCCTCCTTGAGATTGACCGAGACGGCCTTGGCTGTTATATGGGTATGTCGGTGTTGGTTCTGCTGGTTACGAACTCGTTTCGTATTCTTGCTAATACTGCTATTCTTTATTTTATTTTTTTGTGCTAATTCGTCGGCTCTCTGTCTCTCTCCTGCAATAGTGCTACGCCTCTGCATACCTCGCCTTCTTTTTCACCGACTGTCTTATGTCACGATGGCTCATCAACTATACGCCACAAGCGACAGTCGTCCGCCTTTTCACCATTAGTTGCGCTTTCGCATACCTTACCTCGTGGATCGTATATCTAGCTGGAGGATCCCAAGACCCCGGTCTACTACTACCAGCCTGGATCGGGATCGCTACCATACTGACCCTCTGTTACCACTTTACCCAACGCAAGATCAAGATACGAAAGGAGACATTCGCCAGTATCAGCGTCTTTTCTATAGCGAGCTTCATTAGTATGGTGGCTTTACTACTGCATTCCCATTCGACTAGAGCGGGATATCAGAACGTCCCGATTGTTGCATTGACGAAACGGGCATGCCAGATCGGAGCATATATCATTTTTCGTATCGTAGGCCTCACGGGAGACTTGGATGGTTTATGATGCGGGTATTGGCTTCATAAGGGTGTGCCTGTGCTTTTGTATCTCGGTGCCGCCAAAACGCCAAAAGATGCCTACTAAGTTATGGTTGTATCGATCTAGTGAGACTTTTAGACGTGTCTAATTTGGCTATTGGCATTGGCATTGGCAACGAGATATTCTTAGAGGCGTTGGAAATTTTATTAAAGAAGAATCAAACTCGAGTATCATAGATGTACTCTAGACTAAATGAGACACACACACACACACACATATATATATATATTTATCTATCTTAGGAAGATTAGATGTGACACTCTCTGAATGCTTGTAGTTATGATCGGATTATAACTTTGTTTGCGCTTAGATACCTATCTACCTAATATATACCTACGTGGTATAGCCTCCGTTGACTCTGTTCCTATGAGGACACGAGAGCTTTCATGCCTTAGGTACCTCTGTTATATTAATAGCAGAACATGAAACTTGTCTTTCTAACCAGAAATACTGAATGGAGTTTACTAGGTTAATAAAACACCCCAACATAGTATGCTGGAGAAGGACGGTAGTAAACCCTGAACCGATGATGACACTGTAGTATGTCTCCAAGTGCTTGATCCCTTTCCATAGCAGGTACGTATATACCTTACAATTGCTCGGTTTGCTTGTACCCAGGGGGAAAGAATACCGGACCTCACCTTGGACGAATAAGGTAGGCGCCTTATGTTAGGTTAGGTAGGCATTTATCTTAGGTATGTATTTAATGATATACATAGTACGTACATGTGTATCGGCTCTTGCTTCCTGGAGTTGGCCAGCACCACTAGGGGGTCCCGACCGCCCACAACACGGTCGCGACTTCCCTCCGCTTTCTTTCTCCTTTCTCCGTAGTCCGTTCTTGCCTCGCAACTACCAATCGTTCCTACAATTACAAAACCTGTAGTTACAGCGGCAGGAGCTGCCCACGTTTTCTTCTCAACTCTTTTTTTCTATTTAAACACCGCAGTCCCTCCAATGATGTTGCTTAATCTGCCTACTTGGAATTCCTGCACATCGTTGGAATTTTAGGTACCTACAGTATTAAGTTCAGTTTGCGTCCTTCTTTTGCGTCCTTCTTTGGAACATCCACCGACTTCACCAACTTCACCAACTTCGTCAATCCTACACCTATCTTACAACGATGCCCTTTTCAATAACAATGTCTTGTCTTCACAAATATTATGCAAATTGGTATACGCCTTAACATATGGTACCTACTCTAGTAAGTCTTCCCCTTTATTCTCTCACTTTCTCTGCCCAAGTCGTCCTTACCGCCTAATTGCCTGTCGCATCCAACATTGGACTAATGGCCACAACCTAGATGCCCAGTCTAAGGAATGGAGCGTTTATTCGCTTAACTTAATTTTGACACTTGGGACAACATCCGTGCCGACAAGAGGGTTGTTGATGACACCCTAAAGTTCACATCACTTTCCCAAATACGGATGCAGACATAATGATGAAGGTGAAGAGCCCAGCTCCAAACATCAAAAGCTCTAAATGGTGCCTAGTTGTGATTGGTCGCACCCTTCACCAAGTCCTTACTGCTTTTAATCATCAATTTAATCACCAGCTAACTTGATAATTCGAATGGTTTGGGCTAAAATGCCATATTATTGTGAAAGGTGCAAGGGAAAAGTTACTAAAGTACATGCAACGCAACTAGCATATCAACCACCAATTCTGGTTTGGACATGATAAGTGCTGATGGCTGCGTGGAAATGAACTAAAGTACAAAAAAGACAAAAGGACAAGTGGCCGATTGGCCTCTGGTAGATAGGCCTAATCTATCCTAGTCCATGTCTTGAGAAGAAAAAAAGGTACACACAAAAGGGGGGAAGAAGAAGAGAAGATCGACCGCAATATCATGAGATAATCAGTTGATGGCTAATCAAAGGCCACCTGAACTCCTATTAACATCTCATTTGCTCAATGTGGATGGATGTCGAAGCAAGATTACCATAATAACTGCAGCTCATGTTCTGAGTTACTACGGAAGCAATAAGCAAGCTCTCGGAACTTTGGTGTTTCTTGGTGCAGATTGCCGGATACACATGACCAAGTTGGCAAGTCGGCAAGTCGGCAAGATGACACATTCAAGATTGTTCAGATTGTGCTTGGCTGCCACCAAGTCGTTGCACAGTTCCAGAGCTGTGCTTGGTAGGAGTCGTAGCATCTTCGTCACCCTCATTACGATGTCCAACACCAGCGACACCTTGGGCGACTCCCATAGGAGAGGGCGAGTATCCACTTCCATAATAGAAAGGTGCGAAATTGGGATCTTGGAGATAAGGGGTCATCCAAGAGTACGGAGGTTGATAGTACGTGGCTAGAGGGCTCAGCATACCAGGAGTGGCCTGGGGAGTGGCCGGGAAGGTCTCAGTGCTAGCTGAAGGGTTGGCCTGGTACGAAGGTGCACCATAAGATGACGGAGTTGAGTAGTTCTGCTCCGCAAAGGACATCATGCCGTGGGGAGGGTTGTTACGAGGCACCTGGGAGGATGCGGATGAAGGTGCTGTGGTCTCCACAGCAGCAGTGTGCGACGGGGTCGCAGGTTCGGGGGGCGAGTTAGCCACGGGCTCTTTCTGGCTTTCAGGATGCTCGCTATGAATCGGGCTTTCAGCGGCATTGGAGAGCACAGTTCTGGATTGATAGTGGCGAACTCCCTGGGGCTCTCGGCTAGCTTTGCGTTCTACGCGAAGCACACATCCACGCAAAACCCTTCCGTTCTAACAAAAAAAAAGTCAGCATACTTGGATGAAGACATGTATAGGAGGTAGCCTTATGAAGCAACAAGAAGCTTACCAAATGCTTCACCGCAAGGTCCACCATATCGGGGCGGGAATACTCGACAAAACCGAAAGCGATGGGAGCCTGACGACCTAAGAGTGGATTCGGGTTAGCACTATCCTATCCTTAGCAAGGGAGGGCTACGAACTAGTTCGGCCGTCCTTCTGGACGATCTGCACCTTCTGGACTTCGCCTACTTCTCCAGCTAGCATGGTAAGAAGTTGTTCTACATCGAAATCATCCACCGGAAGGCCGCCGACATAGATAGAGCGACGGTCGACCTCGTATCGCTGGAGCCAAACTTCGTCGGGATCGGCTCTGGGAGCCTGCATCGATTTCTTCAGGTCATAAGCGACAACACGGTAGAGGGGATGATGACGGTATGCCTAGCGCTTTGTTAGCAGACCACAAACGGTTAATGTGACCAGATGATGTGGCCTCGGCAAAAAGTTACATACAGAAATGACATCTCTGCCAGGGTCAAAGTTGGTAAACTCAACCAACACACCACCCTTGATACGCATCGCTTCTTGGATCTGAGGATGAAGTGCCTCGCACTTGCTGAAAGGACCAAAACCGCTCAGATGAACGCGAGCATCCTCCAAAGTGACCTCATCTCCAAGGACATTAAAGATGACAAAGCTACCTACGACCTGGTTAGCATTGATATATTTCCCTTATGAATAGGGAGGGATTTGCTCACGATTCGCCTTCACCATCTCGGTACGGCAAGGGCGGCCTTCAATCAAGATTCCACGACCCTGAGTCACCGCATTATGGGCATCTTCATCTTTCTAGCCTCCAGTCAGCTATGCTCAAGGCCAACTTCGGACGGCACTTACGGTGAATTGGCAGAAAGCAAATGGCATGTTTCGTTGATCACGACGGATCTTCACGAAAACGATACCGAACTTGCTGAAAGCTCGAGTCAATTCCACCTCGAGACGTGAGTCTCGGACGAATTCAGGAAGGCTAATTATGAGATTAGACCTTAGTTCTCTTATAATCAGGAATATGATATGCGAGTACGTACTTAGCAACGAACACGCAGGCTGTTGCTGGGTAGAAAGCCTGGGCGTCTACACCACCAACCTGGGCTCTGTTACCCACATCGGAGGGGCGAGTACGTAGCATGGGTATCGGCTGCATAGTAGGGATGGCACCCTGCATAGTTGAGCCGAGCATGTTTAGAGCAGCCGATGCCGAAGGCTGCGCGCTGGATCGAGCGGGAGACTCGAACACATCTCCATCATCGGAGACCTTGCCGACCTGGAAGTCAGGACCCTTCCTTTAACGAGACCAGTTAGTAAGAAACTTACAAACTACGAACATAAATACTTACTGCTCATCGGGGGTTGAAACTTCCTGCGTGAAGGAGGGTGAGTTCTGACCGTTACGGACAGGGCTCTGCTGATGCCTATTAAGATGAAGTTAATACCGCGGACTGGTTAACTATTTACACTCTTAAGATGAAGACTTACATAGCAGATTCGGGAGAGTCCTCAAGAGTAAGGTTACCAATGCCTGTATCGAGGCGCACACCTCCTCCTACGCTAAAGTGTCAACATGAAATTCTTTTCTTTTCGGAAGCGGGAATGGTTCCAACAAGTCGCAGAATATCCATCTCACTTACCTTGATCAGACTTGGAGGTGGGGGATTGCGGAGCAACGCGAGGCGCTCCCGCACTAAGGATGGCGGACTGCTTCTTGTGAAGAGTCGACATACTTAGAGGATTCACCTGATGTAGTCCTTGCAAAGCTTGGATCAGTTCCTATCTCAACCTATAATGACGGCCGTCAGTTGGTACCAAACCCGAGCTGATTTTGACAACTTGGGTTGAATGGATCAGAGAGTAGCCCCTTTATGGCTCCTTGATGGTTTATAATGTCAAAACCATGAGAAACTAAAAGGTGACTCATTGCTGTCCAATGGGACAAGAGGGAGACGAAAGCGACCAACAGAATCGCATAAATGGAAATGATAAAATGATAGGGTCATGATGAGCAATGAAACGGGTGAACTTACTACTAGTGAGGCTTCTCGAAGCGCAGTCAACAACAAAACGGGTGCAATACGAAGGACTGCTTTATCTCGTTGACTAGTGTCAGTATCGGTATTCACTTACTACAAGGGAAGAATGTGTTGTGGAGGGACGACACGAGATGTCAAGATGACTTGAAGAATGGCGCATCTAATGCACCATGCATTGCGAAACACCAATGCAGCAGATTGGCTGCTGCGACGAGGAAACTTTGGAAACAAGGGTGATGGACTTACCAAGGTCGAAGCGCAAATGTTTCGGGTTACTAACCGAAGAAGGAGATGGTATGATGGATGAAAGTCAACGTTGAAAAGTTGCGGCTGCAAGAAAAGCGAAGTTAGTTGGTAAAGGGTGGGGTGGGATGACAACGACGTATGTGAATTGTATGGAAGTGTGCAAGTCACCAGTGAATCAATCCGGGGAAATACTTACTACTAGACCTGGAGCTTTGGTCAATACTCAAGTCGCGTTGCAGCAACAAGGCTCGAGAACTCGGGTGCTTAGGCTCAAATGTCAAGGTATTGTTCCAACTGCATAAATAAATGTTAGATGTTGAAATTGGAGTTCAACAACTGCATTCAAGTTTTCTCCCTTTCCACCTCTCTCGGGGGGTTTCTTTTTTCTTTTTTTTTTTCTTTTGCACCAAGGTCGCGTTGCTCGACGGCTAACATATCTTACATAGGGGAGAAACAATCTGAGCACTTACCTGATGACTCCAATTGCCAACGGCGAGAATTGAAACGCGAGTTGAAAATGAGAGTTGCACTGAGAGATGCGGAAAGGTGTTGTAGTAAAGAGAGCTGTGTGGGTGTCCAGGTAAGGAGTGGTATGTATTTAGAACAAGCCTAAGTACAACCTAAGTACGACTGTGGACGTAAGAATTTAATGTAGAAATGGATATGGATGAAGAAAGTTGGGAGGTGGGGGTTGGCGGTTTTAAATAGTTTGCGCCGGCATTGTTGGATATTTACTAGAATCAAAATGTTGGCGGATACTTTGGCACTTACGCAGATGTACTTGCCAAAAATAAACATTAAACTACAAATTTCAAAAAATAAAAAAGTGAATCATTAGATATCACCTGGGGCATGTACATAAATTGTGGTCCCGGAAATTCATCCAAGGAAAGAGCAGTGGCACCAAGTGTATCACCTTAAATGGGAAAAGGGGGGCGAAAGGGGGGAGGAAGGAGGAACAGGAACCTGCAACTGCCTACCCGGGAATTGTACCTGATCAATCTGGTCTTGTATATAAATACCTTACTCATATGCCTATGGTATGCTCCTACATGTATGTACCATAGATAGAATCAATATGTATCTTATGTGTGGGCAATCAGTTGATGAAATTCGGTTCAACCGAATTTGCAATATGATTTATATGCACCTGCTATCTCAAAACTACAAGCCAACCGAATATTCCACAGCCTTATCAAACATGTTGACTACCTAATTCAGACAGTCATATGATATCATTCAAGGCCCGGAAGGTATTAGTTTCCATAATTCACTGTTTTGCATGTTAGTAGAATCACGGGATGATTTTCCACCTGTGAAAATCAGATCCCGATTGAAAAAGGTACAGCATATTTCTTTGTGTACAGCTAATCAGGATCAGTCTACAGACTATGCTCGATGCCTGGAATTGATTCAATGTTATGCCTAGGTAGTCATAGCTTTTTCTCTTTTTTATTTTTATTTTTTCTTTAACAGCCACTGCATGGACCAATCCAAGCCAAGTAACTGATAGGTAATATGTATTCACTGAGTATCGTGACTCACAGATAACTAAAGTAGGCCCTCAAATCAGAGTACCAGGAATTACTAATGGAAAATGATCTAAGCTTGCTCTTTCCTGTCTAAGATCACAAAGCTACACTAGAATCAATGCCCCTTACCATGGGTCAACCTGTAAGGACCAGGCCATTGGCACAATGAATAATGGTTACCTGTTGCTGTGATTTTGGTTAGTCTCAAGCCAAGTGAGTTTATTCATGTTGGTTTTCTAAAGGACAGAAAGTCGTGGGCCATCTTAGGATGGCATCATGTCGTCAGGAGCAGTCCAACGGAAAATATACTCGGGAAACACAGTAAAATCAGGTTGAATTACCATCTTCTATGAGCTGATTGTAGATTTCAGGAGCCAGGACACCCTCGTATGAGGTTCGCCCACATAGGTAGTGTACCTCAACTTGGAAATATTTGTTTATGGACCTAAGTAGGTCCGTGATATGAGTCTCTGGGAGGAAGTCCGTAAATTGGACTTTCAAATAGGATGGTGGTTAGCGGTCTGCTGCGAAACTATTTCACAAATCCATCCATGATGATGACCATTCGATATCTAGATGCTTCAAAAACTGGCTTGGCTTAATTGGTAAGTGATTAGCAGAAAGCCTTGGTTGGTTCAAATTGCTGCTCTGGTTGCTGCTGCAGACTATAACGAAGATGATGCGTTATCCTGGCACATGGCCATATTTACAAGGGACGGGTTTCTGATAACAATAGCCGGCTGATTCTCAGCGTGATAAATAGGACGATAATATTAAATATGGTTAACAAAACTACAAAACTACAAAACTAAGGGGGATCATGTCTTTACCTACTTTAGGTACTTGAAGGAGGCATACCCCCGGGGAATTTCTCTGACTGTAGGTAGACTCGTGGTCGTTGATGTCGATTTCCAGGCACAGTCAACATGTAAGTGCATGTATTGTACATTCAAATGTGTGTCTGAATAGCCATAGCTGTCGTTGCACGGTTGGAAAATAACCGTACGAGAATAAATTGTACAAGGTATTACTACGTGGGCCTATTCTACAAAATCAACTCAGAAGACGTGGATTATTCAAATGGGTAAAAATAGCAGCATGATGGGTTTTTACCGGAAGCACATAAATAGGGGACAGAATATAACGACTAAGACTATCAGAGTTCCCTTCTCCCAATAGCGGGATCTGACAGCCTGAGTGCTACTTAAGATATTAAATACGCTATGGGAATAATACGATGGACAATGAGATGTCCTCTTATGAGCCACCAAGGCAGGGACTGGAATTATCCAGAGAGCTGGCCCGGCTGAGCACAAAACATATACTCATCAATATAGATGGCAAAGGGACCAACGGAACTGCCCAAGAAAGAGCTTACATATTTGATGCGAGATGATAGACGTGATTCCTTGTCTTTTAACTTACCTAGGTAGCCGTCACATATATTCCTCTTGTAAGAGGTATATATCAAGGAGTCGGAATATTTCATAAAGCTTTCTGGGGAGCCTGGCCTCTTAGGTAACATATAACTCCCAATCCGTAGAGTTAAGCACATAGCCTGGCCATGTAAAAGGTCAACAACATCATAGTACAAGGGCTCCTGAGGTCATCCGGTAGTGAACCATACACCACCCCGATTCATGAACGTCTCAGAGGTATTCACTACATATATAATACTAGTGTTCTTAAGTCATATCATAGTAGAAAACAGAGACAGAGAGTCGCTTACGTCGTATACGCAGCAGGCGGCGCGTCCCTTATATCGGCGGCTAATTCCAGCCAGCGCGACGTGATTCCGGGAAATTGACACATATTTTTCTATTTAAGCGAAGACCTTACCATTTAATTTACCCCCGCAATCCATACTCAGACTTGGGTTACATATATCTATGCCACGTTTTGCTGCACGAGATATATGCTAGTTTCGCTAGATCTGCCGATATGTTGAGGCTTACTGGTTCGACTAGGTCCAATGTACGAGATCCATACTTCATAGGCTATCCGTAGAGAAATTGGAATATACGGAATCATGTTCGAGGGCTTAAAACCGTTCCCTTGTCCCAGATGATATAGTCCATTGACACATTTATGTATATTACCTTCCCATCTTTGGCATGTAACCTCATGCAGATGGGCTATTATGTTGAGGAATCGACTTACGGCAACGTATTGGATGATGAAATATTTAAGTAGTATCTGCTGCCGCGGTCGTGGATAGCACCCCAACCTTGTGTCCGATTAGGAGACTTAGAATCCCATGATGTTTTTAACTTCAGTCTCTAAGTTTGGGCTTTTGGCAGCCCTGCCGCTCGTCGCAGCTGAGCTGTTTGCCCAAGCACACCCCCGGCCAGAGCTCCAGTTAAGGTTTCTCAATGGCTCGACACAAGTAAAGTCATCGTACGACTATGTGATTATCGGGGGAGGCACGGCCGGTCTGACGGTAGCAGACCGTTTGACGGCTGACGGGAAGAGTAAGTCATGGTGGGATTCCACTTTGAACTACTTACTGATGTCTCAACATTAGCTACTGTCCTGGTCATAGAGAACGGCAAAATAGGTAGGCTTGACGGTAAGAAAAAAGGATTGGATAGGCCACTGACATCTAAGCATTCAGTCAACTCCCCTAGGATCAACCAAGTTTTCTCCGGCACCGCTGCCATGGGCCCGACATGGTCGTACCAGATCAATTCAGTACCTCAAGTCAACCTACAGAATAGGAGCACGGCGGTTTTGGCTGGTAACCTAGTCGGCGGCAGCTCAGCTATCAATGCAATGATGGCTGTTCGAGGAACGTCAGAAGACTACGACCGATGGGGCAGTTTCTTCAGCAATAGCTCTACTTGGTCTTGGGACGGCCTCTTGCCTTATCTGAAGAAGGTAGGAATTGCCGCGCCCCCTATGATGATCATGTAACTAAGATATCAAGGCTCTTACCTTTGTACCCCCTGACGCCGCCGTAGCCAAATCAGTGAATCTTACATTTGACCCTTCATTCTGGGGTAACAGTTCCAGTGTATACGCGGGATGGCCATATTTTCAATGGCCTGGTTTAAGTAAGGGACTTGAGTTCTCGGTTCATGTCCATACGCTAATATGGATCACAGAAACGCAGGTAGAGGCTTTTAGAGACATACCTGGTGTTGAGTTCCCTCCTGATAGTGGTGCAGGCAGGGCAGGTGTGTACTGGTTCCCGACTTTCATGGACCCGAAAATAGTCCATAGATCATATGCCAGAACGGGGCATTTTGATGGAATCAATAGGACTAATTACGAGGTTGTTACCCAATCGCACGTAACCAAAGTTCTACTAGAAGAAGGGACTGCTACGGGGGTGGTTTTCCGTCAAAGGAATGAAAATGAAACAACGCTCGCCACGGTCAAAGCTAACCGTGAAGTTATCCTTTCTGCGGGCGCTATTCACTCCCCTCAATTGCTACAGCGCAGTGGTATCGGACCTAAAAAGCTTCTAGAGTCAGCTGGCTTAAATACCACCGTCAATCTACCTGGTGTCGGCCAAAACTTCCAGGACCATCCAATGCTTTTCATGAGCATTGTCCGTGAGTAGTAACTCAAGGCCATGCGCAAGTGATAGGGGCTAATGGGCAAGTTTCTAGTCCGGAATTTTACGACTCATCCAAGTCCATTGGATATGTTTGGCGGAAACAAGAACTTCACTAACTGGGCTCAGGAACTCTGGAGAGCTAACAAGACAGGTAAGTGGGAAAATACGAGATACACGGTATTTCGAACTGAATTTTGACCTATTTCAGGGCCATATTCTATGGGCATTGGCAACGCCGCAGCATGGTTGGGCATGCCAGTAATTTCCCCTGACAGATTCAAAAGCATAGCATCCAAATTAGAGAACCAAGACCATGCTGCTCAACTACCCTCAGATACTGACCCGACTGTGATTGCTGGTGGGTGAATTGAATGTTCTCTATTGGAGAGACTCCCAAGGATGAGGATTATCTAACATTAATACGTAGGATACAGCGCGCAAATGAAGAAGATGGCAGCATCAATTCGCTCATCAAACACGGCGTTCTAGTAAGCAACTCCTCCTACCTCCTTTATAGTATGCTGGTATTTCCGCTAGTGATAACATGACTGATATTGTATTGTACTCTATAGTAACCACGTCCTGACTGGCGCCGGGTCTTCGGGTACACTGGTAGATTTACACCCCCTTAGCCGCGGGACAGTCAACATCAACACCGCAGACCCATTCAACACAGAGCCCCTAGTAGACTACAGGGCTCTTACCAATCCTATAGACCTCGAAATTATGATCGAGATGCTCCGGTTCACTAAGCGGTATTTCTTCGAGACACGACTCAAGGGGTTTTCTCCCAGGCAAGTGCAGCCGCCCGCCTACGTCAACGAGTCCGAAGACCTTGCCGGATTTCTGGCGGAGAACCTTAGTCCTTCCGAGTTCCATCCCTCAGGAACTTGCGCCATGATGCCAAGAGAGCTGGGAGGCGTGGTGGACGAGAGTCTGAGGGTATATGGCGTGAAGCATCTGAGGGTTGTCGATGCTAGTATCATGCCTACGTTGCCTGGAGCCAACACTTGCCAGAGCGTCTATGCTATTGCTGAGAAGGTAGGTGAACGATTTCCAGTGCGCACTAAGGTCTGTACTAACAGTTTCTAGGCGGCCGATCTCATCATAGCTGATTTATAACAGGAGCGAGTTTCTAATACACGATCCGTCATGCTGGTTGGTACAATGGAAGACCCGATAGAGACCTCAAAACGCCGCACCCGTTAAAAAATGATCATGAATAGCGTCTTAGCTCTCTATTTCCAGCACTTGTTTCAAGCCTGTTTCTGCAGATGTAAACCAGCGTCCCCGCTCCTCGAGGTCATCTTGGACACCGCCAAGAGCAGCCTCTTTCCGTCTCTTCGCTTCCTTTGCAGCAGTCTTGCTGTTTTGCCTCTTCGTCTCGAGGGGCTGTAGCTCAGCTTGCAATCGATCCAATTCCTTCTTTTTCCTCGGGACTTGGCTCTGTAGTTGTTCTAACTGCCTGTCTAACTCTGCCTTTCGTCGCTTCTTCGACTCAACCAGGTCCAAGGTCTTGGCCAAAGGCAAGTTCAGCTCGGGATTTGGATTAGATCCTGTTTTCTGCTCTTTTTTCAATTCTGCAACAGCATTTTCGACTTGTTCAATCTTGCGTGGAAGCTCTTCTAACTTGACCGTCTCGACTTTAATCTTCTCATACTTTCGACTCAGATCCCTTGCTTTCTCCTCGAGTTCTGCGACCATGGCTGCAACCTCGGTCTTTAAGGCCTTCAGCGTCGCTTTGGCCTCCAGATTCTCCTTTTCTAGATCCAAATTCTCTTGGGGGCTAACAATAAGAGGCGGGTCACCGACGATGGCGCGGATGAACTTTTCCTTGGAGACTTGTTCTACATAACTAAAGCGCAACTTGGCGAATAGTTCTCGGTAATGCGTCAAGTCCGCTTCAAGAGAGGATGGTGTAGCTGCGTCAAGGGATGAGTTAGAGACATCAGATGTCCGCTGATGAGGATCCTGTAGGTGCGTAACCGCAGCCGATATAGGTTCGCTGAGCTTCAAGATGGTTATGTCCTGTTCAGCACCGAGCGTCCGCAGTTTAGCTAATACATCTTGGGCTGAAGGAGACGCCATCGTGGTGAATGAATTCGTCGCGTGCTCCCTTGAGTTGAGTAACCTAGGACCTACGGTAGAATAGGTTACCAGGAGGATGGATACCTTATGTGTTTACTGTCTGTCCTATAACCACTCGCTTAGTGATTATTTATAATCTTTGCTTCTCGAGTTTGTAGTAGATTAAGCAATATCAAATGTCGTTGTTGTCTCTTGTCTCTCCTGTCTCTTGTCTATTTACTTTTGTCCAAGAAAGGAAAAGAAGGGTGTGGGGCTGCAGTGCAGTAAGCTTTAATAAGGGACCAAGGCAGCCAGGGTAGTTGGGATAGTGAGACCCTACAATCGATAAGATATAACTAAATGATAAAACGTGTTACCTTATCTACTAGATACCTTTGAAATACTACCTAGGTAGGTACCTTGTATGCAGGACGTGATACCTAATGGTACCTAGGTCAGGTAGACCCACTTATCTAACTCATCCTGCTTGCCAACCCAACCTATAAATATTACATAGTAGGTTTTATATGTAGGTAGCTTCGAACCGTTCACCCCGCTGACTAGTGTCGATGCGTTGATATCAACTGATCCCATGAACCCCTTCCAAGTTCTAACGATTAATAAGTTGTTCCTCTTACTCTTGCGGCTTCTTCATATATCTCCTCAAACAATCAAAAAATGCCTCTCGACGATCTATTAACAGACGACCAAGTTGCTGAGCTTCTGGTTAAGGAAGCCCAGGACTGTTCTCTTAAATATTCTGCGATGGGCCTAGATGCATTTAAATCCAACAAGTAAGCGCCTGGTCCATGCATGAACTCACTGTCGTGTCACCAGAGTCTCTGCTCCTCTCTTCTCTACTCTCTCCTCTCCATTTCTAATGCCAAGTTTGCTAACAATTGCCCTTCCAGGCGTCCCGCGAACCAACCTAAACCTAACACTAGATTTCTCAACAACATCATTCGTGATACTAACAGCCATAATCGAGCCCTTCTTGCCAAAGAAAGCGCCGAATCTAAGGCGAAACTTCGTGATCTCGAGGACGCGGAAGATAAGAAGCGATGGGAAGAGGAACGGAGACTGCGCAGGATCAAGCCTGGACCTAGCGATACGCGAAAGCGAATGCTAGGCGATATCGCTGCTATTCTAGGAGGACCGTCTAAGAGGCGCAAAACTGAAAAGGCCGAGACGTCTACCAGCCATACTTCAGATTCAGTAGCGTTATATGCTGGAGGTGATAGGGACGTGAGGAGGGAAAAGAGTCGGAAGGAATTACCAAGCGAACGTGATGGGAGTTCGCATCGTACCCAACGTAGAAATGAGGCAAGGCGAGGAGGTGAATCATCTTCATCCAGTTCCCATCGGCGCGGGCACAAGGAACGTTCACCACGGCGCGAAACCCACTACCAATCAAGGACCGCGATGCGCACTCAACGTCAACCCTCAGAGGACTCGTCTGATTCAGACCCTTTAGACGATATCATTGGCCCTGCGCCAGCTAATAAGACAACCGTTCATCGTCGAGGACGTGGAGCTAACGCCGCTACGTCCGGCATAGACGACCGCTTCGCTCACGATTACGATCCAACCAAGGATGTTACACCCGAACAGGAAGACAGCGACGACTGGGACAATGCAGTAGAAGCGTTCCGCGATAGGCAAAAGTGGAAACAGCAAGGGGCGGACAGATTACGTTCTGCAGGTTTTACCGAAGAGCAGATCAAGAAGTGGGAAAAGGGCGATAATAAAGACGAAAGCGACGTGCAGTGGACCAAGGTTGGGGGGTTGAGAGAGTGGGATCGCGGCAAGGTGGTCAGCAAGGACGGCACAGTAACGCTAGCAACAGACACGGAATAGCAGACGGCGTCGATTGACTTGAACCTGATTTGAATGCATCATCATCACAAAAGGCGTATGGGCTTGAGTTTTATTCATCCTTTCATTCAATGGCATATGGGAGATATCATTACATAGTTGCATTGCACGACTCTGCAGGGCATATCATAGCATAACACGGCGTAACGAGACATGGCATGGCATGGCACAGGACTGTCTTTTCTAGCAGGATGTTTTCACTTGGGGGAGTAACCGGCTAGGACGTCTTGATTTAAATGAAGTTTTTATGGAACTCACTCATTATATCGTCTACCTACATAAGGTACTAACTAATGTTATAGGTATACTGCATAGAGGCTGTGCGCTGGTAGACTTCAATCCATGCGTGCGGTCATAAAGGTTATTGCCTAATTATTATACGAGACGGAACATAGCCAAAGATATCCGTGAGCCTGCTAGATTCACCATTAGGGGGTTGTGAAGTGCAGTACTAATATACACTGTTGATCTCGACTAAACAATTAAACTGGGCCAATGGGTCCATTGGGTATTTGGTGTTGAGTGTTGGGAGCTGGCTCTTCTAGGTAAAGTTAATTTAGTCGTATACGAAACCTTATGGTGTCATGTTGTCATGTTGGAAAGCGATTCAATGCTTTCACTTCAGGTTTTAATAAATCCGAGCCAGCCCCCTTTTATATTTTCTGGTTGAACACCTTCGAGATGCCAATGAGAATGCCTTTGAAGAAGCCTACCTAATGCTAAATGGATCCTAGAATATGTATTAGCACCTGCATGGCAGGTGAGGTTTGCTATTCGCCCCTGGGTGGATTCTGATGAGTTCATTTTATATGGATACTATTATCGTCCCGAGTGAGTGCTGACTTTTTACTTGTATACAAAATAGCTTTGCCTCATGAAGTAATTTGGGGAATTCAAGAACTTACAAGCAACGCTCTAAACTAATGAGCTGTAATTGCTGATCAGCCAACTCTAAGTCCCACCAAACCCCACTAAAATATGTTCGGATGGCCCCATGCTAAAATGCACCCACTCAAGTCTCAAGCCCACTCCAGCCCAACTCCAGCCCACTCCAGGTCTCCAAGCCCGCTAGACTGACCACCCTGACCTCACCACTAACTTTTCGCGGTTCCGGTTGGGTTAGGTACCTGTTACGTCCCAGGTATAGAGGTACGTATTGTACTGTACTTGTTATATGTATGGATGTGCATAGGTAGTGTACCTAGGTTATGTAGGTATTGTACAACAACGCCGTCAACTCCGCAGTTGCGCATCCCAATCCTTCCTATTATTACTATCATCATCGTTACAGCCCTCTCTGATTCTAAACTTCTCCATCCTACTTTTTTAAAAAAGGACCTTTGGAGGTCTCTTGGATTTTATACATCTTCCCTCTAACACTTCCCTATCTCTATCTTAGGTAGTGTTTCCTTTTCCGCCGCTCGCCTTGTTATTTTGTCAAACCCCCACTTCGTTTCACTCGGATTCCATTTATCTTGAATAATACACTTCATATTCTCCCGTGTTGCCAGTTTCTATTAGTACGCTTACTAGTTCTACGAATGGTCCTCTATAAATCCGGGCAGCTGAGTTGCCAGCTACGTTGAGAAACCCTTTCCTGCGGTCTCCCATTTTACCGTAAACATGCGACCACCAAGAATCGTCATCCTCGTCCTCTTCTTCGCTGCTTGCCTCTTCCTCGTATGTCGCGCCGTCACATCCGCTGGCCGCCCCGCTCCCGTCATATCTTCTTCCCATCCCGCGCAAAAGTCCGGCTTCACTGGTTTCAGATCCCTTTTCTCTTTCACGACACCTTTCACTCTTTTCCCGCCGAACGCTATCATCACCATAGCCGATGACAACAGTACCTCGTTCGCAGCAAGACCTGCAGCTTTTGGACCTCCCTTGCCAACAAACGGCTTAAACGGACAGCTATGGATCGGTAGTGGCTTTACGGAGGAGTCTATGCAAGATGGAGAAGGGGAAGGCGAATTGGGTTGCAGCGACGTGCCCGGTTGGGACGATGGAACCTCGAACGCCGTCTTGAAACCGTCCGTGAAAGAAATTCAACATAAGTTCAAACCTGCCATCGCGGCCGAGAAGGTTAAAAATCAGAAACGGGGGGGTTCCAAGACCCCTTTAGTCGACCGAACTGCAGCGTCCAAGTCCGAGTCCAGATCCAAGGCTAAGCCTGTAGACGACGGAACCGATGATTATCTTCACCAAAAGCTTGACAAGTCGGTTACATCGCAGAGTGATGCACTTGGTTCTTCGAGTTCGGGGCATGCAGATATTCAATCCATACAAGAGGGAGCTGAGATTGACGGCAAGATAGTTCTATTAAGTCGAGGAGGTTGCGGTTTTCTCGAGAAAGTGAAGTGGGCTCAGCGACGAGGCGCCATTGCTTTAATCGTTGGAGACAATCAGAGAGGTGGTCCATTGATACAGATGTACGCCCACGGGGACACGTCTAATGTTACTATCCCTTCTATCTTCACATCTCGTACGACCGCGTATCTGCTCTCGCTTATGATGCAGCCTGGGAGCTTTATCGAAGATATAATTGATGAGAACGGAAAACCTTCTTTGAAAGTGCAGCAGTCCGAGAAAGCCCGAAAGAACAGGAGGGCAAGACAAGCTGGCGTGCCAGCCCAGTCTACCAAATCCAACTCAAAACCCGAAAACCCGCAAACGCTCCTAAACAGAAGGCCCTCGCCGTCAGGTGATGGGCCGTCAAGCTGGCTTGGAAATATTTTTAGCTGGGGTTCTAACTCTCGTTCTAACTCAGCAGCAAGCGGCAGCCGTCCTCCTAGCAGTGGCCAACTTGACTGGGTGCTGGTTGAAGACTTTTCGGATGAAAGGGACAAGATCATAAAAAATAGTCTTGAGCGCGCTTCGAGGGATAGATTGGATGGTGCTTCAAAGCCAAAATCTAAGCAACCCCCGGATGATAATTTTCAGATAGGTGTGGAAGACTGGCGTGATCCGGATCTAGTTAGGTCTTCTGAGCTCAACGATGGATCTCAAGACTCAGTGGAGATGGGCAGCAGGCTTTCGAAACCGGATTCGGGGCCTAGTAGAGCCTCGAACAATAAGAAACAACACCCCAACATACAAACTAATGGTAGGGTTACTCCTAACAGCGGGCGATATGCCGCAGGTCGTATGCCCGCAAAAGGGTCCGATGCTATCGGATCAGCTAATAAAAAGGTATCGACTTCATCTAAGGATGGCCTTATTTCCAAGATATTTGGAGACGACGATGGAGTGGACTTGGCCAAAGTCGAGGCCCATTCTAAGCCAGTCGATACGGCTAACAAGGCAACGCCCACTCCTAATCCCGGGGGTTCTCTTCCCGATGAACGAGAAGGCCTCTGGGTTATCATTACCCCCTCAAGTGGCGCCAGCCCATTCTTTGATACCCTCCTAGTTCTAGTCATTAGTCCTCTTATCACACTCACAGTGGTTTATGCTCTACTCATTTTACGAGCGCGCATTAGACGAAGACGATGGAGAGCGCCAAAATCGGTAGTTGAACGACTTCCGGTGCGTACGTATCATACAGTAGCATCCTCATCGAGTCGTACTTCCAGGGTCCCATCTCCTACTAGTCCGTCGCCGACAACACCGTTACTCCAGAGTCAACATAGCCCATCGAGGTCTAGGCCGCGGTCACGGACTACTACGGGTGTGCCCTCAGCTGATGATCTTCTGCAAGTTGAATCTTCCTTGCCTACCCCCAAGCCCTCCTCACATCCAGAACACGAGAAACGTAATGCGCAACACGCAAGCCAGTGGAGGAAATATATGGGTCGGCAAGTCGAGTGCGTTGTATGCTTAGAAGAATACGTCGACGGTGTCAGCCAAGTTATGAGTCTACCTTGCGGGCACGAGTTCCATGTGGACTGCATGTAAGTTTACCCCTGATCGGTTCTGCGAATCTAACTAATAGAGGATAGAACGCCTTGGTTGATTACCCGACGGCGAACTTGTCCCATTTGCAAGGGTGATGTCGTCCGGTCTCTAGCTCGTGGGATGCCATCAAGTCCTCGATACGAACCCTATCAAGACGATAGCGATGAAGATATAGCTGAGCAAGCAACAAGCTCTGCATCGCCTGACAATCCAGTCGGAGAAGCGGACAATTCTGACGTAGAGCAAGGCACGCCGCTATTACGCCACGCGCATCAGGATAATTGGTTCAGTACACTGAGGGACAACATACGAAATGGGTTCCTGTTCTGGTCCAGGCGAGCACCAGAAGAAACAGAAAACCAAGGCAGGGAATAGGTCTTTCCACTTGTACGATCTGCTTCTACATGATACCATAGGCGTTTGGTCACTGCAGCGACATGATTTTTAATATACTGGTTACGGTTTGGGAAAGCATCAGGGAATAAGGTTAACGGTTAAGGACTGGGCTCGTCGTGTTGGTACACGCATAAGGCTATTTCGTGTCTCCACGGTCCTCGTATGGATGGCATTCCAGTTTTTCGGGGAGTAGGCAAGCATGCATTACATGCTAGCATTTATGGATTGGTCGACGGCTTGTAGATTATCAGGTTTAGAGGCCGCATCATTACCGGCCTACAGGCTTGGATGAGGGTTATTATACTCGGTGTAATCATTGTACATGGCTACAGCGAATACAAGTTTGGCTCGCTGTTATTTCCCTTCAAGGCAGCCCTTATAGATTTCATTCCTTTTTTGAAGGAGATTATATTATTGCAACAATCTTTATCCTTCGAGTCTGAATGTGAGTGAATGGTGAAAGCTTGGGATGTAGTGGTCAAAGCGCCTGTCGAAAGGGGCAAGTGGAGTCTTGATCATTACCCGTTTATTGTCTCAGCAGGACATAGGACAGGGATCCCCTGCACATTGTGTGTTATGACGACATCATTTCTTCAATTGACAAACTGCACGTGTCATTCATCGTTATTCTAAAATAACTTAGACGAAATTACCTGACTTATAACCTGATCCATATGCGTTCATCCAAGAGAGAGAGAGAGAAAAGAAAAGAAAAGAAAAGGCATTTTTTCGTCATATTTTCACTAACCATTTGAATACCTAATCTGAATAACTATCAGTATCTAGACTCTAAACTTAGTACAGCCAGCCCTTTGCCATGTCTAGTAGCTTCGCAAGCAACGTCCAGGCTAAAGCCCAAGAGGTGGCGTACGTATTGAAACCTGGCATTGCAATGCTTTGAACTTGAATGATTCCATCTAACTGGTAGTAGGAAAGAAGACTACGAGAAGGCCAAAGTCCTCCTGTCAGAAGCTGCGAAGAGCGGATCTTACCTCTATCCTTTCAAGTATCAAAGCCTCTCTCGTCTTATACAATACTCTAGCTCGTCAGGTAATAACAGGAGCTAATGGCTTATGAATAGGGGTATTGTCTATTTTGTGACGCATAAATCATTATGGAAACCTTTCTACTCCCGCATACTGCCCACTTTGGGGCTTACAGCAGGAGTTACCGCATCTATGTTCTTCTTGACTTACCTTCCACAGCTAGCCATTCTCGTCTTTGTAAACGGGCCCTTAGCTGTATTTACGACCGTGCTTCTCATTCTCAACGAGAGCTCTACCATTGTAAACCTCATTTCCCGTAATTTCCTTTTACAAGATGCGCTGCTCGACACTTTCGATGGCACGCTTGTCGCCAAGGGTGCTGTCGGTATCGTTAGCGAGGGAAGGCAATTAAAATCTGGCCAAGATCCGATTGCGAGATTGGGCAAGATTCTCAAGAATCCATTCTCAAAGTTCACTCCAAAGGCCCTGGTCAGATACGTTATATATCTTCCGCTTAACTTCATTCCTAGTACGTTTTACAAATCAAGTGGTCTCTATTATTTGTTACTAACCGGAAGCGTGCCCACAGTTGTTGGCACTGCTATATTTATCATTCTCCAAGGTTAGTACCTACCTCTTATCGTTACGTCTTTCGTACCATCCGGCCGCTAACATCCATGTCCCTCAGGCCGGACAAGAGGTAGCTCTGTTCATGACCGGGTTGGTCTTCCCCGATATGTCCCTATACCTACCTAAGGTATCGTTATCACCCCTGACTAGTTACAGTATTTTCAACTGAAAGGATGGACTTCGTCTCAACAACGGGATTGGCTTGAACGCCATGCCGGTCCATACGCAACGTACGTATTAAATTGTCCGTACATAAGTTCACGGGCGTAGCTTATCTCATATTATAGCTTCGGGACTATCGCAACTCTCCTTGAGATGATACCTATAGTATCGATGTTTTTTACATTTACAAACACCGGTAAGTTAGGTTGGATTCCAACATAAGTAGTTCATAACTCACAACAGATGGTAGTGGGCGCTGCACTCTGGGCAGCGGACATCGAGCAGAGAAACACTCAGATGACACGAGGCACTGCCCCTCAACTGCGGGAGTCTGCGAAGAAGGCCGAGTAGGGTAGTACTAAAGATGCACAAGACCGACCCCTCCGAGATTAAGTGCATCGAAGATCCTGCACAGCAATGCATAACCGGCCTGCATCTCGGTAAGACTTTGACTAAGTCTCGGGGTACGCAGCTTGTGTTTCTTGTTACCATTCTGGGGACAGGGGAATAGGAAATGATCAATAGGCTCGTTAAATTTAAGGATTTCAGTTTGGTAAACGAACTCCGTAGGATATTCAATGGACATTGAGAATTCGGAATTACACATGTGGTGCATCTGTGCCTCAGGCCTGTGCATGCAGGTATCACGCAAAGCGGCACCGTAATTCGGAAATGGTACTGACCATATCTCATCGAATTGGCTGTTGTCTAGGTAGGTAGGTATCTTTCTGTGCCATCATCCCGGAGATGTCCCTTAGTCCTAGAGCTACTTAGAGTGGATAGACGTTCTTCCCAGTTTTAAATGTCCGCTGGAGTGCTTGTCTTCATGTCTCATATTATAAGTAAGTGGGAGGGCTCTTGCACGTGCTGTCCCAACTTCCGACTACTTTGTCTCAGAGCTTTGGTGCATACCTAGGCACCTAAGGTAGGAAAGCCGCACAATCTCGATTAATCAATACGAAACACACCAATACTACGGGAACTATGTCTGATTTTCTAGAACGACTGGACTCTACCCCGGAGGGCCTTGCAGGTTTGCTCCGTACACTCCCACGCACTAGTAAAGGGAATTGACGGGAACAGATGCGGCGAGGCTTTCTAGACGTATGACAAGCCGACCCGTATAGGATGAGCAAATATACACGTTATCATCTCACTTGGCGTACCTAGGTAATCTATATAATCATTATCTATGGTGCTATTAGGTATACGGGCTGCGAGATATATCATATGTTAGATAGATATAGGTACCTTACGAAGAAAGGCATAGTAAAATATATCCAAGGTACAGTAAAACCTTTTCAGGTTACATAGATAATGGGAAGGCTCCTTTAATCGTACTCGCCTTCATGCAGTGTTGGACGGGAGAAGACTTGCAAGATCTCTAATGGGTAATTTATGCAACGGTTAGGTGCGTCTGGCACCTACCACTTGTCAGGCTCTCTGCAGCTTTATGCATACAGCCTCCTCTGTCCCCAAGGTACCGTGTAGCCACTGCATGATGTGAGCTTGCCTACTACCTACCCCTTGGCGAGGTTCTCAGAGTGGAGGTATTATGGGGTTCAAACTGTGCTTTAAGATATCAGCCGTGATGAACTTTGATCGTTCGACATATGTCACAATAGCTTCTTACCGAACTGGGGTGGGCTGTACCTACTAAGGTAATATTACACGGTGTCACTACTGAGAATTCAACAAGGATTAACATGCCACAGAGGCAACACAGGACTCACTACTTAGTCCCGTTATGCTAACAGATTTTCAGACTGGGAGTTTTCAAAGATATGAAATTCTACAAAGGGGGGAGGAAGGGACCTAGAGGGACCCTGTAAAGACGTGGTATGTCTAAAACTTGGAGTTTCTGTGGCGCTGTTAAATTAAAAAACGTCTTAGAAAATAGGCAGCATAGCGTCCCCCGATCTAAACGAGTCCTGATGTCTATCTTTCTCGCCTATCTTTGAAGAAAGAGCTTCGTAACGGGAGACTTCTTCCATCAACATAACCGTTAGACAAGACTGAAAAATGCCTGGTCCTAATCTCTAAATGATACCTTGTGTTCCATCTTCTAATATTTTACAAATATATTACCTCAAGCTAGGTCGAATATACTAACAGGTTTACTAATAATACTTGAGAATGCTACCTAGAAGTAGGATTTAGCACATGGCCGTCAAGATACACCACATACTCCCACGTACACATGGACATTTAGCACGTCCTTAAACGAGATCTCGACATGTACATATCGTAGAATAAGAGAGAAGAACAAGGATGACCTCGACGTGCCCCTGCTCCGTGTCCCTGCTCCGTGCCTAGCGTGCCTAGCGGCGAGTGCGAGAGGGCACCAAGCATAACCCCTTAGATTTTGCCATTGTCGTATGATACGATACCTAAGAAGGCTTCCAGGTTCTGACTGACGGTCAAATACATGAATCTACTTAACTGTACCTCCACCATACTTCACTTATATGCGTCTTACCTTACCTAAGAGGTACCTGCAGCATACCTTATGCATGTATGGGCCATGTATGGGCTCAAGATAGGTACTTTGTCTACCTACTTGATACATGTACCTAATAGTGGAGTCATTGCCGTTTCTCTCTCTTCTCTCTCTCTCTTTCTCTCTCGGTGGAAACTACCTAGGTAGAAGCTGTCTCGACTTAATCTCTCTTGAGGGTGTCGCCCCTTCCCCCCGAAGATGCACTACCTAATGCTCCATGTCCTGGCATCGACGCATCGGTTACTCCTTCTACCATAGTTCTTATCTCAAGTTTGTCCCTTCCCTCCTATAATTGGCCTCTTTCTCTCAACCGGATTTATCTGCTCGGTTATCTACAGATATTATTCGTCGTAGTCCTGTTGTTTTCGTTTTTCTTTTTATTCTTGTCAACCTTCTCTTTTCCCAGGTGAAGAGGACATTCAATCCATAAAACACGTTCATTTCCAGCTCATCTTCAACTCACCGCATCTTTAACTCTATATCATTTTTCAAGTATTCTTTTTCACCTTTTATAAAAAAATCTTTACCAACTGGACCGACTACGTTCATTCTCATTAACCCCTCCAGTACTATTACGCCTCCGTATATGTTTTTAACCATCTGCAATATACGTCCTAGAGATTGCGGGCTGCCTAAACACCCGTAGTATCTACTACTATCATGAGAGCTTTAACGCTCGCTGCTGACTTGGTGTCGGTGGTCGTTTTACTGACAGCTCTTCCCAGTATTCGAGCATTGACCCAAGGGGATAGCCTTGCTATTCAACACGATTCCCCTCCCGGTGTAGATGCTGAGAAAATTAACAATGAATTCTTCGATGACCCTCAGCATGGCCCTAGTGGTGGATACAATTATCATACTCCCACATATGGGGGATATGGCTCTCCTCTCCCTTCACCTTCTACCTCTAAGGCTTCTCCATCAGGTTCAATCCTAACCAGTCCCAGCGCGAGATCCCAAAGCATACTCGGGTCTAGCCATGCGTCAAGCTTTGTTAATGGTTCAACTACTTCATTAGGTATCTACAATATTGTGTTGGTTTAGCAATACAGAAGCTCATTAAGTCTTAGTCTCATCAACTTTCAGTTCAGGAGGAGAATCCGCTACGCCTGGTATTGGATCACTATCAGCTACAAATACTTCCCCATCTGTATCCATTCCAAGCATGTCCACCATAAATACGTCCTCGACATCACCTACCGGGGAAATGAACGGCTCAACTATTTTATCTACCGGCACTGAAGAGTCGAACCCACCAACAACTTCAACCGGTAGCCCCACATCGTTTATTCCCATCGCGTCTAGCTCAATTTTGGTATGTCATTGTGCCTTTTCAGAAAGTTCGTAGGTATATAGGGTCTAATACGTTTAAAAACGGGGCATATTGCAAACGTACTGTGGCACAAAAGCCTTACTAACGAGCATATTTGTAGAGCGGCTTTTCGAATACCACAGTATTAAGCACAACAAGTAGCACTAGTATTGGCGGAGGCCCTGGGGGTCAAGGAATCCCTCCAACTCCAGGCCAGACTAGCTCATCTGCTATTAGCAATAACGCAAATACGGGAAGTCAAACGACTATTCCTAGAACGAGTACAGAAGAAGTAGTCACGACTGTTGTTCTATCTTCTGGAATATCTGTCACTATGACAATCATCAGGAATGGAACTACGTTTGGGACCTCTAGTACAGCAGCTGTGACCGCAAGTGCCTCAAGCATTCCAACACAGTCGTCAAATGGACTCTCATCTGGTTTAGAGTCGCCTGGGACCACAGGTGTATCTACCCCTAGTTCAGAGTCAACGCAAAGTACAATACTTTCCGGATCAGCGACTGTCTCCTCCGGCACATCGGGATTGGCAAGTATGTTATCTACTATCTCATCAGGTATCTTATCTCCTTCGACCGGAGAGACTTCTGCCCCTTTCCCTCTCTCTAATTCAACATCAAACGTCAACCCTTCAGGGCCTACAGCATCTAGTGGTGGCCCACAGTCAACTATTACGTCTTCGGGTTCTTTGGTGACGAGAAGCGGCGTTACGCAATCAAGCTCTACGGTTGAAAATACCAGTTCTCTCTCCAATGGGACTTTATCCCCGGCCGGACCATCAGGTCAGGGCATCTCCAGTGCCACTGTAAGTAAAGAGACCTTGTCATCCGGAGGTGTCTCTCCGTCAGAAGGCCCTGGGATCTCGGGCTCGTCAACGCCCCCCTTTCCTGTCTCGAACGCGACAAACAGCCAAAGTCCTACGACCAGAAGTTCAGGGTTCTCCATTTCCCCCTCGGGTTCTGTTACCACGTTATTCCCAGGCATTAGCCCTACATTGTCAGCTTCTACGACACTGATATCTAGTATGGAGCTTAGCAGTGTTGTTGCATCTGGTGCTCTTACCGAGAGTGAGATATCTTCCGTATCAGGGCCCCCATTTCCACTATCCAACAGCAGTGCCATTATCACCACAGGGTCGCTTGGTCAAACAATTACACCAGCGGGAACGGGTGCTACAAATACGAGACCTCTGCCGTCTATTTCTTTGGGATCCCAGACTCAGTCGTTGCGTTCAGAGACTAGTTCAGCTCCAGTTCCGAATACTTCGTCTGCACCGTTCCCTTTGAGTAATTCCACCACCGTCACCGTCAAAAGTACTGTAGTTTCTTCTCCAGGGACGGGTCAACCTACGGGAACTGGTGCAGTGACTAGCTTATTCTCGTCTTCCGCTGCATCAAATTTGACGTCCCCATCAACGTCTACCGGGAGCTCAGCTTTTATATCAGCAGGAGAATCTTCTCAGGGGGCTGGCCCCGGAGGTCAGGGGATTTCCCCAACCCCGTCTGTTCAAGCAAATATAACGGCCACTTCATCAAATTCCGCCAACCTAACGCATGGGACCGGTACAGTGACGGTTCCAAGCAGTCTTATGCCTGGTAGTTTGTCGATTATCACCTCCGCAGCGACAAAGTCAGCTCCGTTTCCATTGACAAACTCGTCAATCACTACAGGTGGACCAACCGGAGGATCTCTTACGTTTTCAGGTACAGTACAACCTAGTTCACAATCTTCAGTTAGGTCTACCGCATCGTCTATGCTTGAGTCAAGCCTCTCTAGCGAGGTAGCCAGTTTTGGGTCCTCCTCAACATTCCCCCCATTTCCCACCACAAACTCGACGACGTCTCCTGTGAAGCCTAGTGGTGCTGGTTTCTCTAGTATGACGTCCGCCATCCCCCTTTCAAGTATTCAATTCAGTACTTCAGCTTCTTCTTCTCGGCCCCCGTTTCCTTTGTCCAACTCAACAGGCGGCCCTAACGGCCAGACGGTCCCTCCGACTGGGACCGGTACGCCAGCAGGCACTATTTCTGGTAAGGCAAGCAGCGGATTCAGTTATTCTGCTTCTACCGCCTCTCAATTGCCACCATTCCCAAGGCCCAACTCGACTATATCCGTAACGGGTCCTACAAGCGGGGCTATTAGCTCTCTCCTAAGCACAGCTTTGTCTACGCAGAAGCCGGCTGCTTCTCCAAGCAGCAATCAGACGGCAGAGACCTCATCCTCTGGGCATATTTCACCGATTGGTTCCCAAACCATACCCTTCCCTATAACTAACTCGACGTTGCCAAATCCTGGCCCTACGGGCGTCTCTAATACAGGTATACCCATCCCTCCTACTGGTTCCGCTAATTCATTGTCGACTTTGACCTTCATCTCAACTAGGTCTCCCTCTGGCAGTCCGAATGGACAGTCTATAGGAGTTAGTAGCCCATCAGCGCCTTTCCCGTTTTCGAATACTACGATACCTACACTAGGATCCACTGGTAGTCTGGCACCTACCGTCCATAGTCCAGTGTCTTCAAGTTCAACACCCGTGCCAACAGGCTCCGCAGCGAACTCGACAGCACTTTCAAGAAGTCCTACGATTAGGATAAGTAGTACAACAGGAATCAATCCCTCAGCGGGCTCAAACACTGCCTCGGTGCAGACTCCTAGCTCGCCCGCTCCTTTTCCTATGCCAAACTCGACAAACGTCACCAACAACCCTACGGGACCACTGGGTTTCTCAACGGGGTTTCAAAGCGTGTCAAGCAGCTCTCTTACGGGTTCTATCAGTTCATCCAATGCCACTCGCTCATTGACTATTACACCTTTTACCACCAAGTCGAGCGCAAGCTTAACCAGACCATCAGTCCCCACAGCGTCAGGATTGACACCACCATTCTCCCTCTCTAATTTGACACAGAGCCCAGAACCGACCGCGCCATCAAATGGGCTATCTAGCTCAATCTCAGGTACAGTAGTGTCTATTATCACATCCGGAGTACCGACGTCGGTACCACCTTTCCCTTTAACAAATAGCACAATCTTCCCTAACCCGACTGCCCAGTCAAGCGGGACTGGCCATTCGGGGACTGAGTCTTTTCCTGTACCGAGCTCAATCGGGAGTAACAGCGCTCTTAGCTCGCACTCCGGGGTCTCAGAGATATCCAGTATCATTCCGAATCAACCAGTTACCGGAAGCGAGAGCGCGCCTGAAAGCACCTCCTCAGTCCTTTCCACTAGCGCGATTGGCATTTCAAGTTCCACTCCATTCCCATTTTCGAATGCGTCAATATCCCACAGGTTTTCAACAAGTGGTCCTACGGGACAGCCGCTAGAAACCAGTACCCAGTCGACATTACACGCGACTACTCCTTTGAGTACCGGTCTGTCTAATCCGTCGTCCCTATCCTCACTACCAACATCTCTATCCTACTCTCCGTCGAACAGCACTTTATCGTTTAGACCTACCACGAGCCTGTTGCCTAATTCAAGTGAAATTTCCGGTGCTATATCAACAGAATCCAGTATTACCACGTCTGTGGTGGTACCATCAGGGCCCTTGAGCCAACCACCCACCGGTAACGGCTCCATCTCGTCGATTTTCTCCAACTCTTCCATATCTACTTCTTTTCCTCCAGGAGCGTCTACCACTGGAACAACTGCCCCGGGTGGCCCAGGTGGACAGGGAATTCCTCCTCAGATAACATCATCTTCGACATTGACTCCTTCGGAAACGTGTACTGAAGAGCTTCCCACAACTCAAGAGCCAGACACAACTTGTACAGAAAGCGAGACCCCTACAGCCGCTATTGATACAACCTGCACCGAGGATGGATTCACAGAGCCGGGGTCTATGGCGACCTTAACTTCGCCGGCCACTTCATCCGCATCGGGCGCTGAAGGTGCAACAGGAACACCTACTTCATGGTCATCTTCGACGTCGTGTACCGGAAGCTCTTTTGGTGAGTGAAAACAAATTAGCAAACATAATTATTGACGTGGAACTAATTGAACCCAAAGCAAATTCAACGTTGTTTGGTAGTGATCAACCGACTACCTTTCAGACATCAACAATAGCATCCACATCCGGTCAGATTTCCAATAGCAGCATTGTAGTTGTCGGTTCGGCCTCTGGGAACGTTACTCCAATAGCTACTTCATCCCCAATAGCGATAGTACCTCTCCCTACGCCAGATAGAGACCACTGGCACACTCCTCCGGCTATCCCGACACCAGTAAGGGCGGCAGTACGGGACACAAGGCATAACAAGGCGGGATCTGGCTGGCGCCAATATGCCCATGGTCTGTTCTCAAAAGGTAAGGGCAATAAGGATAAGACTAATAAACTCGAGGATGATGAGACGTAAGGTGTTCAACCATGCTTGAGCCACTGTATCTTCCTGTTTCTTTTGTGGCATGCGATGTCCGAATATGTGATGGACACATTCCGGAAGTTTGCTCGATCTTGCAAGTTTGTATCACAGATAAGAAGATATACTACATGTTATTTGCTTTGTCACACACGATGAATACTTGCAAGGATGGGGGGTGGTGAGAAACGGCTAATGAAGAAAAAAATCGGGGTGTAGGTAATTTTTATCATAGCATATTGCTTCCTGAATACCAATTTGGCAGAGCCTAATTCGCTATGCATCGACTACTGCAGAGTTGGAGCGTTGGAGCGTGGCGAGAGGGGTAGGTACCAAAGTACCTAAAGTACCTAAAGGAGCTAAGAGCCGCAAAAGACCGCCGTCTCTTTTTCATTTGTTCAAACTCCAATTTACCCCCAAGATTTGCCATTTGTTCTCATTTACATAAATTAAGACATCATTAGGGTCTCAGGGTCCCGAGAGCCGTGTTGTCGGACATGTTTTCGGTCTGGTTTACTTCCTAATTCGTTTAAAAAGGGTCGTGTCGGTCCAGTGACGGACGAGAACCGCCGGTGCTAACATTCTAAGCGACGGCTCTCGCTGGTCTCTAAGCACGTCATCAAGGCTAAATGCTATTGGATTTTTTTTTTACCCATCTTCTAGCCTCTACACACTCTACTTCTCATAAGGGTCGACTGCGTAGGTCCTACCCCTGCGCAGACTGCATACAATGTCTGCTACTGATTACGTACATGTATGGGACGGCATCGGAATTAGTTCTGTTTTTTTTTTTTTTTTTTTTTTTTTTTTTTTTTATCTATAATCTTGGAAGTTGGTCATGCCGGCTTTTGGCTCTCTCCGTATTAGTTTTTTATAGTAGCAAGTTTTGAAGTACCTGTTATACGTTCCATACCGGGCGTTGATTACCTATCCTTTCCCACCATCCAATCTTTTATTAAGAACTGTAATTCAAAACCTAGTTCTCTCTTCTTTTCTTATCATTTCATTTCCGTATCTACCCTTCTACTCGGTTACGTTTTAAGATAATGGCGAACCCTCCCCATGGCGGCGTCCTCAAGGACCTTATTGCTAGAGACCTACCTAGACAAGCTCAGCTCGCCGCTGAAGCTGAAACTCTTCCTGCCATTACCCTGACTGAGAGACAGCTATGCGACCTCGAATTGATCCTCAATGGCGGTTTCTCGCCTCTTGAAGGTGTGTTCACTTACCATGTCTGATTCCTGGTATCCGTGTTTCCCCATCTGTCCAGTGTCACAAGCTTCTACCCTATCACCTTATTTCATATATCAACAGATGCCATTGGTTGGAGTAACGAAACAATTATTATACGAGAACTTGTGCTCTCTGAATGAAGTCAAAGCTTACACAAATTCACGTCCAGGTTTCATGAACGAGGCCGATTACAATGGGTATGTAACTACTAGACCATATGCGTAACTAGGTAAGGCCGAGCGCTAACTGTTTTGTGCAGTGTCGTGAAGGACAACAGACTGGCCGATGGTGTTCTGTTCAGCATGCCCATTACCCTAGACGTGTCCGACGAAACCATCAAGGAGGTTGGTCTAAAGCCAGGCGTCCGGGTGACGCTACGCGATCTTCGTGACGACAGGAATTTGGCTATCCTTACCGTGGATGATATCTACAAACCAGACAAGTACGGAAGAACCTTTACTCGCCAAGGATTGCGCAATCGAAACCACTGACACATAAGTACAATAGGGTCCTCGAGGCTAAGGAAGTTTTCGGAAGCGATGATGAAGCGCATCCGGCTGTCAAATATCTCTTCAGAACAGCTGCCGATTTCTACGTTGGTGGTAAAGTTGAGGCTGTTAACCGCTTGCAGCACTATGACTTTGTAGATCTCCGATGTAAGTGTATCTACCTGCCATGGTAGCCTTTGTCACTCATGACGTTGAAGCTGACTGGGATCCCAACGATAGATACGCCGGCTGAGCTCCGATTACACTTTGACAAGCTTGGTTGGAGCCGCGTTGTCGCTTTCCAGACAAGAAACCCTATGCACCGCGCGCATCGAGAGTTGACAGTTCGTGCTGCTCGTTCGCACCACGCAAATGTGCTCATTCACCCCGTGGTTGGCTTGACAAAGCCTGGAGATATTGACCACTTCACGAGAGTGCGAGTCTACAAAGCCCTTCTGCCAAGATACCCTAATGGCATGGCGGTCTTGGGTCTCCTCCCGTTGGCTATGCGAATGGGTGGTCCCCGCGAAGCCATCTGGCACGCCATCATCCGTAAGAATCACGGAGCAACTCATTTCATCGTTGGACGTGATCATGCTGGTCCTGGAAAGAACAGCCAAGGCGTTGATTTCTATGGACCTTATGATGCACAGTACGCGGTCGAGAAGTACCGCGACGAGCTTGGCATTGAAGTTGTGCCGTTCCAAATGATGACCTACCTGCCGGACAAGGACGAGTATGCGCCCGTCGACCAAATTCCGACGGATACTCGCACACTGAACATATCCGGTACGGAATTGCGCTCGAGACTGAGGAGCGGTCGAGATATCCCCGAATGGTTCTCGTATCCCGAGGTCGTTAAGGTACTGCGCGAGTCGCATCCTCCCCGTGCTGCTCAGGGGTTCACTGTCTTCTTGACCGGTTACACAAACAGTGGTAAGGACCAGATTGCGAGGGCTCTTCAGGTCACCCTCAATCAGCAGGGTGGTCGATCAGTTTCGATGCTTCTTGGTGAGACAGTGCGCCATGAGCTGTCGTCCGAACTTGGTTTCAGCAGAGAGGACCGCAGCACGAATATCGCTCGCATCGCGTTCGTCGCCGGCGAACTGACTAGGTCCGGTGCTGCCGTCATCGCCGCCCCGATTGCACCCTTTGAGAAGGACCGAGAAGCTGCCAAAGAGGCTATCGAGAAATACGGCGATTTCTACCTTGTCCACGTCGCTACTCCTCTCGAGTACTGCGAGAAGACAGACAAGCGAGGCATCTACGCCAAGGCCCGCGCTGGTGAGATCAAGGGTTTCACGGGAGTTGACGACCCATATGAAGCTCCCTCTAAGCCCGATTTAGTAGTAGACTGCGAGAAGCAGACGGTGCGATCCATCGTACACCAGATCGTGCTGATGCTGGAGAGCCGTGGTTTACTAGACCGCCTATAAACGAGATGAGTTTGATGAGTTTGATGAGAAGAATTTTCTCTACGGTTTTAGATTAGGTTCTTATTAGATTTTACGACGCGTTCGAGAGAACATTTTATGAACGAATAAAGGAAGACAACGGGATAGATTTGGCGATTAGCGTACCATAGCATACCAGGTCCTTATATTCGTAGGATCAACATAAAAAATATACCTATGAATGACATAGAAGCTTTAGAAGATAGAGGTAGTATAGTATATAGTACAATACAGTACGAAGATGTAGTACCTACAAACCTACAAATACTTGACAACGACTTGTAGCTTGCAGGCGGTGTACTTCTTTAGGTAGATACCTAACGTAAGGTAAGGTACATAAGGTACGGCGACCCCACTTTTCAAGCGATTGGTACGGGTACGTCCATACCCGATTCGTACGTGGTTGAGTCTCCAATTCTCGATATATGCATGTCGCTCATGTCGCTCGTCGAATCACAGGAAGCTGCGTAGCGTGTGGGAAGACTCCAATAGCCGCCGTCACCTTCCCTTGCACATCTTTCGGGAACATTGGACCATGCAAAGTTGCCTTGTGCTGCTTTTCACCACTTTTTCTTGCCTTCTACATGCCATGCTCCTATAATTCTTACCAACGAACGCATTGCATAAATTGGAAAAATTCCTAATTAAGACCACCGAAGCAACTGAACCATCTGGACCATTGAATTCATTCGTCCTTTCTCTCAACCCTCTCCAATCGAGGACCCTCTTCACCCTTCGAATAACTTCGACGACCCTCCCTCGTTAAATCGAATTTTAGCGGTTGGGCCCGGTCGGGCTCGTATGGTCCGCCACCATGGGCTCCAAAGACCCTGATGCCGACGCAACCAGCGATACCCGCTCACGAGATCCCCGGCGTAGAAAGAGCGAACGGGATCGTGATAGAGAAAAGGATAAGGAACGCGTGAGAGGTGACATTAAAGGTGACAGGGACAGTCACCATAATCACAGATCACACCGTTCTAAACATAAAAGTACTGATGGTGATTCCCACACCTCCTCGCATCGACGACATCGCACCAAGGAAGAAAAAGAGAGGGACCGTGATAGAAGGACATCCTCAATGAGTGACCTAGTACCCGAACTTTCAAGGACCACCCTTTCCAGCAGCCGGGTTAGCTTGCCGTATCCTACCTTCAGCAAAGCTCACAGTAAGGAAGCTATACTCAGCCGCGAAGACGTAGGGGCCTCCGCTCGCGATGATCCCCTCACCCCAGATACCACAGATCTTGGTTCAGGTAACATAGGTAGATCTAAATCAACCGGTGGTTTGAGCAGGAAAAATACGCAGAAAGACAGCCGACCGCCTAGCCCCCCCGAAACGGATTTATCCGAAGAAAAGAAAAGACGAAGCAAAACGTCCACCTCCAAGTTGAGAGAGGAAATGGAATCTGGTTCAGACCGACCTAACTCTAGGACTTCCGGCCTGTCGCGGTCCAGCTCGAAGCGCGATGAGAAATCGAAGCTATCTACAAAATCCAAAGCTTCAAGTTACGCTTCCACTGTCAAATCTCCTCCAACTCCATCCTATCCACCTCCACCTCCTCCGCCTCCACCATTTGGCGTACGAGTTAATAACGACGAGACTTCGCAATTGAGCGATAATAAGACCGTAGGGGCTTCCTCAACAGCCACTCCTACTGCTCCCCATCGTACGGCATCGACGAGGTCGCGTAGGGTCCCTAGTCCAATCGAAGCCGAGGACTCGCCAGACTCTATACAAGACTCATCCCCCAAAACACCCACAGCTACGCCACAGTTTCCGCCGCCGCAGGCCTTTCCGGATACAAAACCGAGCTTTCACTCCAGGCGTGAAAGACAAGAACGTCCCACGCCTTCAGCAACTCCAGCATCCGATTTTGGTCCCCCACCACCGCCTCCTCCTCCGCCCCCGCCACTGAATATTCAGGAAGTACCCAGGATTGATTATTTACTTCAGAACGGCGGCCTTCCTCACCCATTACCAAAACATTTCCTTTCTGTGATACCACGCCAGAATGGAACCCGACCGTCAAATCCTCCTCTGGCAGGTGCAGAGACTCTATTCGCACCTTTCTTCAATCTTCTTGATCAATACCAATCAGTTATTCAGAAGCAAGGCTCCGTTGCAGTAGCAACAGGGCATAAGTCAGTTGCACGCCGGCTACTCGACCGATTGGAAGATGTGTTCTCTAGAGATCTTCCTGACGAGGGCTGCAGCTGCATTATGTGCGAAAAAACACCTGAAGAGCACAGAGGTTTAGGATGGGGCGAGGTATTAGAACGAGTAGGAGGCAGGGTTGAATTACCACCGTGGCCACCATTCGATCTTCCCTCTCTTTCTGCAAACGCAATTGAGACTGCGCAGGATATGCCTCCTAGGCCAGCTTCGCCGATCAAACTAGACCCGGATATCGCAGAAGAGTTTAGGGGTCACTATCTACGACAGTCCAAGAAGGTCAGATCTGTAGTTGATCGATGGATGAATAATTGCGCTGAGGCGCCGGCACCAGCGCCCTCGGAGATCGATGATGAGACGTTGACCTTTGCCATCTTGACCAACCTCGACCAGCATGAGCAACCGTACTTCAATGCGTTGGTTTCCGGTGCTCGAGAATTACAACCTTCTCTTAGAGCACCTACCCCAATGCGCAAGCCAAGGACAGATTTCATGGTCAAGACAGGCTTAGCACTTCAACGACTCTACCGCCTACCCCAAGCGCCCCGCGATGCAGAAACAGCCGTATTTCTTGTCAAGCATCCATTCCACCACGATCTTCTCGCGACAATCACCGATATTAGCCCCCAAGAGTGGGAAATTCTCATATCAGGACGCTTTGACGGCTTTCTCTGGTCTGGTGCCGATGCTGATGATGCCATAACGCCCACCGCTGACAATCCACTATCTCGAGGTGGTACACCTGCAAATGGGTTTTCATCCCCCGCACCACGAGGGTCTGGTATGCGCCATTCGTCGGGATTCGGCGGGTCTCGTAGCACTACACCATTCTCTGGCTTGTATTCCCGTGGCGCAACGCCCGCTTCTTTTGTTTCTCTATCGTCGTCTACTGCTACAGGTCATAGCCGGCAGCCTGTATCCTATGACGAAGAGGTTGAAATGGCTGTTCTAGCCGAGGTAGAGAGGGATATCTACCAGGGCATGGAAGCCCTCGAAGATGCGTTTGAGAAGCTTCACCAACGTGCTGAAGTAGTACGCAACGCACTCCGCCAGCGCAACAACGGCCTGTTGCTAAGCCAGCAGCACCGCCGTGCCGGAAGGATCGATGTCTTGCCACAATTGTCCGGCAACTCGCAAGGCTCTGAGAGACCACCATGGGCCGTTGGAGATGATGACGGCATGAGCGAAAGCGATTGGGGAGGTGATGATTTCGACTTGGCCCCTGAGGATTCTGCGAGTAATATCTCAAGCTCAAGGCACAGGCGCCCCAAGCGCAGAAACGAAAGGAGAACACCCGCCCCAATTGAAGAGGATGACGAGGAAAATTATGCGTAATCGGTCAATTATGATTTTGCCTTTAGGCGTATTGAATATTGGATTTGCTCTACTACTTCACGACTGTCACGACCTGGAAAAAAAAAGAAAGAAAGAAATTTACTGATACCAATCGAAATCGAATGTTCTTCTAACCTTCTCATATTTGCATTACAGTATACCAATGAGCTGATGACGACATGTCCGCTTGGTCAGTTAGGTGGGCTGGGACCGGGCAGCCAGAAAGGAAAGGCCTCCATGCCTTGATGTACTAGGTTCATAAGGTTTTAATCTAATCGAGGCTCCGTGCTCGCGCCCTCAAGTCTTGTCATGCCAGCTATCTCATTTGCATCTATTCGGCGTTCGCGCAAGTCTTCCGCATCAGAAAGGAGCTTTCTACCTTTGCTCTGCACTTACAGTCAAAGAATCGAGAGAGATATAGCTAATACATGATTCAGTATGGAGAGATGGCTTGTTGAGTTGAAAAGAAAGAGAAAAAAAAATTGGTTAAAGTGCATCTTGAGCTGAACAATCTAATCACTGGATTCTATAGTAACCCAACTGTCCCTTGAGCAGTGGAGTTAAAGCCGGAGGATACCTCTCGTATTCTTCAACGTCAATTGTACATGGATTGATCTGTCATATCTAGGTACCTCTAGATAGCTTCTAAGTTCTTGCACATATATAAGCATGTTTACCATTTACCGTATATTATGACAACAATGGCTATCTACCATCTTAGCAAAGATGAATGGCCCTGACGCATATTAGGCTTAATAAACTTCTTTTTAGGCCTTGCAGCTACACCCATGGATGTGCATACATACCTCTACCTACCTGGTACCTAGGTACCTCTTATACGAACTTATGTACTTATGTGCCTACTATGTACCTAATATAGGTGTAAGCCATCCATCATCAACTCCCGACGCGGAGCGAATGACGGTCCCCGGAAGTAGCTTTAACTGCGCAACTTGGTGGTAACCTATCGAGGTAACCTATTGGATTTGGATGTGTCTAGACTCTTCTTTCCGAGGTCAGTCTGATCAGCCTAATATATTATACCTACTTTTCTCTGTACGTACATGTTGGTATGGAGAGACTAAAAGAGAAAAGAGAAAAGAAACAATAAAACTTTAAGGTTGTAAGGCTTTAAAGTTGACGGGCCGCAAGGGGGAGCTATTCTAGCAAACATGGGTTTGTAATCCGATTTCCTGCTGCGGGACAGCTCTACCAATAGGAAAGCATTCTGAGCAAATACACTAAGTACCTACGCACGATCTTGGTTCCCTGTTGCTACGGCTTGGGCGGCAGCAACTTCTCCACTAGAAAACCCCAGCGAAACTTGCGATACGGAGCTCGGAAGTGAGGTGACGGGGAAGAATCTTCCATGCCAGCCATGCCAACATGTTCATCAGCCCAGATAAAAGCAGGTACAGGGGGGGGGGGGGGGGGGGAGAATTAAAAACAGGTACGTAGTTAAAAAAAATAAAAAAAAAATAAAAAAAATACGGGGGGTTAACAACCCAAACCCCCAAAAACG